AATTGACACGACTGCGAAGTGGCTATATTTGTTGAATGCTTTTGGCACAAGTAATTCCTTGAGAGTATCCATCGTTTCAATACTGTTTGTATTTTCGATTAGATGAAAATCGCTCTATACCTTAGGTTGAGGACTTCTGGTTACTCGGTTGTTCAGGTTTAAATAAAAGTTTATGAACAAAACTACAATTTCAACTTTTGGCAAACTTACGGCTGCCAATATTTTGTTTTCGCACGCCATTATTTTCTCGACCACACAGGAAGCTGGTATTGGAAACTGAAGCAGAAAAATGAAATGGACAGATGTTTTGGTTATGTCAAATTTTCTCTCTCTAACGAATAAGATGCTCTGAACTGATTTCGTTGAAAGACGCGTCAAGGAAACAATTAAGTATGGCGAGAAATTTGGCTGAGACTTCTTACGTCACCACAGAAAGAAATAAATTCCTCTCAATTAGGCACGTTATTTACGAGTAAGTTCGCGACGCGATAAACGAAAATGCATTTTTACCCGATGGATGTGGAGACTTGCATCAGCAAATTTCTCAGTGTTGTCCGTGTTAATTTGAGATCAATTTCTTTCAGAAATTTTTGGAAAACGTGTCAGTAAAATTTTTCAAAGCTCGCATTCAATCCTCTCTAGTCACTAAGCTTCGTTTCTTTGCGCTTTTAAGTTATTCTGACCGTAAAAATAGAGATGACTTTCCATTCGAATGAAAACGAGAAAAAAAAGATGGCCAGAGGCATCATCTCTCAAATCAAACCAGAAAAAAGTTGACTGACGTGCTTTCGCGGAACTCGCAATTTTTGAGTTTTTCACCCCGCTCAACCAGCTCGATTTGATTGCACTGATTTCCACTCTGAAGTTAATTCCAGTTACCCGACTTTACAGATTATATTAAGTGCCATGAATACAAAGTGACTTGTTTTTCAATCAGGAGATTCGTAGACGAATATTGGCCAAAGTATTTCAAATCCTTGAGACGGTTCGTCAAATGTTCCCAAAAGGAGTAGAAGCGACTTAAGCACTCATGAAAGAATCTGTTATCGGCAAATACTGTTTCTTGCATTTGAACTGAAGCAAGATACATGCATTTGGTATGAAATAATAGAAGTTTTACCGACAACTTACGTGGATTTTTAAAATATTCAAAATATTTATCTATCGGGTCCATTTAACGGCTAACCGGTTTATGTTTTTAGAACAACAGTGCTTCAATGAACGATAAAATTTATTTCGAATATTTCAATAAATCAATTTTTTAGCAAAAATTTGTTTTCTGCAAAATCACCGAAGAAGTGTGCGTTGGTCGGAGGAAACTTTTCGGGGTATCAGAAACATCCTTTTTGTCAGAACTTTAAGTTTGAAGCCCAGCTCGAGCGCTAGCGGCCGTCCAGTTTTACGCTCCAAAGTTAAGTCCAACGAATTTTCTCTCTATGGAGGCCACGTCTCTCCATAAACTGTAAAAACGAGTGATAGAGCCATGTGTTTAGACTGTAGTGATTGTTTATTCATAGTATACCACGACTCAGTTTCATTTCTTAGAGAGGAATATTTTTATGACTTGACGGCTGTTATTGATCCACTTTATTGCCGATTGTTGGTATAAAAAACTGAAGTTTTGACCATTAACTGACGATTAACCATATTGAGATCTCCATGTAGCGTTGCCAAAAGCTGTTTCATTCCGTTAACAAGAAGAACAAGGTATACATTTGGTTATAACGTTCTCATTCGGGAAATAAATTCAAGGATAATCTTCAGTTATGGAAATCCCTTAAAGATTGTCCAATAGAGGAGCGTATGACGGCTGGGTTTAAATGCATGATTTTAGTTTCGTACAGAAGTGTGTTTCATGATAAGGCTCACTGATAAATAACGGTTTGCAGGTATCATACGAATCAAAAGAGAAAACACGTAGTATTACAGACTCTTTGGAAAAATAGGAGTCAAGCGATTGTCATGTTGAAAAGCTTGAATACCTCGGGTTCATTGAAAAGCCCTGGCTTGCACGAAGTTTTTTAAGTTTTTAATTTCTTTCTGTAGTGACGAAAGAAGTCTCAGCCAAAGTTCTCGCCATACTTAATTGTTTCTTTGACGCGTATTTCAACGAAATTTCATAGCATCTTATTCATTAGAGAGAGAAAATTTGACATAACCTAAACAAAACATATCTGTCCATTTCATTTTTCTGCTTCAGTTTCCAATATCAGCCCGGCCTGTGTATTCGAGAAAATGATGGCGTGCGAAAACAAAAGATTGGCAGCCAATAGTTAAATTTGTAATCTCGTTCAGAAACTTTAATTTAACCTGAAACATCGAGTAACCGTAAGTCCACATCCTTAGTTATCGAGCGATTTTCATCTAATCGAAAATAAGAACAGTTTTGAAACGATGGATACTCTCAAGGAAGTACTGGCGCCAAAAGCATTCAACAAAATTAGCTTCGTTGCAGTTTTAATTTGGTTCGTATATATGTCACCACTATTTATAGTCACAGACAAAGCTAAAACTTGCGAAAGCCTCTTCAAAGAATTACAAGACCATCATTATTACATTATTTTCTGTCATAAAAATCGAACGAATTGCGAGATCTGTTACTCCAATGTATATGGAAAAGCTCGCGAAACTGTACAGATTTGTTTCTGTTGGTCTCTGGTAACCATCGTTACAACTTTTCTAATGTAGCACAAACTAACTTTCATGTGGATCTCAAATACACACGAAGGATTTTTTTAAAGAAATTACACCTGAAAAATTTTATTTCTGTGATGTATTTGCTGAGATCGATGGTTTCGACGTAAGAATTCTGGTAGCTTCGAATTCAAAACATACCCGGTCTTGTAATATCATGTTATGTAATATCATGTAATATCATGTTCATGTAATATCATGTTAACTCAACGTTTACATTAGAGAATATAACATTCTTGTGACACAAATATCAAATATCAGTTAAGTACAATCGAAACCGTAATCAAATCTTCGCTGTGTAGGGAGCTTCGCAGATAACAGTTGCACACCCTTGACCGCAGTCACGTGATTATGCCTATCCATCATTGTGGCAGAGCATCGGAGCGCGGAATCCGAAGGTCTGAGGTTCGATCCTTCATGGGGACTCAGGATTTTTTCTTTGTCCCACGTTCGTGCCAAGACGATAAACATCTTCCTCTATATCATTTAGTGTAACTAAGTCCATGGTATTCTAATAAAGCAGTTGTGTAGAGCACCTGGTCTGATTCACGCATTACTCTATAGTAGTATATCGATCCCTAATACACAACAGATGCTGCTTTATGCTTCTGGATTAAAACAGGTTAACTGCCTGTAGTAGGTGTAAACAAGAGAAACCAATTTCAAGTCACCATTGTTTTAACCCTTTACACCCTAACATTAGTATGCATATTCTCCATACTGTTCTCTCTACATTTACTAAGGAGCTGACAAGGAGAATTTGTTTAACAATCAAGGGTGTCTTTAAATGGTGATCATTTCCTTTATTCTCATTACCTTAATGTTCGATTCAGGAGTGATATTGTGAGGAGAAATTAGATCCTAGTCAATCTTCGAGATAAGAGGCTAAGTTTTTGCATCTGGGCCCGTTTCTCGAAGGTCCCGGTAACTTAACGGGCCTCTGAAGCTGTTCTCTCTTCATTAGAGATTGGAGTTTTAGCTACCGAGACTTTCGAGAGACCAGACCCTAGATTGGTAAGGATAACTAACGAGCAGGCTGTAATTAATAGCATCTCGACACTAGCGTTTGTTTGCATGCGAGAAAGTCTGAGTCCTTGAGTAACGCGACCTGCAGGTCCTGCGGCGCTAGTAGCGTGATTTTTAACAAGAGAACAGGAACGTCAGTCGGTTAAGCTCTAATTAAAAAAGAGGAAGGAACTTTACTAGGAAGCTGGGTGACAAATTGGATTTTCTCCGCACTAATGCATGTCATTACAGCATACATGCATTCTTCTGAAAGCCAGCGTTCTTCTAATACTGTACATGCCTTTTCACCAGCCTCATGGAACAGATACGAAAGGAACTGCTTGAACAACAGTAGAGACTGTAAAGTGAACACAAAATAAAAAGAGATGTCTTTTAAGGATGGCAAAAAAACACAGATTCATTGATCATCTAAAATAATGCATAACATGAGAACACCATCAAGAGCTGTAAGAGTTTTATTAGTTACCTCTTTGGGGAAATATTTCAACAAAAATACGAAACCAACTTAAGTACAACCTCAGGTCCCAGTATCCTAAGGAACATAAATAAGGAACCTCCATCTGGGCTTTGTACCAGCTCCATAAAAGGTGTGTGAAGTGTAGCTTTGTCTGATGCACAGATCATGTCAAACAGGCCCATGACTGTTACTGATATCCCCACAGCAGGTCCATTGACTGCAGCCATCAGAAGCTAAGGGAATTCTCAAGTGTTGCACAACATTCTTTTCATCATTAAAGGGAACATTTTTTTGAAAAAAACAAAAAAAACTTTTATTTACATTTAATTATACCCTATGGCCAGAAGAAAGGTATATAATCAATTTCTATTCAATGATGTTCTATGGTGCTTTAAATTTTAATTTCCTGGAGACTCTTTGGAGAATTTGAATGATTTTCTTGAAAAAGAAAAATGCAGTGTAGCCGCTTCAAAACTGACCAAATGTTAACTTGTTACCCCCCTGTCTCTTAAGTAGGCATACAAGGAGGTTCTCATAAGCCCTGTGGCACAACTAACAACTTTAGCAGCTTCACTTCTCATGGTACTAGAACCAATGAGAGCATGCAGGCTTACAAGTTCCCATTGTGGAAAATAAAAAATTTAAAACATGTTTTTGGCATTTCAATTACTTAAAATGTTTTCTAAAATACTTTTAAGTGTAACATAAATTGACGAAAAGAGACAATTCATGGCTTCCTCAAAACTCTACATATTAATATGTTCATGTTCAGCCTTCCATTGCTGTAAATGAACAATGTTCCACCTTGTATAGTCATGTCTCATTATTCCTCCAAGACCTCCATTTCCCACTCAACTGTTGTGACATCAAAAGTAAGCAAGAACATAGTTGGTCCAACTTTCTCAATATTCTTTTCAATTCTTAATTCAGGTTCCCCATAATGGCCCTGAAAGCTAAGTGTAAGGCTTATGGGCATTGGATTCTCCTTTGACAGGACTACTTGCCTTGGGAACTTGACCTCAAAGGGCTCCTTCATCAACTCTATATCTTTTTTGAGAGGAGGAATCTCTATTTTCACTTGTTTTAAAAATGAGTAGGGTGTTTTTGTGGCCGGATCCAGTCCCTGAATCAACAGTGAGTCATTCCTGACATCAACTTGGAAGCATCGTTTGAGCTGAAACTGTGGCACGTCAAGGCCAAATTCTTTCAAAAGTTTGAGTAAAACAATGTCAATGGTAGCGTGAACTTCCAAAGCACATCTTTTGTTAAAAGGTGTTTTCTGGAGGTTCACAATCACCACTTTAGCTCCTCTTTTGATCATGTCCCCTGGTATGTCCGCAGCCGGGTAAACCCTAAGGCTTGAACCCAGAACTATGCATAGATCTGCAAGCTTTGCATTTTCAAATGCACTGTCTAGTTCATCCTCTGGCAGATCTTCATTAAAGTTTATTATGGAGTCCACAAGGGGGCCATGGCATTTGGGGTCATCACAGGTACGGCCTGTCAAATGGTCATGTACAGCTTTGGCTGTGCGGGTTCTATAGTCACGCATAAACTTTGACCCACACTTTAAACAATGTTCCATGTTTGTATTACCATGCAGCTCAGCAAGGCACTTGGGATCAAGGCCTGAGCGTCTGTGCAGGCCATCAGTATTTTGACTGACCACAAACTTTACTAGGCCTTCCCTCACAAGCTTAACTATTGCCATATGTGATGGTGATGGCACAGCTTTTAACACACTTTGCACTTTTTTTTGCTGGGAGGGTAACTTGATGCCGTGAGCCTTGCGCTCCCACACCCCAGGGCCAGTGGTTAGAACTGTGTTCACACCACTCCTAAAATCAGGAATACCAGTGCTTGTGCTGATACCAGCTCCTGTGAAGACAATACAGTATCGACTCTCACGAATCCATTGTGCCAGAACCTGAATCTTTTCTGACAGCACATCCTCTTCATCAAAATACTCCTTCTTCTCAAACTCATTCGATATTGCATTTGATCTTGGTTTTGGTTTGGGAGCAGCAGACCCATAAGATGGTTTCAAGCCTGATGCCTTCCCATGTCTTGCTTGTGGAACTTTTGAGCCAGCTTTGCTAGGTGTGGTCATAGGGGCATTCTTGTAGTCTTCTTGAAGAGCCGCCTGGGTTTTCTGAGCTTGGGCGAACATTGCTTCCATGTGTGATCCAGATGCTTTTGAATTGGATTTTGATGCGAAATTTGCTGCCATGGACAGAGCTGATGAAAAAAGAAAGAAGCTAAATATTAAGTTGCAATTTCAACAGAATTAAACAAATCATTGCGAACCACTAATTACAAACCACTCCATGCAGGGATCTTGAGATTCGGGTAATGAGGAAGGTTGCCCATGACATCATCATTATGTTATTGTTAACACCCTGTCTCCAAACTTTTTCCATGCCTTACCCAACTAACAATTGTAGTACATAGAGTTCAATTGATTTCTCATCTGTATTTTCATTTTATTAGCTTAGCTAAGCAACTCCTATAGAGTAACCATTTTAAAATCTGTCTGACGAAACAGGTTTTAAGTATTATTAGGTATTAGTATTATTGTCCCAGGACTTCCCGCCAATTTTGTGTTATCTGCGAAGCTCCCGGCCTGACTAAAATATTGCATCTGTTTCCCATTTTAAAAAAGGTAACCCGAAAAGAACTTTTATACATTTTCGTATAGAACTGGACTCAACCGACATTGAGAAAAGGAGAGATCGCCAGCCGAATAGCGAAAGCCTGTGACAAAATTAGATGCTTAGTTGTTTATACAACCCACACAGCAAAAATTTAATTTCGGTTTCAATTAAACTTAACTAATATTTGATATTTGTGTCACAAGAATGTTTATATTCTCTAATATAGACGTTGAGTTACCACGATATTACGTACAAGACCGAGTATGTTTTGAATTCGAAGCCACCAGAATTCTTACGTCGAAACCATCGATCTCACCAAATGCATCACAGAAATAATATGTTTCAGGTGTAATTTCTTGAAAATATTCTTTATATGTATTAGAGTTCTCCATGAAAGTAAGTTTGTGTTGCATTATAAAAGTTGTAACGATGGTTACCAGAGGCCAACAGAAACAAAGAGATCTCGCAATTAGTTCGATTTCTATGACAGAAAATGATGTGAACAAAACAACAACTTACCTTATGATGATCTTGTACTTCGTTGAAAAGGATTTCGTAATTTTAACTTGTGTTTCTATGCTACGACTATGAAATATTAGGGAGTTTCGCAGCTTATCGACTACAATCTAAGACTGGATTCAACACATGTTTTGTTAAACTGGTTTTCAGAATCTTATTCCAACAATTGATTTTCCATTGATTCAAGTTGGGATAAAAAATCATATTCAAGTCAAATTCAGTTAAATTTTCTTAAAATTCAACTGTTTTTAACAAAACAATTTTAAAATGTTTAAGCTTTGGTGTGAATGCAAAAGACTAAACAAAACGAAAAAAGAGTTGGGATAAAAAATCAACAAACCAGATTGAGTTCAACGCTTTTAGACAACTTGCAAAACTAAACAAAACGAAAAAGTGCCAATAACAATTGAGTTCTTGACAACTTCAAAAGTTTTCAAAAAATCTTTATCAATTAGTTTTGGATTTTTGGAAAATCCTATCCTTGTAGAACCACAGGCAAATACCAGGGTAAAGGGGTAAGGATAATTGAGCCTGTGGTGGAGGGTGGGTGAGACAGATTATGAGTGTTAGATGGGGATGTTACACCTTGCAATATATGAAAAAATATAAAATAGACTTTAGCCCAAATTTGTATTACTGATAATCATATTCAAAGGTAAATGCTTAAAATGCATAGATTTTTATCACAAATATGGAAATATGCCCACTGATATATATCTTTTTTATAATACAATATAAAAGTTGTCAGAGCTTTACAAACTGTCAGTGAGCTTAAGAACTGGTAACCTGATACACTTAAGACAATACAGTATACTTCTGTAAACATAGTATTGTCCTTAAGACCAATAATGATTGGAGCTGATATCATTCAAAAAGCCTTTTCTTCAAGAGAAAAAAAAGATAAACACTCCAATTTACATGGTGGTATAGATTTTTAGCACAGGATATTAATTCATAACAGAATCTGCATACTTTCCAACACCCTTGAAAGTTACTTAAAAAATTTTTTATCATGTCCATTGCTAAATTTACTTTCAAATAGAAATGACATTCTACAGGTAAGCAAAACAGAAATCTTCAAGCACAAATACAAGTACAATGTATTATGTGTATCTGTGGTTTTAGAGCGTTTTCATTCTTTTTTTCAGTGACCACTCCCCTTTACTTAAATTGTATTCTGCATGAAACAAAGCCTTTCCAAAGCTTGTAACAGAATGAGTAAAGGACATGCTTGGTTCACCATAGTGACCCTGGAAACCAAACTCTAGCTCTGCAATCAATGGAGTAGTTTCTGAGATACTTAGGCTTTGCCTGAAACACATTTCCAGAGGCTCCTTAGAAAGGATTTTTTCATCAATAATTTTCTTTGTGCCTTCAATCTCCTGCGACACACGCAAAGATACTTGCTTTAAGAAAGAATATGGAGTGTTACATTGTATGTCAAGGCCTTGAATCAACATTTTATCCTGACTTGTCTCAACAGCAAAGCGACGCTGAACCCTGAAGGGTGGAATCTCCAAGCCAAGTCTCTCCATCAGCCCCCTCATTACTGTATCGATCTGGCTGTGTATTTGAAGGGAACTCTGTGAACTGAGTGGTGTCTTTTGCAAATTGCAGATCACCAGTTTCTGTTTCCTGCGAATGACAGTGGCTGGAATGTCTGCTGCTGGATAAACCTGAAGGCTGGACCCAAGCACAATCATTAAGTCTGACTTTTCAGCCTCTTGGTATGACTTTATCAGGTCATCATCAGGCAGACTCTCTCCAAAGTTTATAATGGAGTCTACTAAAAGTCCACAGCACTTGATATTATCACAGGACCTTCCAGTCAGGTGGTCATGCACTTTCCTGGCAGTTCTTGTGTCAAAGTCTCTCAAATATTTAGCACCACAAGTAGTACACTTTTCTAGGTTGGTATTTCCATGAAGTTCAGCAAGTTCATCGCTGGGAATGCCACTGCGCAAGTGGAGACCATCAACATTTTGGCTGACAGTGAGTTTAACCAACCCTTCCTTATGGAGTTTCACAATGGCCATGTGGGAAGGTGAAGGTATTGCCTTTAACATGGGAGTTACTTTACCTGGCTGGCGAGCAACACCTTTAGCTTGTATCTCCCATAAACCAGGGCCTGTCTTAAGAACAGTGTTCATGCCACTTCGAAAATCAGGGATACCTGTACTTGTGCTGATTCCTGCACCTGTGAACATAACACAGTGTTTACTCTCCCTGACCCATTTTGCAAGAAGATCAATCTTTTGCTCCAGCTCTTCTGGAGAGTCAAAGAACTCTCTTTTGTCATCCTCATTCTTAATGTTATGATGATCTCTTCCACCTGGGCTTGGCTTTCCAGTGGGTTTGTCTGATGTAGGTTTTGCTTCTGGGGGACCTGTGTTCAGACCAAATACATTGATGATTAAAACAAGCATTTATCAAATTACCAATTCACTGAAAGAAGCAGAAACTTTTTCAAGAACACAAAGTAAAAAGAAATTGGTGTTAATGCTACATTGATCATAGATCTGAGCCTTAATCTCCTAGAAAAATAGCTAAGAGAATGTGTTGATTAAATTCAAAACTACAACCTGAATAAACAAATTTGTCTCTTCTCATTACTAGTGCTCAAACTATGTATTGGTATCACAGGAAAATGTTACATGGTAAACCAATGTAGTAAGCCAATGAAAGAAAAACTTGAAATGGATGCAGGAATGTAATCCTCGCAAAAATGCCACAGTATTGCGGTTAAAATGCAAGTAAATACAACACAGAAAGAAAATGTCACTAATTAGCAGGGCTATAATTGATTTTACTTTTCTAAATATCAAGGGAATTTCAGGAAGCTCCCAAAAGCACAGTACATTGACTTTTTCTGTCCTGCATCTGAGCTGCTTTTAAAGAAAGTTTAAAGTCTAAGAATAAAGATTCAAGCCAAGCCCTCATTATCTTTTTCTTGTTTTGATGGTGGTTCCAGGTCCTGAAGTAACAGCTTGGCCTGTGTTCACTCCCAAATCTAAATATCATTTCTCTGCATGTTTTTCATAGTTTTAGCATGGGAAATTTGGTATTGAACTAATTTTCCCTACTTACTATGCTATTATTTATCCCTATCACTCTTTTAATTGCAAATGTATTTGATATTCTGAGGAAAAAATCCCTTTATTTAATAATTCTTGGACTGATAGAGTATCTTTGGCAAGTGCCTCTACCCATGTTAGGCTTTACGTTTGACCCTTGCCAAGGAAACACTGCTGAGTTACACAGGGAGGTCATGAAAATCATAGGGAAACAACTTTGTAGAGAGTAGTGAAAGAAATGCAAGAGTGTTATCATCCACCAAAAATATTCCCAAAACAGTCATCACCTTATACACCCTTGTATACACTCTTTGAAATGCTCTATTTTGGTTTAGAGTTGAATCAGTTGCAATATTTAGACAGGGGATTCTTTATAACATTTATTTCAGACATGTAATAATGTTTATAGACTAAGAGAGAAATAAACAAACTATTTAACAAGCCATTGCCAACACAAAAAAATTCACCAGCTTTCCTCCTAAACCCTACTGACAAGGGAAATTTGCCATGGTTGATAACAAGCTTTGCTTAGATCTTGTTTAAAAAGTTATTTATTTTCAGCCCCAGCTGCAGTACCTGGGCTTCCTTTGTCTTTCTGCAGCTGTTCTTTTGGGGTTATCCTGACAATATCAGAAAGGGCCGTTGCCAATTTCTCTAGGTCTCTTGCTTTTCTTTCTTGAGCTTCCTTCATTTTACGTTCTGTAGTTGGGAACACACCATCCCTCACAACCTTTTCGCAAACAAGCTTCCAACCTTTCTCCTCTTTCTCCCATGATGCAACAAACTGAAAATGTGATGGGACATCTGTTGGAAAAGACACTGGATATTTTGTTGAGGTGTCTTCACCAACACAGATCTCAATATTACTTGAATTGCCATGAAGATACAGAGATTCAAACTGGGAATGCTTCAGCAGATTTATTGACAGATCTGATGTACTATCTGCCATGATAGTTGGAATCTGTCAGAAACAAAACATTTGGTATTTTTAATAACTAACTTGAGTAGCTTGAAAAATTTAAGTGAGATTAATTTTGGAGTTGGGGATCCTCTGTCCTTTATAGGGACAAATGTTTGTGGCTCAAGATGATTTGGAAGTAACTTTCTAATCTTGTGTTCAAATTTTCTAACTGAAAGAAGCTTCATGTTTGACGACTTGTTGTAGATGGATATTTTGACAGAATAGGCATTTGATTCAGATGCAGAGTTTGTCGTTTGACTAAGTTACAGACTAAGCAGTTACTTTATTTTTATATAACATTATTTTGAGGTATTTTTCTGGGTTGACTCCAACTTTTGCTGATCACACCTTCACCTTGCTTGTCATATGGTGCTTAATAATACAAGTAAAGTAGCTCGAGTTACCACAAATCTGCAACATGTCTTTCCAATTTGATTCTTCACCGATTTTAACCCTTCCACCCTTTAGATCTCAAAAACAATTCTCCTCATCGTCAGACACACATTTCTTATGATTTAAACACTGATAATTTAGTGCTAACTGAGCAGTCTCCCCTAACTGACATTTTTCTTGGAAAAATTTCCGCACAGCCCCATACTTAATTATGCATGTACATCTTACTGGTGATACACTGAAAAATAAAGCCCCATATATGGATGTATAATGATGTATGGGGCTGTGCGGAAATTTTGCCTTTTTCTTTTCTATCAACACTATTCTGCCAGCAAATGGGTAAAATTTCCGCACAGCCCCATACTACATTATGCATTCAGTTCTTGGATTGAGAAAACAATGACAAAAACAATAGATTGCCATTGGGAAAAAAGATTTGTTTTACAATAGTATGGGGCTGTGCGGAAATTTTACCAAAACAAGATTTGTACACCAGAGTTACAAGTATTCCTAACCTGACCACATTCAAGAAAATTCAAAACAATTTTCTTGCAGGACAGAAGTTCCAGTACACCTGATATCAGCGTGCAGTTTACGTCTAGCACCAAATTGTCACATTTCTCAATGAGTAACTTAGCAGCTTTTTCTTGTAACCGTGCATAGCAATCTGTGCAGTTGCTTACGATCAACAAGGCATCTTTTGCGTTTGTTTTAAGCTCAAATTCTTCACCTTGTCTTCCACTGATTACATGCGTAGGTCTCTGAGCTAACTTGAACATCGATTGCAGATTAGAAAAAGCCATAAGTAGCTTTGCTTAACCAGCTTATTTTCGCCTCCGCCGTCTTCTTCGAAGTTCGATGAATGTGTTAGAGCGCTTAGCACTGCAAAGTTCTTCAATTTGAATCGTATGGAGTGCTCACTATGCACAATAATTTTCGTAGCTGACGGTCTTGTCCGCAAGCGGATAAAGAGTAATGATCTGTTATTCAATGGGAAGTGGAAATGAAATAAATATCTCAGTTCCAGACGTCATCTGTGGTTCCGTGTCGAAGGCTCGGTCACTTATTTGCTTGTCAGCAGTAAGGCGCGACTGGTTAGCTTGCGGTTGGGCAGAATGGAGGTGGAAGAAAATTCTTCGGAAACTCCGTATGTAGCTATATTTAAAACTTATTTTTACCAATGCTAGGTTAATAACTCTTGCGTAACTGTTCCAAGACATTAAGGTGTGCTATTTTTTCAATTTAATGCTCACATGGGACACGATTTGTCTCATTGGAATCGCGCAGCCTAGAGATTGTGTGAAACAGAAAGGATTTCAGTTTATTTTCTAAAATATCGGAGAAACATTCCAAACCTTCTTGATCCCAACGTCAATTCATAAGTCTTGAGAAGATTTGAAATTATATGTATTTCCTAAGGATATCACAGATGGAGGATACATGTGCCCAATTGTGATAAAAAAAACCAAACAAATAAACAAACAAACAAAAAAAAAACGCTAAAAAATAAAACATGTTTCATCTTTTTCGGGGCCAGCTGATTACCTATGAATGAAAAGATGTAAACAGTAAGGGATTTTATGAACCAATTGTCACAAAGTATTTTCCATTTATTGATTATTTTATACATCAAAGACACATTGCAATTATTGTACATCAAAGTTTTCTTGTTATGACTTTAAAAACATGTGCGATGAGTCGGACAAATCTCAGCTGAAAATAACTCTGGATTATGATAAAAGTTAAAAAGTGTTACCTATCTCTTTATCTGAGAACATGTTGTAGGTAGACTGTACTTTCTAAAAAACTGTTCAAATCTTACACGTGCCAACTTGGAAAAAAATATGTGGCTGTGCGGAAATTTTTTCCACTCTGACTAGTAATGTGAATTTATATCTTCAGAATGGTGGTAGAAAACAAAGGTGATTGGTCTGGCAGATGGAGTCATGTTCAGAGATTGCTGTTGAGAAGCGGGCCTTTGGCTCATCAAGACTTTGAACCTGGACCTCAGGTATTACCAATGGACAACTTTGACAAATAAATACTGATCTTACTTACCACTCAAACTCAAAAATAATCAGCATTATGGCACTGTGTGATTAATGGTGTCAGACTTAGTGAGGGGGGGACTTAGTGAGGTGGGGGAAGGGGCAATGATTGGAGGGCCCCAAGAAAATAAGGAAGAGGGAGAAATTAAGTTATTAATGAGAGTACAAAGCAAGAGAGAAAAAACGCATAGGCTCAAGACAGCAGGATAAGAAAAAAAGGTGAAGGTTCTTGTCCCCTTATTCCCTAACTAGCACATGTATGAGGTTTCTTCTTTGGAGTCTAAGCAATTTGAGTTAAAATGAATTTCTAGGGCACTGTTCAAATGCTTTATAGTAAACTGGTATTAGAGGTGTTTTTGCGTCTTCACAAAAGAAGTATAAATTGTCAAATTGCATGCGATTGTCAACATTGGCAATTTGAACTCAGCAGCATTTCTTGCACCCTGGCTCCCTTTTCTTCACTAGGTTCTTGAATTTATGCTTGATACAGCTAAAATTCTGGTTATTGGAGCTGGAGGATTAGGCTGTGAATTACTAAAGGATCTGGTGAGTATTTGACTTTGCAAAGAAATGCATGTCTTGTTGCTTTTTGAATATGTGCTCACTCTTGTATCTTTATTCTATACCTGCCAACGTTTTTTTTGTTTTTTACTTGACAAGTAATTTTTTGTATAGGACTGTACTGACGATATTCATGTTATGCTATTTGTTATTTAAATGAATGCTTAATTAGTTTCTGATATAAATGCCTAATATTTAACTATTGCTTAACCCTTCAACCCCCTCCCCCCCTGTCACTGAAGTTATACATGTCATCTTGCTGACAGGTCATGAGAGGCAACAAGGTTATCAGCTTGAGGATGTTTTGTTGATGTGACACTTAACCCTTTAACTTCCACAAGTGACCAAGACAGAATTTCTCCTCACAATATCGATACAATATCAAGTAGACAAGTGACGAGAATAAAGAAAAATATCAGTTAGGGGATTAAAAGTTGATTTAATGCCAAATCCTCCAAACCAACATCACAAGAACTGTATGACAGACAGTGAGGAGAGTTACTGATGAGATCTCTTGGGAGTTAAAGGGTTAATTCTCTGGTGTAATTTACAAGCAATTGCATGGCAAGTCATTAGGGAGGAATACTAATCAGATCTGGGGCCTGTTTCTTGAATGTTCAGGTAGCTTTACAGGTGTGTAAAGCAGTACTGTTTTCATTCCAGATGGGAGTCTCAAAGGTTTTGAAAATGATACTGAAAGCTGTTGGCTAAAGAAAGGAAATGAAATGGTCAGGGTGCCAGAACCTGCTTCTCCAATCTTTAAATTTTGATTTTAAAATATGGCTTTAGGCCTGTTAAGTTTCCACAACTTTTGAAAATCCGGCTCCTGGGGACTTAAAAGGTTAAAACAAGTTTGAATTAATGCTTTACATCTTTGCTTGGCAGGCATTGAGTGGGTTTAGGAACATAGATGTTATTGATATGGACACAATAGATGTTTCAAATCTAAATAGACAGTTTCTGTTCAGGTATTACTAACCTTTTCTAAATAAAAGGAATATCATCCATTTTAATTGAGAATTAGGAAATTGTCTATGAATACTGAATGCAGTATACTGAATATTCAGTATACTGAATTAAGTTATTTTTCAAATCTTTACTGAAGACGTCTTGTGTTCTGAAATTTATGTTTTACATAAATCTTAGTTGTAAGCTAATCATTTTTATGATGTTACCCCAAAATGGCATAGTTTTATTCACAGGAGGCAGGATTGAATGAGTATAATCATTCTGTGCCTATGCAGGTTGTGTAAGTGCTCTCTTTTGTGAAGTTCTAATGGTAAAGTTTACTTCATTCAGGTAAACTTTATCCTGTGGAATACCAAGGAAACAAAGTTCTCTGATTGGTCAATGTGGATATAATTAACCCTCATCAGGTAAACATTTTCAGCGCATGCTGATTTGGGCACAATGTTTCTGACATGTGATTTTCTGTTTTCCCTTAATTTCAAGACCAAAAGATATAGGAAAACCCAAAGCTGTTGTGGCTGCAGAGTTTATCAACAGTAGAGTGGCAGGCTGTAATGTTACTCCGTATCCTTTAAATTCATGACTTGTTTCCTTTTTCTGCTTCTGACTAGTAAATTTGAAGGTTTTTTAAAATTTTATCATCTAAGCTATGTCTGACTCTTATAAACTTAGAGTAAATTTTTGCACCTGTCACACCTGTGGATTGTAAACTCAGATCTCATGCCAGTATGTACTGTATTTCATCAAATAAGTGCTCACTCTCTAAAAAGCACCCCCCCTCCAAATAAGTGTCCACCCCCTTGGCTATAACATCAAACACATGCCCCCTTGGCTATAACATCAAACACACACCCTCTTGGCCATAAAATCAAACACATGCCCCCTTGAATAAGCCCCCCCATCCCTCCTCTTCTCATACTTCTTTAAATAGCAGGGATCCAAGGAAAACCTGTTTCTATTGTCACTTTATTTAACTTTTTAAGCTTCAACTACAATGGAATCAGTACAGGTTTATTTAATAATTTCTTAATAAGTGACCTTGATTAAGTGCCCTTCTTCCAATAAGTGCCCCTCTTTTCAGCCAAATTTTAAATAGGTGCTGGGCACTTTTTTAAGAAAATGCAAAAATTGCTAGTGAATTTTGTATGCCGACAAGAAGCCGAAGGGTTTGAGTGATCACTGACAGTGCTAACTCTTACTATCAAGAGAAATGAAAAGTCTATGGGTTGGAATAATTATACATTAGTTGAAACATTGGGTGGAGAGGACAACTTTGTTACTATTTGAAGCATCTTGAGAAATTTCCTGGTGATCTTCAGATAAAATCAGCTTCTCTGAAATTTCTGGCACTTTTAGGATGAAAATCTTTCACCTTTGACTAATAACTTTGGCATGATACAATGTTGGTATAAGATGAGCTTCTTTGACAAGTTATTTTACAGACATTTTAAAAAGATTCAAGACTATGATGCAGATTTTTATAGAGGTTTGTTCAATCAATGGGATCTGTAGAAAACTGAAAATTGCAAAATGTGAAAATGAGTTTTAAAGTGCTGGTCAGATAAGATGGAGCATTTTAAGTTACTTTCAGATAAATGTGATTTTTAGGAGGCTATTTGATGAAAGAATGTTAAATATATATTCAGTAAATCATATTAAGTAATTTATTTTAACAGTCATTCATATCTACACTATTTGGTTACTTGCATCTTGTTAGTACTACCATAAATCAAATATTCAATACATTATTTATGGCAGGATTTCACCTTATAGTCTGTGGATTAGATTCCATTGTGGCGAGGAGATGGATAAATGGAATGGTGGTATGAGTTATTTCAATTATTTTATACTATGATTTTTTCAGTAGTTAAAATTGATATTAAAAACAAGTTGCATTTGTCTTCCTAATTCTAATTTTCCCTGCCAGCCCTCTGGTAGCCCTTTTATACAAATGATACCATGATTCTAGTCTTTAGAATCACAGTAAAGTTTTTGAAGGGAATCCAAACTATTTTTTGTTTCAGCTTAGTCTGTTAGAGTATGAAGAGGATGGCACACTGGATCAGACTAGTATTATTCCTATGGTAGATGGTGGAACAGAAGGTAAGACTTAAGAAAATTTAAATTCCCAAGGAAACTCCTTTGAATGCAAAAAATTAAGTTTTGTAATTGTAAACTGTTGTTGCTCTAATTGGCCATTGATTCTAATTTGCTACTGATCAACCTGAGCACTATTGCAAGGGTTGTGGTTGTGTTGTTTTGTTAGGATGACAATTACTATTTATGTGATGTCTCTGATAACATCTTCGTATATGTAAAGCATGCTGAATGTAGATGGACCAATACAGAAATCCTTTGAACAGAAAGCATTAGGTAACACTGGGTTGCAAATGGTTCACATGTACAATTACTATCAGATTTAGAGACATTTAGTAATGAACAGGAAACTGACTGTATCCCAGTTAATATTTTCATAATAATTATGTTAAATCATGCAGGTTTTAAAGGCAATGCACGAGTTATTATACCAGGGTTAACAGCCTGTGTGGAGTGCACACTGGATCTATATCCACCACAAGTAAGTCAGACTAGTATTGATTGATTTTAGACATCTTTCATAAAAGGTGGGCTTAATTATCATTCTAACTGTACATAATGTAATTAATATTGTTCTTCTTGGCCTCAACAAAATGTGTAAAACCCAAATAATTTCCACTAAAAGTGAGGCCAAGAAGGCTGATTTGCCATGAAAGAATTGGTCATGATAATCATTATCAGAAAGGCTTTAATTTAACAAAGAATTCTCATAATGTATTAAACCCTTGGCTTATCTTTTTTAGTTTGATAGAGTACTTATGACTTGCTTTTTCATTTCCTCTGACCTGATTGGTAATACTAATTATACACTTACTTGAATTTGTAGAACTTCAAGGAGTTTTACCTCCAAATTATTGTTGATGTTGAAAGGGTTATACTGCACAAAGTTATCAAATGTTATGTACCTTAATTTTATAGTTTTTGTATCTTGTTTCTAATAATTAAAAGAGAGCTGAATGGGGCAGGAGTAAGTTTGATTCAGAAATGGATATGGTACTATGGTAGATTCAATAATTTTCTCTGGGGATGCCTGTTATCTATCAGGGACTTTTTTCAGGCTACAGGTGTTGATGAGTAGTTTATTGTTGTTGATCTCACAGGTTAACTTCCCTTTATGCACCATTGCACACACCCCTCGTATGCCAGAACACTGTGTGGAATATGCAAAGGTACTAGTTTGGCCACAAGAACATCCCTTTGGAGGTATGACACTTTTATTGTAGGTAATTAATACTTTCTTTGGTTACTGATATTGATAGAGTACCTTGCATAGGCTATTTTTGCAAGAGCCATCTTTCACTGATTAAGTAAATGGCTATTGCTTATGTTAGAGGGTGTGCCTGTTGATGGAGATGATCCTGCCCATGTTCAGTGGATTTACGACAAAGCCAAAGAAAGAGCAGATAGTTTTAACATCCAGGGACTGACATACAGACTAACTCAAGGTGAGAACTCACAGAGAGACTACCTGTTGATAGCAGTGCTCTCAAGTACACAAGAATCAACTAGCACTGTAATAATATGGTCAAAGAAACCACTCCTTGGTATAGTGGTGTTTAGTCTGTCCTAGTTGATGGTAAAATATAAGAGAGCTTTAGATCTGACTACAAGTATGGCTATGACTATGAGGTTTCCTTGCCACAAGTAGTTTGCATGACAGGTCATGCAAACTCTGGAAAAGTCTTAGCTAATTATGAGTTTTACTGGAGATCTTGTATTCACACTTCAAGTTGAAAGGTTAGTCAAAATTGTTCTATTTTCAGATAAAACTCTTTCAGGAATACAAAAACACCACAGAGACTTGATGTTTATTTGTAAAGTGTTCTATTAATCCTGAAAAAGCTACGCTCTCATTTGTCATATCATGTTTATTTTAAGTTACAAATTTGTTGCAGGTGAGGAAGACCTCAAGGGGCTAGTGCCACTCTACTCCCTGTCCAAACTTTTGTTGTAGTCTTACTCCTAGTCAGATTTAAAGCTCTCTTGACAATTGTTTCTCAGGCTTCTGTACAAAGTCTATCATGTGTGTGGACTGTTACAAAAAAAAATTTAACTTGAAGATAAATCCTTATGCAGCACTTATTATTTCTATCAAATCTTTTGCAATTCCGTTTTCTTTGCCTGAAATTCAAGACAAAGGTTTGACATCTGTCTTAAATTATCTTTTCCTCAAGGTGTAGTCAAGCATATTATTCCTGCTGTGGCTTCTACAAATGCTGTCATTGCAGGTAAATTGACTCAAGTGGTTTACTGTAATTGCCTTTGGGATATGGGATAGACTTCAAAGACTTCGGTGCAGATTAGAGTATAATATATATTACCTCAAATTAATAGTGCTAGTGGTAGTGGAGGTTAAAGAGTGCTCAACCCTAATTTCCAAATTGATCACCTCAGCATGCAGGCTTGTCTTGCATTACGATAGTTCAAATGAAGGAGAAGCTGTCCACTAAAACTCTTGCATAGGGTAGGGAATTTGTGACAATTATAGAATGGTGTTTCAAAATGCACCTGAAAGTGGTTTAGTACAGGCCATCATGGCCTCCATGGTCTGAGGGAACATACTCCATGGGTATAAAATAGTTAACTGAGTTCTTCCCTCCTCATGGCTGCTACAGAATTGATGTACCTTGAATATTCATTTTGATTTGTACCAGCTGCTTGTGCTCTTGAGGTGTTCAAGCTTGTATCCAGGTATGGTTGTTGTTTCGTTGTATGATAGTTTACCATGTGACATCAAATAAAAACAGAAGTGGTACAGGAGAAGGGCATACTTAGGAAATATGATAAACAAATTCCCTGCATACAATTCTCATACTCTGCTTTCAGTGTTTTTTTTTTTTTTTACCCTGTTATACATGAAACCTCTACCATATAGAAGTCAAAAACAGGTTATGCTAAGATATAAAACATCTTCTCTATAGCTCTAACTTATAGTCCTTGCTTTGCAATTAGCTCAAACTTACATAGCCTGCGCAGAACCACATTCCCTGTTGCTTCAGGAAGGTAGTGTCCTAGCTCAGTTAGCTTGCAGGTGATCCCTTTTCAATCATATTTATTTTTGCTGTTTAACAGCTGCTGTAACCCACTGAACAACTACATGGTTTTTAATGATACTGATGGACTGTACACATACACTTTTGAGGCTGAAAAAAAGGTAGCATTTACTTTTGGATGTTGTCAACTGCAAATTAATTAAACACTGAGGTTGATTACTCAATTCTATTCTTAACCCTAGCAAATGATAATTCTGAAAAAGGACTGTTATTAGCATTGGTCATTTGGTAGTGGGGCAGAGGGTAGGGGCCTTAAGGGGTTAGGAGGCCTGGGGGGGTTGGGGTCCTCAAGGGGTAAGGGTGCCTCAGGGAAGTGGTGGGCCTCAAGGGGCTAGGGGGTCTCAAGGGGGTCTCAGGAGAGTATGGGGTCTCAGGGGGCGGGAAGCCTCAGGAGGTAGGGGAGTCTCAGGGGGCTAGGGGGTCTCAGCCCCTCCTAAACAAATATTTTGGGGAGGGGGTCACCATTCCCCATACAGTTTGGTGCAGAAATTAAAGCAAGTGCTGCATAATATTGTTTGGCAAAATATTCAGCTTTGTCATTTATCCACAAATTGTAGTATCAGCATCAGACTTAGTAATATAAAGTTGTAGGACTGATAATTGTTATTTGTACTTCAAGGATGACTGCCCAGCTTGTAGCCAACAACCACAAGTATTAACCTTGCCTGAAGATGCCACCCTTAAATCCCTGATTGATTTTCTGATGGAGAGCCAGACATAGTAAGTATGAATGGATTGTGGGTATAAATTAAAGTGAAAGTTGATATTATTTTAATATTCATTTCAAATGTTTTTCTTCAACAGTCAGATGAAGGCACCTGGTCTGACAACTATTATTGATGGAAAAAACAAAACCTTGTACATGCAGGTAACATTTTCAATGAATTGGACTTCAAGTTAACCCCAAAAGAGAGTACAATAACCCTGAGAGAAGTGTATCAGAAATACAGCTACTGCTCTTATTAACCCATTATTCACATCAATTCTAATACAGTAAATTATATGCTCATTCTTAGTTTATATTGAATCATTGCGGCACCTTATGAATAAAGGTTTGATTCTTGTAGACAGTGAAGTCTATTGAGGAGAGGACAAAACAGAATCTACCTAAGAAGTTAAAAGGTATGAAAGCTGTGTATATACATGAATAGAGATGCTCTATTCTAAGATTAATTGTCCACTGTCAAATTTTGTCAACTTTTGATTTTGGTTCTAGTACTCAACCATTAAGATATAGAGGGCTTGTTGGTGAACTGAGTTAATTTACAAGAAGTGCCTTGCATTCTGCTAGGATCATCAATTTTGTATGTAAATAGATGGAGAAAGATAATGTATTTTTAAGCTGCATTGTCAAACAAAGGAAAATGTTTCCTTTTTTCATGAGTGTGATGATCTGAAGGAAATGCTTATACTGTAACAGTTGGTTCTTTCCACATCAATTGAAGATTAGTTTTACTGCAGTAACATACAAATTACTTTTTTTGATACTTCATTTCTCTTTTCAGATATTGGTCTGACTGATGGACAGGAAGTGGTAGTAGCCGATTCCACAACACCTAAACCAATTATTTGTAGAATATACTTCTCCTCTGGAATGGAGTGAACCTTTTATTTCAATGTTCTGATTAAAAGGTTTCTTACATTGTTATCAACTGATGATTTAAAAAAAATTAAAAATAAAAAAATACATGTAAGCCTGTCCCAATTCAAAATTGTCCTGTTTTATACTACAATTAAAAAAACAATGCATGTTGTAAATTTTATATTAATTTCCTTTTGTTGCATAAATTTTTGTAATATGTTTTGTTTGTAAATAAAGTTATTTCCTTTGTTATGTCAGTTTATAGATTTTTCCACTGATCTAAAATGTGAATATCATATATTTGAACTGCACATGAAGATGAAGATGGAAGGGATTATGAACACTACTAATTTACAGCCGTCATGGAAATAAAGCTTAAAAAAAATTTAAGGCATGTACAGCAGTTGAACCCATGAACTCTGTGATATCAATGCAGTGCTCTACCAACTGAGCTGACAAGCCAGCTGGGAGCTGGTCATTTTATTGGTTCTTAATAAACCTGTGGGTGATGAATGAATGACTGTAAATATATGAATATCTTTTATTTAGAATGTGGATATTGGAAAAATTTAGAAAAATCTTCTTAAGATACCTGAACAGAGACAACGCTAATATTTAACTGGTAGTAATTAAAGTGACATGAGTTATTTCTGCCTGTGACCATAACCTCATTGGCATGCCCCAGAAGTGTACCCCGCTTGAAACATAGACATAGGATCCAGACTTGTGTTGGTATAATCCTGCAAAGTATGGTTCCCTAATCAAGTGCCACAGATGTATTGGGAATAGCTGCCCTCCATGTGTATGACCAGTGAGGACAACATCAATGCTGTAATTATCCAAGGAAAGCTTTGCTACTTTAGGTCTGTGAGCAAGGAGAACTGTAGGAATGTTGCTATCAACTCCTTTCATTGCTTTGGTTAAGTCACTTCCATGATCTCCTGATCTAATTTGAAAAAATCAATTCAAAATTCAGTTACATTTCATTTCTAGAGCACCATACCCCTCTTGCCCATGGCACTTTGCAACTAAGTTAAAAATCACAGAATTGCTCACTAAGAATGCATTGCCAGTATATAACCCACCTTAGAAATCCACCTTCTACGTCATCTACACCAACTAGGCAAATTTTGGCATGGGATTTTTCTGGATGTGTCAACATAACATGAGAGTTGTGCAAAGGTGTTACACCAAGATATTCCAGCTCTTTAAGCCAACCATCAACATCGCCAGTATAGTACTCATGGTTTCCTATCAAATAAAAGGCACATCAGATTGGTAGTCCTTACTCTCTCATCATGTACCCTTCTTTAGACAATATCAAAGGGAATCTCTGCTGTGTACATCCATGGATGTGACCTAGATTCAGGATAAAAAAGGACTCTGGTTTGAAAGGTCCTATTTTGAGCCCTGGCAAGGTCAATGTGTTTTGCCATAAGGAAAAAACACCAGACTCCTACAGTACCCTCTTCAGCTTAAGAGTGTAACTGAATACCAGCAAGTTGCCAGGAAAACTTGACAAATTGCCAGAAAGGTACCTGCAACAGACCTCTGTTTCCCATCTTGGATGAGTAACAATCCTGTACTCCTAGTCATTTTATGTGAGATAGGCACTAGCAGAACTCTTGGCTTTGAAGACTTGAACTAAAAGAGCATTTAAATCAAACTGAAAAGTATGTTCTCGATCTATACCTGTCACAAAATAAACACCATATCTTGCTTTCAACTTAAGCAATGGTTTAACTGCCTGTCGAATCTGATACACAGTTGAATCAACCAGATCTCCTGTTAGGGCGATGACATCTGGATTTAATTGATTTGTAGTTCGAACTACTTTTTCCAGCATGGTCTTCCCTACGGTGGGCCCAACATGCAAGTCAGGAAGATGAACAATCGTGAATCCGTTTAATTCTGGAGGGAGATTTTTAACAGGTAGTTTAATGTTCTTCACCAGCGGTTCTTTAAGACCATTATGTAGTGCTACCAGCGCCAACATAAATGAAATTATGATGATACCGATAACGTGAAATCTTGCATAGCGTGACTTTGATGCGAGAGAACCAGAGCGCATGTTAATCGCTCCAAACAGACACGTCACGAAATCAGCAAGCAAAGTCGCCGTTGTCAACAGTATAAATAATCCTAAACATATGTAAGACAACAAAGAAATCCAATGCGGCTCAATGCCAGAAAATATTGTCCCCAGCATAATACTTCCTTGGGCTAGGATGATAACCACCATCAAAAGAAGGAAAAGAATTCTGTTTAGAACGGAAGCAGAGTTGAAAAGTGGAGAGCACAGACGTAACCATAAATATCTTGCTGTGAAAAACATGAGCGATTGTGTTGCAAGTAAGCATTGAATCAGGATAAGTTTATACTTCTTTTTCTCATTTACGTCCAAGAAATAGGTTCCTATTATTGAAACCACATTTATGCTTACAATTGCGCCCACAATAACAAGAACTTTGTCGAACTTGGAACTTCTTCCCGACGCCATATTGGAACAATTTCGATCCCAAGCTCCCAGCCACGCTCAAATCTTACGTGGTTTCTTAAAGTCACTCTACTAATGGCTTCCGCATCAACTACCTCGAGTTTTGATCCTTTAACCCCTTCGAGCGACTGAGTTCTTACTTCTTCTTACAGTATCACCCTTGAATCAAATTTAAACGTCACAAGAATAAATTGATATAGAAAGCTTCTGATATCCAAACAAATTCTCCTTGCCATTACCGTAGGAAATGTAGAGAGATCAGTGTGGAGAAAATCAACCCCAATTTTGGGGTGTAGTACAGAAAGTGAGCAGGGGTCTTTGCTTTGACAGGGCAGGGTTCGAAACCGCGGTTGCACACCTTTCTTCAAACTTCTCTTAAATTGCCACTTGACGCAAATAAAAATGCAAATAAGCGTTTCGTGTTCGTTTTTTCATGAGGAGGTGAAGAGAAAACGGGAAAAGACAGCACTTTTTATGTTTCTTCAAACCTGCCCCGAAGTAAAACTTGACTGGTTACACCAAGAGAATCCGCCGTTTGACTACCCGCTTATAACGACAGCGGTTTTGATAGTCTGCTAGTACATCCATTTTACTTGGACGGAATCAGTAAACGCTTGAAAATATCCGACAACACGATGGGAAGTGGTTTGAAAATAAAATGATGACATGCAACTAAGTTGGTGAAGAAAGACATTTTATTAATGGGTTCTTAACCACGTACTCATAATATTGGCCAAATTTCCGTGCCTGATGAAATTGGCCGAAATTTACTCTACCAAAAATCTACAGAGCAGTGTTGTGGCGAGTTTCGATCCCTCTCGTTCTAAAGTTCTCCCGACTTAATTCTGTTAGCACTAAACGTGTTCTGTTTGCATTGCTCTATGACTATCTGTCTTCGCAAAACATTTAATATTTATGTATTCAAACACACGCTCCTGTATTTCGATTGCAACGAAATTTCCTATTTTGAGCTTTGTTTTCATGAAGTTTAAAGTTTTTGTTGCGCAAAATTTGTCGCAGTCTCCACAGCTTTCTTTACACAGCCAACGTTGGACCCAGATCCCTGCGCAGACTGGTCCTTCCCGCCACATTTTCCACCAATCAGCTCGGACACTGACTTTACCCACTCATCTGCCTTCAGACCGCGCGCAATCGCATCCTGCAGACCAACCATAAGAAAATTCAGTATATACTAAAACAATCAATAGCGTTGAAGGTGCGCTCTGATTGGCTACTTAAACTATAAATATCCTTACCTATTCACCTCCGAGTAACTCGTGCGTGATTTGCACACGAAAATATTGTAATCGTTGCAGGAAGAGAAAGAGGTAAAATAATCATTTGGTGCTATATTATCTCACTACAACGGCTGGGTGAAAATTAACACAATCCACCTCACTAAATAGTGGTCAACAATGAACCGTCTTCGTGATTTCAGAATCACTCGCGTACCTTTTTTGGTTGCACAAATAAATAGTTTGGTTGCAATACAAAGATTGTTGATAGTCATGTTAAACGAGCGTTTTCACATAGATTTCAGAGCAGCATTCTGTTAAAGGCGAACAATTAGCTTATGGCCCCTGCGAATGAATGGTGAAATGTTATGAGATCTAAGGGGAACTAAATAATTTTCATCTCAGTCATAGCAAAGTAGGTATGAAAAAATTATGACACTGTCGGAGTTCTTAGATTTCAAAGATGACCTGCAACCTTTCGAGATCACAAATACTCTAAGAATTGATTCAATACCTCATGCAACAGTTTTGCAATTTTTAGCACATTTGAAGACAAATTCTAAAGGGATTGTGTTAATCTTTAGAATGGCAAAATACAGCAATAGTAAAGTTAAAAAAGAAGAACTTTTTTCCAATAGCGGAAATATACATGATATGGCCTCTGGAGCATGTTTCCCCAGTAACAAACCTTGGGTACTTGAGCTAAGCAGATGATCTTGGAGTTTTCTTCGTCCACACTGAAAAGAAGAGCGGCCATTTTCGGAGCCAGGCTTTTGAACTGTTTCATGGCAGCGTCAAGAATCTTAAATGGAAAAATGTACAAGGAAAGTCTAGGAATTATGAAAAATATACCCACCAAGCGTTCATCGGTTAGTCACGTGTTCACACTGGTTAGGGTACGCAATGCATCTCGGAAATAGGACACATTGTATGTTTCACCTCTAGCATGGCGTTGTTACCTGTCTTTCCGACGGTACAGTTAAGTCACTCACCTTAGAATTTGAACCAGCGTCAAACACATCAACAACAAATGATCTGTTAGGATCTGCTTCCACTATGCCTTTAGCTTTATCGATCGCCTGAAAAAAAAGAAAAAAAAAAGTTAAGTAAATTTACAGCAAGTTCTTCATTCGCACTCATTCCCCAACCGAGTTACAAGACTGAGATATTCATGCCAGTGAGATAAACAACCCTCTTCACATTTTCTTCGTAGCAAGACTACTTTTCTACACAACTTTGACTTCTAATGTCGTGCTGTAGTGGCCCAAATTAAAGCAGGATTTCCATGTTTCTGTATCTTTTAGTGGGAAAGCTGTAGTTCATTCAACATCCCTGCTGTTTAAAAATCAAGTTTTAGAGAGAACAGGTCACTGTTTACAAAAAGGTATTCTCCTTGCTTACTTACAATTCCTATCGTATTCCCATTGAGAATTTTTTAACTAGACCAAGACTATTCTCCATATCGACTTCCTCATTCTCCCTACCAATCTCATCTCTAATCGCAAACAGCCGAGACAACTTCTGAAAAGTTTAAAATGACTCACTTGTTGCTGCAAGACGGTTTTCTTCGCTTTGTCAGCGTCGTCAACTAGTTTCTTGACAATCTTCAATTTGGATCTCATTTCATCTTTCCGCCAGGCCGAAATGACGGCTGCAGATATATCCTTATAAAGGACAAACAAACACAAATGTTCAAAATACCGCTCTATCCTTGTCACAAATCATACTAGACATGTGTTGGACAAAAGAGTGAGCGCGCTTTACTCCCTATCGAAAGTTTCGGGGTGTTACCCTGTGTTATTAGGCAACACTTTACTCTCACAGTGCTTATCTCCACTAGAGAGAATAAATGTTTATCGGTCAACTGGGTAACCCGATGAAATGGTCGAATTGGGGGGTGGGAGAGGGAAGGGAGGGAAATAAGAACCAGTCTCCTTTGCAGACTTTTTTGTTATGACTAACAGCTTGAAAATAATTGATCAAACGACACTTTCCCATGGTGAAGATTAGAGTTGAAAGCGCGTCAATAAAACACTGAAGGAACAAGTTCACTACCTCAGCTCACAATAAACGTGACTTTTTTTATAACAATAAACATAACACGCAAAACGTAACGCTGGTAGAAGTATCTTGATCATCGTATTGATACAAAACATTAAAAATTATAATTATTATTATTGTTATTATTATTATTGTTATTATTATTATGTTACTACCTATAGAACGAAGCGCACCGAAGACTTTTTCACTTTTAGTATTTTTAACAAATGTGATACATGTTCTGGTGTGGTGTATATAATTTGTACTTAATATATATAGAAATGTACATAGTTGATCTTATTAAGTTTTCACTGTGTTATAACTCGTTAACTCAGTAAGTTACTGCAAGAGAGTTTAAATAAACTATTATTATTATTATTACCTCACTAATTCTTGTGATTTCTTGTGAAGTTTCTTTAATGTTAAGTCCACCATCCTTCATCTTTTCCTTCACCAGATTCTGAACATTTTCAACTCTCTCTTCCAGCGAGTGACATTTCTTCTCGGCTTTCAGAGCTTCAGGTCCTGTGAGAGCCACAATTCTCCTAATTCCTTTAGAAATGGCCTCTTCTGACACGAGGACAAATGATTTCATGTGTCCTGTGTTCTGTAGATGCCTGATGACAAATAGTAGAAAAACTTCAGGAACGATAGAGTAATCCCAGTTGAGTTTCAAACGCAATTTGGAATTGAAGGGAGTGATTTCAAACTTCTTTACTTTGCTCTGTGATTGGTCAAGAAAACTCGCTCCGCCATAATAACCAATCAGATGCGAAGTTACAACCAACCACGTCGCGGTTAATCACGTTTTCCCGCGCTTAAAACAACTTGTATGTAATCAATTCAAGTTCCCATTGGCTTCTGGTCATAGTTTTCTTTTGTTCTGATTGGTCGTCGTAATTTTTTGAATTTTAGATTCCTTTAAGAAAACTCCATCGAAGGTCACTGCAAAATACCTCAGACGTAATCGAGCCTATGATATTACGAATTTGGTTCATGTTTTGCAGCTGCTTACAGGGATTAGCTGCTGCAGTTGCTTTGATCAATTATCACATGATTTAAGTGTTGCTGCTACAACGCATTGAACCAATGATAATTACCAAACAAACTTACACACCTCTCGCCAAGGGCGATAAAAAATTAAACACAGAGTCACGTGAACCTTGATTTTTCTTCTGATTGATTTCAACGGAAGCGTTTACACTTTCAATTGACAGCAGTCGGAAGAAGACTTTATTTCAGTAAAAACTAAAACTCAGATATCAAGCGGTGTGTCCCTAGATTAGCTTTGACTAATACTTGGATAAGAACAAAAGCGCATGATTACTTCACCTGAAGGACCGTGAATATTACTTACGTTCCTCCACAAAATTCGACAGAATACTTGTATCCAGCTTGTGGATCGTCTTGAAGTTCATCGAATGATGCACCAATGGACAACACGCGGACTGGATCAGGATAAACCTAATCAGTAATAACATTGTTAAGTGGTGAGCGAACACAGCGGTCTTCGCATAAAACTGACATCAGCCTAAAGTAGGGAACCACGTTACAGTATGCTAACCTCGAAAAAATCAAACCAAACCTTTAAAGTTTGTAATTTGGAACCTTTGCTGAATTCCTCCCCCCCCCCGTTGCGTTACATTTACAAGAACGTCTTCGAGTGGAAACTAGCGTGGTATCCCGTGGGTGTCCGCTTAGTATGCGAGTTCGCCCTTCATTATTGGAGCGTTTCTTTGCCCGCGTGAAAGTAAGAGATCTTGTTTGACGCGAGTCGGCAAAAAGATCCACAAGGGGTCTAGCACTGATAATGACAGACCCCCCGGGAAACCTCTCCCCGATCCGTCTCAAATCCTCCCCCGGGCGAAGAAACGCGCGTCCTCTATCGCACGTAATAAGGAACTGCTTATAGGCATTGCCCGCTAAGCGCAAAGTCGCACTGCGTTATCGAGAGAAAGGACATGAGAGGACGAAAATCTCACTTGATACGCCGGAGCAGAGACATTTTGTGCTCACCTCTTCAAAAATCGCCCTGAGACCTTGAATGTCTTTAGCAGTGGCCAGAGGTGACTCCTTAGCAAATACGTCCATGCTCCTTGACACAATGTCCTGGCTAGTTAGTTCAGTGTTCTTGATCTGCTCCGTTGTCATTGCCCCCTGTGGAAAGGAAAAAAAAAACTCTTCATTAATTTCTTGGTAATTTCTGCAGAGAAGAGGAGATAACCTTCGAAATTACTTCTGTTCAGCCGGGTTCTCAAAAAGTTAGTCACTGTCAACAGTTCTTTTCAGTTCCATAGCGTAGCATATAAATTTTGCGGGAATCTTACTATTTTGTGGTTCGAGCGTTTTATTCAGCGGATTTTTTTTGCAAATCAAGGACAATCTGAAAAATCGGCAGATTTTTCACGCGACAAGTTTCAAACCAGCAACGAAGTCAGTCAATCTTAGGGGTTGAGGGGTTAATCGAGAAACAAACCTTAGCAGTGAAATCAAATCTGAGCTTATCAGGTGCGACAAGTGAGCCTCTCTGGTCAGCGTCTCCAAGATGTTTCCTGAGCGCAAAGTTCAGTACATGAGTGGCAGTGTGATTGTTCATTGTCAGTCTTCGCCTTTGCTGTAGAAAAAAATTATCGACACAAGTCACTTTTACCTAAAGTTATTTACTTCTATAATTCCACTATTATCACTTTATTGGGCACTGTGGAGCATTTTACGGGCTGAAAGAGATATTTTGGCTGGCTAATACATTTTAGCCTGCTTGCGTAATTGTTTTGAAGGTTTTGTTTTAAAGTTATCTTTAAAAGTGTCTATCGCCTCATTGCCCTCTAAAGTGAAAACAATAGTAACACAGTTTATGTTCTTGGACGTAAAGATGTTTTGGGTCATTCTCTGAGCCCATTTTAACCCTCGCCTGACGGCTCGCGCTAAATGACTCTGAGTCAGACCCGAAACATCTTTACCTTATGCCTGTGAGTGTACTTTATTGTTTTATTACAATCTTGGATTTACAAAGGTGTTTGCAAAACTGGTTTTAAATTTTTGACTTTACTTCACCTTTTGACTATGACGTTACGACTTTTTCTCTGCATAGAATTATAAATATTCTTTCTATCTTCCAAGACTTGACCCAAAGACAGAACTGGTCAAAAATCATCTTTTTTTATTTACTTTAATAAGGGGTGATACAGCTCTTGTCAAATTACCTCGTCTATCTGACATTTCATCTGGTCTCCAACTCTCAGAGTACCTTCAACTGCTCCTACATGAAGTACATATCCACCATGAACCTGTACATTAGTGACTGAAAATTCCACTTCCTGCAAAACAACAAATATTCATTAGTGACAAAAAGGTTCATAGATTTTCATGTAACGACACGCAGGACCAAATGGCGATGGAATGTATCGCCACTAATGAACTGGTTCGCTTTAATGAACAATCATTGATGCCGTAATTAAACTATGACAGCTGAATAAAGGGGGGAAAGTTTCTAAAGAGACTGTAATGCTGCATCGGTTGGGGTATAACAGGATAATTTGGATAAGTTGCGAGCGTTAGCCCGTTCTCTCTGTCGAAGGGCTGACGCTCGAAACATCCGCTTTAGAAAATCAGAACAGGTGGCCAATCTACATTATCAACTCACTTCATAAAACCAAATTATCTTGTGACAGCTGAAATAGTTTTCAGTCAAATTTTCATTTCTCTATTTGATCACTTACATCATCGCCCTCTTTGACCATAAATCCCTGGTCGTATATCTGCCCTCCTTGCTCAGCATAAAAGCATGTTCGGTCCAGGACAACTCCGCAGTGGCTGCCGGTGATTACTTCGTTGACGAACTCCTTCTCAAATATGATCGCCTTTACTGTTCCTGTCACAGGCTCAAACACTGAAAAACACAAGAGAGGTTATCAAAAATTATCATTCAGAGGTGAACAAGGTGTAGCTAGAGCTTCAAGATTACTGGTAAATGGATATGGCGATATGATCATATTAATAAAGACCACAAAAAAATAATATATGCGTTATGAACCAAGCTTTTTCAGTCAAGATGGAGCCAAACGAAGTTGTGGTCTATATAAAAGCAAAAAGAACAACACCAATATCCACAACCTTGACTGAACATTATTGGTTACAATTACAAGATTACAAGAGATTTTTTGTATGGCAAACAGATTACACAAAGTTCTGCAATAGATATTTTAGGGTTTCTGATTCGAGAGCTTTAAAAGTACTCAAAATGATTCTAAAAGTTAAAAATTCCCAAATATTGTGACACATGTTGACAAGTTACAAGGTTTCTGTACATCAGGATTAAAGCGATCAGTGCTAACCAGGTCACTGGATCCCTTCATCTTTTTCACCTGTAAAGCCAGCCATTTTAGTCATTCCTCTTAATCAGGTAAAAATCTGGAGAATCATGAGAGGGAATATTTTTCTTTACTCAGAACATTCTCAGTTAAACCAAACTTTCTGATTTGCTTCCCTGATTGAGATCATAAGCATCCATCATACCGTCATGTGGTCTCTTAATGCTAGGGTGTCCTTAATTTGCTGATTAGTGTAAAAACACACAAATATTCTAATAAAGGAATTATTTTACCATAATTTCCTTCTTTGTCTGATGTGTAGCTATACTTGGACTTCTCATTGGTTGGTTTAAGGTTCAAGTCTTTTTGTAACTTGTTAATTGCATGGACATCAAGAGTGATGGCATCATCATTTCCAGAGCCTTTTCCTCGAGCAATTTCCTTTAGAGAGTCAATGAAGTCATCATCAAGAAAAGTTTGAAACAATAAGATTGAAGAACTTTTTCTTCCCAAGTCATAACCAGAGCTGTACGTTTGAATTAAGGATCTACCATGTACCAGAGAGCTTATGTTAGGGAAGCCAGTACTTAACATGTAAGTCTTTGTGTGTCCCTCCTTTGGCAGCACCCTTTCACCTTAAGCATCCAGTTATCAATCCTCTGCACTGTCTCCTAAATATTTCTTGCAACCTTAGGCCAGATAATTTGTTGTTATATCAGATGACATCCCTCATAAGATACTTTTCCCTTTTTCTCATCTCCTCTCTGCTTGGAAATTGTATTGATTCTATGGAGAATTTCCTCTTGGGTCACTTAAACCCTCCTACTCCTGGGAGTCAGAGGGTAAAGTCAATGAAAACCACTAACCTGGGCTTTTTTCTTAGATTCCTCATAAACATTCATGTCTACAGTCAATCCCCGTTCCTCTGCCATGAGTTGTGTTAGGTCCACAGGGAAGCCATATGTATCATACAATCTCCAAGCCACATCTCCAGGGATGAAATTGTCTGTCAGCTGGTTCACTGTCCTGTCAAAAAGTTTTCTTCCCCTGGCAAGAGTTTTGAGAAACATTGTTTCTTCTTCATTGATAACATCTTTTACCTGTTCCAAATTGCAATAAAAATCATGATCAAGACATTACTTTTGCTCATGCAGGTAATAATTTTTTCATGCATCCTTTTAAATCAAACTTGTTGCCAACTCACATATCTCCCAATGAAAAGTAATTCCCTGATTAAATAATGATTAAAGCATCAATGGAAATAATAATACATTTTAATCCAGACAAAAATATGTTAATCTTACCTGTTGTGGATCTTTCTTCACTTCAGGAAAGAAGTCACCCTGTAAATCAAAAAAATATCAATCAGTTTCTAGAAAAATCAGAGGAATGGTCTTCGGAAATAAATTTTTCCGTAATGTCTGACATACCGGTACTCATGTCTAAAGAAAGTACTGCATCAACCAAAGGTTTACATAAAGTCTAACATATATGCAATATGCCATGGTTGAAACCACTGACCAGAGTGTCCACAGCCACTGACACCAATGATGCTATGAATCCTGGGGGCATGTTGAGTTTTTCTGTTCCAAAGCGAACACATCTTCTAAGGATACGTCTTAACACATACCTGATAAAAAAGAAACATATCATATCACAGAAGCACATCAAAAAACACAGACTCTCACATTTCCCTATTTCCTTGTTTTGAAAATTTTGAGTACAAATATTCTTTGCATCCTAAGACATCTCAATTTTGTAGTCACTGTTGCTATTACTTCAAGCTTAAAGTTTGTAAATGAAATATTGGTGGCATTGAAAAAAAAAAGAAAAAAAAGAAAAGAAAAAATGATAAAGGAAAGAAACTGAAGTGTCATAGCTTAATCCTCTCCATAACAACACCTTGGGGCACAGAGACAATGGGCCATAATGCTGAGGTAGATGCTGAGGTAGGACAGACAAATTCTTAAAAAAAATTGTTGTTAGTAAGCAAGTGTTAGACTCAGTCTTACCCTCGGCCAGTGTTGTCGGGTTTCCCACCATCAGTGATGGCCATAGTTAATGTTCTGACATGATCAGCCACAACTCTGTAAGCCATGTCAACACCATCTTTGTCTTCAGCTCCAACGAGACCTGTATATGGTCTGACACCAGTGCCCTGAAATAAACCAGACAGTATAATATATTCCTAACTTTTTAAACAGGGAGCATATTTGAGTATAATGAGTGAAATACCTTATGAACTGCTTCAAAGAATGGCTGAAATAGATCAGTGTCATAGTTGGACATCTTTCCCTGAGTGATTGATGTTAGACGCTCCAGTCCCATACCAGTGTCCACATGTTTACTAGGCAGAGATTTAAGACTTCCATCTCCTTCTCTGAGTTTATAAAATAAAAATTTAACACATTGTTATAAGAACAAATTATTAAGACATATCCTTTTTTCTTTTAACTCAGATTTTTTCAAAAAAGAAAAGGGATCATAATCCTCTAGAATTTTGATTTTAAGGAATTGCATACAATTCTGAAACAGGGCAAACAAATTTGGAAAAATCATACTGCCACTGCAATTATTTTTTCATAAAGTACTTTTCTGCAAGCAGTAACTGTATTTGTTAGATAAATATGTGATTATATAGAGCTGTAAATTAAGGATAATACTGACTGAGATGACAAATTTTTTAAAGAGGAAACCATCATGATTTTAGCCACCACTCTCAGTTGACTTAATTCTCTACAATGCTTCTTAAATGCTAGGTAAGTGAAAGTACATGTCTAATAGCCAACCAGATCACCAAAACATCTACAATCTCCATGCAATTTAGAGTTTGGCATTTGTAATTTCTAACATCTTAAAATATATGAACCATGGTATGGCCTGGCTCAGACACAGTCAGTGATAGAATCTGTCACAGTGCAGAATCTGAAGATCTGTGGTTTGAATCCTCTTGGGGACTTGTAATTTTTCAGTGTCCCTCCTTAGTAACAAGGCAAAAAAAAAAACGCGTCTTTCTTTATGGGACCAACCTGTTAAACTGAATAAACACGAGATTCCACACTTCAAGAACAGTTGGGTCATCCATGTTAACAAGATAGGCAGCATTACGTCCACCAATACGATCAAAATGAATTTCAGTGCATGGTCCACATGGTCCAGTCTCGCCCATCTCCCAAAAGTTGTCCTTCATTCCAAATGGGAGCACTCTGTCAGCTGGGAGGCTGTCAAATAAAATTATTTTCAAAACATATTAAATACCTGATCTTGTTAAATTTAGGTAGGGTCAGTGATTATTTAGGAAATCTTAGCTGATAACTGCTGTTAAATAAGAAAAGTTTGCCAAAATTTTGAAGACGTTACATGTGCTTTGTAATATATCCTTTAGGAGTACCAAATTGACAATAGAAGGGAACCCTTTGATGAGATAGACCTCTTTTTCCAAGCCTAACACCTAAAGTTCTTCAAAGAAACAAGAAAAGATGCTTAATACAATGTTTCAAGATGCACAATAATATTGACCACACCACACCTCTAATCAACCCTTCATACCCTGACATCAGTATACATATTCTCCATACTGTTCTCTATACATAACAAAAGGTGCTGCTCAGGAGAATTTGTTTAAAAATCACAAGCTTCTTTAGTTGGTGATCAATTCCTTTATTCTCACAACCTTAAGGTTTAATTCAGGGGTGATAATGTAAGGGGGAATTAGATGCTAGTCACTCTAACAGGTCAAATGGCTAAGGTTCAATACTTCAACTACAGAAGAAAAATACTTTAACTGTTGACCATTAACAAGAGGTAGTTTTATCAGTATAACTTGCTATAACAGGCTGTTAAACACAGGTTGTCAAACTAGCCACTAAGCTGCAAATCCATGGAGACCAAAATGGAGACAGCCTGGAGTGTGTTTGGTGTAAATATTAGGAAAAAGTTTAGATTGAAGAAGATCTATGAGTTGTAATTACTTTCACAGCTGTGGTTACCTGTGAAATAACCTCAGCCAAATTTCAAATTAATGCTATACAATGTCACCAGGAACTGAGGATGAGCAGGTCAGTGCATACTTACCCCATGTTGAGCCAAAACTGTTTGGTGTCCTCATCAGATTCAAGACCCTCTGCACCTCCAAAGTAAGTAACATAAAGACGCTCTTTTGGCATCCCATATTTGACTGTCAGCAGCTCCCAAGCAAACTCAATGGCCTCTTTCTACACATGTCGTAAAATATTAAATTATAAATAAATTCTTGTTTACTATCCTAATAAAAAAATTTCATGAGTCATCTTGATGGCCATCATTTAATATACAAAGAATAGATTCCTGTTGATTTGCATCTGTTTTGCACTAGATTACAGATGACATAAATTAACAATTGGTTCATACATCAGCGTGCATTCATCAAGATATGAAGCATGTGGAAAGTTTGGAGAGCACGAAAGATGTGTAAGAGTTGCTTGAGGCATAGCCAAGAGCAACTCTAGCTTCTTGAGTGCTCTCCAAACTTCCCAAGTACTTCATATCTTGGTGAATGCACAGCTGACACATGAACCAATTATTTATAACATTTTCAACCTGATGGAAAATTTTTCTTCTCGAGGGATTTGTTTGCTGACGTCATGAGTGTGCACAATAGGAATATGAAGCATGTTTGTGCAATTGAATTTGATTAGACAAATTTACTAGCTATGTTATAATGTATGGTAAGAACAAAAGAGTGGCACACAAGGTGCATCCAATTGTCTTACTAACATTCCTATCACATTTTGATGTCATCTGTGATCATTTAGTAAACAGAACCACAACAAAAAGGATACTGTCTAAATTATATGATAAAGATGCATGTATTGTAAACGAATGTATATGAATCTGTCCTTGAAGAGGTCATACGTAAGAACCAATCAAACTGTGTGACTAAATAATTCTGCTTATTACATAAATAATAAAACATAAATAATAAAAAACAGTCTTCATGAATAACCCAAAGATTTCTCACTTCAACAGCATTGAAAAAAAGTGAATTTCACCATAACAGACCTTAAAATAATCTCCAAAGGACCAGTTTCCCAGCATTTCAAAGAATGTATGATGATAAACATCTTTGCCTACATCATCCAGATCGTTGTGCTTGCCTCCTGCACGAATGCATTTCTGGCTGTTAGCAGCACGTTTGAGTTTAGACAGATCACTGTTTGGATCCACAGTTCCCAAAAAAATTGACTTGTACTGTACAATGAAAACAGAACGAGACAATCTTTTAAAAATATTAGAAAATTTTTTAATCGTCCTAACACAGTGAGTGAATTCTCAAGTTTGTAATTTTATAACAACTATCCTAATGAGAGCTAATAACTATATTGTACCCAAGATTCTTGCATGTTTTAGTCATTATTGGGTCTTATTTTTCATCAAACTTGTTTGGTTTTGTCTAAACAATTTAGTGGTTTAAAAACTGTTTAGAACTATGCTTTGTTACAGACCCTACAGATTTACCTTAATTAAGCACAGGAAAATAATCCAAAATTTAGGTCAAAGAATTTGAATCTTCCCCCCTCCCTAGGAAAAATGTAAAATTGGTGACAAAATATTCCTTATCTCCCCTCCCCCGATGATGTTTTCTACATCACTAAAAGATTCCATTTTTCCAAACTCTGTTTCAAATACTTTTCAAACATGTTACTGCACTTCCCTCCACCGCAGATATTAACAACAACTAAAGATCCTCATGGAACATTCTGTCAAAAGAGGGGTTCCCCTATTAAATAACATAGACATGCAAGAGTTACTTTTTAGCTGGATAGGATGAGGTGGAACACTTTGTGTTCCTAACGCTTTCATAAGTTTCAAAAGAACAAAAATATCACATTACTTCACTTCAAGAGAAAGAGAAAAAACAATTTATCTAAACTCACATAGGTATTTTGTTGTCTATTGTCTCTATTGTCTAAATACTTATGAGCAAAAATAAAATGCATCGGAGCCACGCTTACTGTAGTCTCCTTTGCAGCCGTTGTTTGATCTCGTCACACAATGCCTCTATTCCCCGTTGAAGAGAGCCATTGCGTGATGAGAACAAATAATGGTTGCAAAAGAGACTACCCTTACAGCCATTCATCTAAGAGAAACAAAATCAAAATTATTCATCTACAGTTAGTCCTCTTAAAAATATAATTCCACATAATTTTACAGTGAAAGTAGACTGAAACACATGCATCTCCAATGAACCCTAACCAAAGATATATTGCAATCTCATATAAGAGAAGATAAACTGAGCAAGAGGAAAGGATAATATTTCAAAGAGGGCTCCTTGATTGGTTCTGGCTTATCTGGACTTTGCCCTCTGTGTGTGAAATACATGATAAAATGCAGGTTGTTTACAAGAAATTAACATGTGATTAGGTTATTTCAAAGGTAGCTAAAAGCAAATTTTATTTGTAGAAAAAGTCAAAATGTGGGAGAATGCGTAGAAAATTCACTCAGTAACAAAGTTTCATCTGAATTTTTTTCTATGGTGTTAGATAATGCTGTTAGAATACCTGATAAAATGCAAGTTGGTTGTTTACAAGGAAATGGGATGTGATGGAGTGAAGTCTAATGTGGCAAAATGGAATTTGATAGGTAGAATACAATTCAAGCACATGAAACATTGCCTAATGTTCATGTAGTGCAACGATTGAGTATGTTCTGATTAGACTTTGGATGTTGTTTTCATGGTATGTGATGGAATATAAGTTGTTTGGCATGTGGGTTGTGAGAAAAGGAACAGAAAAAACATGTTTTACCTCAAAAATTATACAATAAAAATAAATGCGAACCTTCCATATCCCGATAAATCTCCACCTCACTTGACAAGGCTCTTGCAAAGGGCACAATCATAACACTTATCAAATGAGCCCAAAATTTCTGTTTGATGTCATTCTTTGTGCACAGCTCCCTAACTCCATGACATCATTTACAAAATAACAATACCCAAATGCTGTGATTGGTGCATGATATCCAAATGTTGTGATATGATTGGTGTGAAATACATACCCTAATGTAGCAATCTGATTGGTGTTAGCTATTTACCCTAATGCAGCAATCTGATTGGTGCGAGCCACATACCACTCTACACACTAAAATAGAGTTTTTTTAATTAAAAAAAAACTCAAAAATGGTCCTTTAAACGGAAGTCCTATTTCCTTCTGTGTCTAGATTTCCCATTTCCTGCTTCCAAAACCCTTGGTCAAAAAGGGTAAAAGGTGAAACAGCAATAGAGGGGAGCCATGAGAAAATTTAGGCAACAATGGTCGTGAATTGTCTCACATCCCACAAAAAACAAATGTTCGAAAGAGCACGTGAAATATTTTTTCCAAATTGAAACCCGTCAGTCAACACAATGTAATTACTATTGGTTTCCTGAATTGTGATGCAAGTAACAACTTATGACGTGAAACCTTTTAAGCAGTTTTCAATGCACAGATATCGATGAAATTACCTGATTCATACCAGCGTTCGCAAACAATAAGGTTGGGTCCTCATGAGGAATCGTAGATGAGGAAGGGACAAAGGTATGCTCGTATTTCTCCACAAAGAAATCAACGAACATCTTTCGGAGATCTTTCGCTGTTAATGAAGGATCCATCTTAATCGCAGTGCTTGACGTTCTTTTTGAAACGTTGGCGAAAAGAATGGAATTTAGGGATGAGACGAACCAATTTAGTCGTAAGCACCGGCCAAAAACCATGAAATTTCCACGAAAATCATGCAATCCATGGGCGTAACCGCTGACTTCAAAGGCATCTCATACTTAGCTCACCCCAGTTCTTCACGGATTATTTATTCCCAGTAAGGCTGCAAACTTGTTTGAGGTGGACTTTGTTACATCAACAGTACACGTCCTTTTATCAGTTTATATTGAGCAATGGCGGAGAGTTGCGCGGGAAGGCCCGAACTCCCTTTGTTTTCCGCCGAGGAAGTGCAACAGCATAACTCGGAGAAAGATTTTTGGATCATACACCGTGGAAAGGTGTACGATGTTAGTGAATTTCTGGAGAGACATCCCGGGGGGAAGGATATTTTGCTGCGGTTCGCGGGCAAGGATGTGACTAAAGTGATGACTCAAGATGATCTACACAGACATACAAATTTTGCATATGGCTGGCTTGGAAAATACCTGATAGGACGCTTAAAGGGAGAGGTTAGAAAATTGTTTTTCTCTAGCTTTGAAACTTCTTAAAGCCCTCTATTTTGAGTTATTTTAAACTGGCCATTGTACTGCTGTCGGTGATCAGTTGTTTTGGTAAATTATCGAAAACAATATTTACATTTAGAACCACACAGGATTGAATGGAAAGTTTTTACATGTTCAGAGTACTGTTTAGCGTTTTGTGTATTTTTTTTGTGGTAAATTTATGGGATGGACATTTACAACATCGGATTTGAAACAATTTGGGTGGCCTCCTCCCGTTTGTGTTACATAATTTCACGCTAGACAGATCAGCCCATATTTACCATGCATGTTACGAATAGTCCGTTATTTTTAATTTAATTCAAACCTGTTTAATTACCTCAACCTTAAGGTATTAAAATTCAATTCTTACCACGAGTACTTTTTTTCTTTGACGCAGTTAAATATGTTTTCGTTTTAAACTGACTCCCCATGGTTCACTTCGCACGTATGTTTTTTCCCTGCCGCAAGGGTTAAAATTTCAGAAAAGCGATTCCATCCTATTTGCATTTGAATTGAAGCAGGGACCATTCCAGAAGCCTAATTAAGTAGCTACTCTTTCGTAGGTTTGGTGTTGTTCGATTTTTTGTCTTCCTTCATTTGAACATGATTCTGAGATCTTTATCCAGGACAGGTTTAAAGTCACAAAATTAACCGGCAAGTTACAATATTTATTATATTTCACTCATTTATTATTAAAGCATTCCAGGAACAAAATGTTGTCACTATTGTCAATAAATAAGAAAAGAACAATAAGATGTGGAGGAAAGTAAACATGTTTTGGGCATCACCAATTTTGTGTAAACACTTGTGTACTTATAAGTGTCTTTGAGGGCACAAGTGCAGTTTTGTGAGGGATGATATGTTTGTTTGACTGATGGTGTGCAAACAACGAGCCTGTCTACCTCACCCTTTTGATAGAAATGCATTTCAGAAGCCATGACAACAATGTTTTTTTTTTCTGCCACAAGTGTTAAAAGTTCAGTAAAGCACATCCATCCTTATCTACATTTGAATTGACTCAGTAACATTCCAGAAGCCAAATTAAGCAGCTATTATGTTGTTGGTCATCCTTTAGTTTTTGTTAAAGGTTATTAAACTTTATTTTCCTCCTACATTTGAACATGTTTCTGAGGTCTTTATCTAGGACAGTTTGGTTTTAAAAAATAAACAACTGATGCAGTGTTTATCTCTAGTAGTGAAAGAATTTAGGGCTTTCTGGTTATCTACCTCAGGTGCATAACAAGTGTATCAAGTTTGAATCAAATTACAAGTGTTCATGTTTCTCCAGCATCTCTGTTGCTTCATTTTACTGGAAGCTCCAGGAGTGGCCAAGGCTCAGTAACTGTTGTTATGTTGTTTGGTTCTACTTTCAATCACCTTTTTTTTAATTTTTTTTTTTTAACAGTAAGTGTTAAAATGAGTAACAAAACATCCAGAGTAATAGAGGAGGTTTTGGAAAAGTTGATATTTTGCTTACATTATAAGCTAATGGAACACAATTTTTAGGTGTTTTGGCAATGGCATGTAAAAACTTTTGTCAATCCTATTGTGTCTAACTGTTTCTGTGTTAGCTATCTGAAACTGTCAAGAGTTTTATATCTATCAAATGCTTAATTAATTCACTATTTTAGGCTGTACTACTTAAGCACATGGGTCAGCAAATTTGCTTTTAATTCTGCACTTTGTTTTAACATTTACGTTATTACAAATTTATTTGAATTTAACTTTTGGAATGCGACAGGAATGTTAATTAAGTTTTTCTTTTGTTTTCAAACAATTGTTTTTTTTGTCATGTACTTTACATATCAGTCTTTTATAGATATATTTATTCTTTGTGTGAAATGCTCTTTGACTGAGTGGAATTAACAATTTAGGCTTAAGAATTTGGACTTTGGACAGTAGGTTCATTAAAACTCCCGCCTCTTGGGCCAACTGCATTCAAAATACCTACCCAAGAGCTAAATTTCTTGGTCAAATGCCCCTCCAAACTGAGTAAAATGTAGTAGTATTTGATATTTTTAGAAAGGTTTTTGTTCATTTATTATTCAATAGCATTTCATGCTCTATGGAAACAACTATTCTTGAAAAAAATAAGACCAGCGACAGTGACTTTCTACTCATTGATTAGCAATTGATTTGGCTATTCAAGCTTCAAAACCTAAAAATCACTCAACTGAAATGTTCACTCTAGTTATTTAACATACCTTCAAAAATTTTGCTCAGCTTTCATAGACCTTTTTTTCAGAGCCATTTGCTCATGAGAGCAAACTCTTAACTTTAAAAACTCATCCATATTCTAAAAAAATAATACTCATTTGGGAGTAACTGCAGAATACCCTGGCACTTTGATCCACCTCATTTACATGTGTCGTACGGTTTTCAAGAACAAGGCATAACACAACAGATGCTATTCTTTTTCAGTGAGATGTAAATGAGTGGCAGGGTATTCTGAAGTTTAGCCACTTATGTGTTCTGCAGGAAAGACTTGACACTTCCAGTTCAAATCCCTACCCCACCAAGGCAAGGCTAAAATTTCCCAACCTCGGGAAAGTCTTTGGGTCTAAGTTCCCTCCTCCCTGGAGAGTAGTCAAATGCTCATGGATTGCTCTGGGTGGGTAGTACAGTAGGGATTGATGAAGAAGTGCAAACTTGAAAATCAATACATTTTGAAGTATCAACTTGAAGTATGTAGTGTTAAATTTACTTCTGATCATTATTGTTGGTTGACTTGACTTGACTTTGTATTATGTATAGGAGGAGAACAAAGAATATGATTCAACAACAAGACAAAATCTTCCTATGGATGGCTGGAGAGAGGTATGAATTTAGATAACTGTTTTAAACATTTTTGTTTGCTCTGTTGTTGTTTCTGTTGTTAGTACATGTTAACTTCTTTTTGCCATCTCTTTCAGGATCTGGTTGACTGGAACAAAGCAATCCTTCCACAAGTGGGGAAACTTCGTGCGGACTATCTAAGTTGGGTTCATTCCCCAGTTGATCGCCCCTTGAGACTCTTTGAGTCTGACTTTGTGGAATTCTTTTCAACCACTCCATGGTATGTTGTACCCATAATCTGGATTCCAATCATACTGTTTGTAAGCTTCTTGGGCTTCCACGATCTAACCACGCAGAATGGAATTGGAAGTATCAATCCTTATTACCTAGATTCCAAACTCAAGGCTTTATCTGCATTTTCACTGCTGTTCTTGTTTGGCATTTTTATATGGTCATTGATAGAGTACGTCTTACATCGCTTCTTGTTTCACTTGATCAATCATGTCCCTGCTGATGACCCATTTTGGATCACCATTCATTTTTTTCTTCATGGGCAGCATCACAAGGTATGCAGTGTTTTGAGTGTCCTGTGCATGTTGATAACTGTTATGTGACTGTATCTTTGCGTTGATAACAGAATATATGTGGGAAGATCTGAGAAAAACTGGTCAGGACTGGCTGAGCTGTGATACCATTAGAGTGAGGTTGTGCTGGCAAACCAAGACAAGATCTGTGTTTTTTTTCAACATAACATGTTGTTAGGGTTATTAGCAATATGTAATGTTTGGTAAAAATATCTTGGAAGTGGTATTCAGGGTGTGAGAACAACATGGAAATACAATTGTACTCTGAATTGAAATCTGATCATCACTCCTTCTCTGTGTTTTCTTAAGGTGCCTTTTGATAGTGGAAGACTGGTGTTTCCTCCTGTAGCTGCAGGTATCTTGGCATCCATCTTCTACTTTGCATTTGCTTTACTGTTCCCACTAGCCATGGCCAGGAGTTTGTTTGCTGGTGGTTTGTTTGGTTATATTACATATGATATGATGCATTACTACTTACACCATGGCTCTCCAACACCTGGAAGTTATCTACACCAGCTGAAGAAATACCATGTATCGCACCATTTTGAAGACCAGCAGAAAGGTACATAATACTATTTGTATGTTAATAAAACAGGCTAAGTGCCTAAGAGTGGCTAATTGCATGGTGGGGTCTTTTGCAGGACAGTTATGGGGCAGGTGCATTGTGGAGGCTGTGATTGGTGCCTCACAATCATAGTCTTGCTCTGTTGAATGGAATATATTTTAATCTTTTAGGGAAAAATGTTTAATTTTCAAACACTTTAAGTAATATAATAACTACTGGAATTAAAAGTAAAGAGTTTTTTGGAAAACATTCTTTGAGAAAAATTAAATTCATTTCTTCAATATCTACAAGGTGCTGTTCCTTTAAGCATTTGCACAAAATTCTAGGTGTTATACAGTTGGTTTTGGCATGAGCTATTTGAAACAGTTTTGTAAAGTATAATATCACTGAAGAACTGGTCCGTACTTAGCATGCGTATGTGTTATGGATGCATGTGGGAAGTTTGGAGAGCACGAGAGAAGCAAGTGCATCCATAACTCAATATACTTGCAGCTAAAGCATAAACCAATTCCTTTATAATGCAGCATGCAGCCTCAAACAAAAAAGAAATATGTTATTACAACTGAGTCAGGTTTATCAGGTAATTGTGTTCAACCTGAAAACTATTGAATGAGTGACAAGGCTAAAATGACCAAGAAATATTTTGCTTTGTGTTGAAAATTCTGAAAAGTGTTCTATTTTAAAGCAAAATCTTCCATTGAACAACACTTTTAGGATGAATCAACACTTCAAAATAATGTTTACCGTTTTTGTGATGAGTTCCCCAAATTGTAAAGCCTCCGTTAGAGCCATAATTTGCATGGTGTTTGGGGATGAAGTATCATCAACTCCAAAACTGATTCCAGGGCTTGAAAAGGGTACATGCTCATTGTTTTTCAAAAAAAGAATGATTTAGCATTTTTTCTTTTCATTTTGAGCTTCAAAAGGTTGATCTCAATTGAAATAGAACAGAAAAACAATCTTAAAAGTTCTTAAACCTTGTGGCTCAACTTGATGGGAACTTTCAGCCAAAGTGGAACTGCACACATCATGCACAGTGGTGTGGTACATAAGGATTTTTACCATGGTAGCTTCTTAGGAAATAGGTAGGCCTTGCTCAGGCACTATTTTAGAATATTAATTATTAACTCATAATGACACTGTTGTTTGTACAGGTTTTGGTATCTCTAGCAAATTGTGGGATTATCCATTTGGTACCCAACCAGACAAGTCACACGTCAAGGCTGCATAGATTCCATTCATCATTATTTACCAATTGATATTATAATACACAATATAAGGCAAGGGTATCTACAATTAGATGCTGAATCTTGTTAAATGCATTTTGTAATATTAAATATTTATTAGGCTCTGAATTCCAGTAATTTATTAAAGAGGATAAACTAAAGCAGTGTCTTTTTTATTCTCTTACATTAGCACCATGAATTAGCCACCACATAATTTTTTATTTATATAGCGATAGTTGTGGGTATAGTGAGTTGAAAATGACTCATCTTGGACAGTAACAATCATTCACATTTCTAGGTTTTGTTTAGAGGCAATTTTCACAGCACTAAGAATGACTTATCGTGATTTTGGTCCATTACAATCTGGTATGATTCAGATATTCTACCATAATTATATTAGTGGATCAATATTGGTAATGATTGTTTTATTCATTGAGTTCTTGGTGGTTTTCTTTTTCTGACAGTTGTAAACATGCTCATGAGATGAAATGGGTAAAAAAGACAAGCAAATACTTCAGTTTCAAATGGTTATCATATTTTGGGTGTAGTGTTTTGCTGTTATTTTCAGTGTTTAATTCTAGTAATCAAGCAACAATATGTCCATTCAAGGGAAAACTCAGCTGAGAAGGGTTATTTGACATCATGCTTTAACAAGTTTGATCAATGATTTTCCTCACCAAATTTTCTCATTTGGTGCAGATGTACACAGATTTTGTCTGTTGTTGTTTTTACCCTGCTTCAGACTTAGACAAAATGACATCAAGAAGGAAATTAAATTTTTTTTGGATTTGGGTAAAAACCAAGATAGCATATTCAGACTGTTAAAATGGATCCTGGTAACAGTTTCTCCCTGACAGTGTTTTGGCAATTTTTCATCCTATCCAATTTTCATTGTAATATTGATGTGTTAACACTGAGTGTATCTTTCATCACCTGATATTATAATCAATAATTTTTTAAATTTTAATCAGGAGAAAGCATTCAATGTTTAAACTTTAAAGTAATAGTTTTATTCTTAATTTTTGCATCAGTCTGTTGCTTAAAAAAAATATTCAAAAGCTTAGGTTTGAGGTATTCAGTGTGACTTGTACACATCATTAACTGAAAGACAATCATTATTTACAAATGTTAACTTAAATATTTCTTGTCCCTGAGTACTATTCATAGCTTGACTATCTAGTTTTTGTGAGAAGTTAGGGTTAGGGAAATTCATTTGCAGTCAAGGTTCTTTTGTAAGGGATAGTATTAGTAGGCTGAGCTCCTATTTAAAATGTAATGTAAACTTGACTGCAAATTAATAGGGTTTTTTGTAGATTGTTCAAGACCAAACAGTAACTAAAGGTAAACGTGAAACATGGAGCAAGGTGAGGGGCAAGGCTGATAGCAGTTTTATAGTAGAGACTGTTTTGCTATCCAGGAAGGAGCTACACATACAAAGAAAAATGAATATTTAGCCAAAGAAGTTTGCATGAAACAGGGGTTTCATTTGGTGGTTTTATTGTGTATGAATTTGGTATGGTTTCATTTTGCAGTGATAATTCTGGTGACATGTATTTTTATTTGTGATATCTCCAACACTGGACCATATCACTTGAAAAAACTATTAGTTATCAAATTGTAGGGTGTGCATGCTCTCACTCTACCTTTGGGTTCAAGATACAGAGGTGGCATCAATTAATTGATCAAGGCATTAATGGGACTAGCTCACAACCTTATAGGGAACATTCTGCATAGGTTAACCTAGTTTGGTTATTACCCATAGTAATGGGCACTAATACTGTATTTTGTAATGCAGCCGAGGCCATGTTTTGATGTTCTGGTATCACAGTGTGCGGTCACTTGTTTCCAGAGTTCTAGGTAGTTCTGGTATTACAGTAGCATTGACTTGCCTTATTATTATTAGCTTCACCACTATTTTTCTTGAACCTTGTGTATCAATTGCATGAACTTAAATAAAATATCTCAATTCACTCCTAGATTTGTTGTCTTCCTTTTTACTGTCTATGGAAGGACACCCTCTAAACAAGTAGCTATCTCACAAGATCCCTAGAGGTGCCCCTCAAAAAAAAAATAATAAAAGCAGATACAAAACTGAAACATGACTTAAATGGTGTATCTTGAGGGAAGGGATTCCCCTGATTCCAATCAATAGCCCAGAAGCAGGAGTCTCATCTATCTGTCATTGTAAGCCATGGGTGTCAACCCTTTTCCACAACCCAGTATTTCTAGGGACAGTTTGGGCTAAAGTAATGACAAAGTTCCTTCCCAAAAAACAAACAGTGCAGAACTTTTTTATGATAATGCCTTGCATAAACAAATTAAGGCATATAAAACTCATTGACAACAATTGTGGAATGGGCGATGTAAAAAGTGCACATTTTAATATATAAAATTAAGATTGAATTGAAGCATGCTTGGTCCATCAAAGACAAGTCCATTCTGTGTGTTTCCTAAATTAGGAAACACTGTTTCTTAATATTTGAATTGGAAAACTTACTGACAATCACTTGAATGTTAAACCCCCCAAAAAAATGGAAGTTAAACTCATCACTGCTCACTTTATACTTACTCTTTACTTCTTCTCTAGCCAATCTGTGTATGTGGAAAGTATTATCCACCTGTGTAGTATATACTAGAATTCGATATTTCATTTTTCACATTCATTTATGATGAATGCAAAATTGTGACAAGATATATCACATAAATTTACCATGCTCCCAATATGTGGCTTCACAGCTCAGTAGGTAGTACTGTATGACCAGTATCTGACCAGAGCACAGGTCTAACTCTGTTAAAGCCTGAATTTTTTTCAGACCTCTTTACCTGCACAAACTTTAACAGTCATACAATCATTTCTACAACCTTTCAATGTTATTTGTGACTGTCACATTGAAAAGACTTGTGAAGAGCTGATAGAAATCCAGACACAAAGGTAAGAAACGTTGATGTACAAGTTTTGTATAAAGTAAACCAGCAATGAGTGCCAATGAGTTTTGAACTACTTGGCTATAGTTTTACAAAATGCCAATGTTTAAACTAAGAGAACAACAGGCCACTTTCAAACCAATTCCTTTCCTCATTACATGAGTGGAGTTTCACACTCTAGAAGCCTCTGCTCAGAGTTCGCTATATTCATATAATAACTTTAAATAAATTTTAATTTAAAAAATTCCTAATTATGTCAAACTTATATATATAGATATAGATATGAATGATAATGCTTGAGATTGTAGTACGAATAATAGTATGCAGCTCACAGCATAAAAAATTACATTTGAAATTAGGTCTTCTAAAACAGATATAAATTATGACATTCACTGTTTCTCGGGCAGGGGGGGAGCACTTGGTTCAGGTGCTGCACTGTAGGGTGGAGGTGCATAGTTTGGGTATCCTCCTGTTGGAGGATAAGCACCTTGCCCCTGAGGAGGGTAGTACCCTGCTGCCTGCCCAGTCATAGGGTACTGTGCCCCAGGGGGTGGAACATGAGGGGCCTGAGGAGGCCTATAGGGACCAGGAATTCCCTGCGGGATAGCTGTGGGGTAGCCCCCATGTGGTGTGGGTTGCACCAAACGTCTTTGAAAGAAAAATAACACTTTGAATGTCATGCTTCCAAGGCCTATTTTTGCAACCTCTGGAGTCTCTAACATGCATGCTAGCTCCCAGCCTCTGTTGCCCATTTCTGTTATCATTGGTGTCCAATCTCCTTTGGCTTTGGTCTCAAAAAAGCCCAGCTGAAGAGGAAAAGAAATATTGTCAGAAGTACTAATTTAATTACTAAGTTCTACCGAGGAAGAAAATCATTGAATAACTACTTGAAGTTAATTTACAGTCCTAAAAATGTCTTAATTACTGGTACCTAAAAAAAAAAAATTAAGGTAATGTTGATATCAACAATAAGGGGAAACAGGTAAGGATATTTATTCCAAATAACAATTGAAAAGGAACCCCTCACAATTCTGATGTGCAAGCTCCCATGTGCCTAAAGTAACTCTTACAGCCCCAGATGTTACAAATTAAAATTAAGTTTATCCTTTCATTGACATTGTATTTATAACAATAGAGGGTAGGATACTGTTTCATTTAAGAATGAATTCTCTGAGCTACATGTTTATAAAATGCATGGCAGATAGTACAGAGAATAAATACCTGGATATTGTGAGGGAAAGGTTCAAACTTTACCGTGGCCAATTTACATTATCAACTTAGTTGATAACACCAAATTACACTCTGTTACACTCTCTCACCAATGCAGCACCACAGTTTCTCTAGAAACTTACCCCTTTACTTTTTTGTTAGTTCAGTTTTACTTACAGAACATATGAAACTAAACATTTTCAATTGATAAAACTTGGTGTAGAGCAAGAAGATGTACATTCCGTGGTTAACTAGGGGGCAACCATCACAGTCTGGTAATGAGACAAGGAACAGTTCATAACAAAGTCTGAGTTTCAACTCTCCTGTTCCAGAAACAACTACATACCTTTACTGTGTGCTGGTACTCAATAATGGTGCCTTGGTAAACTGGATAGAGGTCTGTCATTTTTTTAGTCTCTCTTTCAAAAAACCACACTGAATTGTGATCTCCAGAGAGGGAAAAGTCTAGCGCACCAGAGAAATGAGTTAGTTAACTGATATTAGCAAATATTTCAACAACTTCACCAACGGATTCCCTATCTCTTTCAACCCACTCTTAACTTTTTGTATCGCATATGATTACCTTCCCATTTCTGTTAAAGTTGATGAGATTGTTACCTCCTCATGTAATCAAGTTTTATTTTCCATTTGAGGACTGCATATTCAAAATGTGTTCTTTGCCAGCTTGGAGGACCTTGCAGTGAGTATTTTAATGTTTTAAGGATGAGTATTTTAAGTTAAGTATTTCTTCCAGTGCATTTTAGCCTTACAAAGATTAAATATACGTAAATTAAAACAAAATTGTTTCTGTGTAAAACTATAGATGAAAACTCACTAGGGCATTGGTATGATTTCAGGAAAATCCAGATCACACTAAGTACCAATCAGATCGCAGGATTTGACACTTTTGGTACTGGAAAAGAAATTAAATTATGAAATATTGACAACAGCATAAATACCTCCATGACTTCTTTTTCCCTGATCCCAAAAGATATCCACCAATTTCCATCCCTTTTGTAAATGTTGAGTAAAGTGTGCCATCCAGTCACAAGTGACTTTGACAAGCTTTCCAGGACCCAAGTACATTATTTGAACAGGAACATTAACAAGCTGGTATGTGTACAGTGTAGGGTTCTGGTGCAATGGCATGTTGAAGAACACATCACAGCCAAACACTGAAACCACGAGGAAAAAACAAGCTTTATTTCCTTCTCAACTACCTTTCAACAAATTTTTATAATAAAAAAAAACTGTATCAATTAAATGAAAACCTTCAATTACCTTCACTTTTACCACCAACTTTTGCTAACACTCCCTGACTTTCTTTCTGTCCAGTTAGTTCAACACTTGCTAAACGCCCACCTTGCCTGCAATATTGAGCAATCTGCCACAGAAAAATAAATGCAAAAACTGGTGTTGATAACTGCATACTTCAGGCTCATTATGCATAAGCTACCTTTTTATTAAATTCTAGTTTCCATTTTGAAGTAGAGGAGAGTTGAACTGACGAGGGTTGTTCATGGGTTAGATAATGCTATCCACTGAATAAACCTCTGTTGGCTGGATAACACCATACCTTTTGCTGATACTTACCTGCTGGTTAGCAGTTTATCCATTGGATATTTATCCATTATTCACCCTTTATACAACTTGGCCTTGGTGATTAGCAACCTCAACTCTGGATTAAGCAGGGTGTTTATTAGTGAGTTTGGAGAATTCTTTGCTTACTATCAGACTTTTCTAGCTAGATTATCATGGTCTGAGCAACTTTTGTTCAGACTTGGAAAATAATCTCCTCTCTCTTTACCTCCTAGTTGCTTCATGCTCAGGAAAATGGATACATTCTCACAGCAGTGATGGGCTGATTCAAGCTAGGCTTGTAACACTAAACCACTTCAACTTGAACTTCCAACAATTTCTTGTGGATTTTTAGTTCAGTTTAAAATGAAAACACAGTTCACCTAGAAGTTACTAAAAGAAAAAGTCTGATGACACAAGACTGGACTGTACAATAATTAAGTGAAAGGAAAGCAGTGCCACTTACCACTGAAATAATTCCTGACTGGTTAGTGACATCATTACCACGACCCGAGAGCTGATCCAACAGTCCTGCTCGTTCTACTGTCTGGATGCTTGATTTTACCACCAACAGTTGCCATGAGTGGTAAACTGGAGCACTGATTGATAAAAACAGCAGTTTTCTGAGCATAAGGTAAGGACTCATTCTCACCTAACTAATGTGATATTGAGTTTCTGAAAGTGTGACTACAAGATCATAAACTAGTTGGAATGTATCAATTAATGAATCACATATAGTTGAAAAAAGTAATCATAAAAATAAAATTTGTACATCAAGGTTCTTGTTTTGACCTTATTTCCTAACATCAGAGGAGCCAGTGTCGCACATTTTTGTTTTGGACCAATATTATACCACTATTTCTCTTCAAATCTACTTCATACTTTTGCACAATTAAGTGATATAAGTCTCATTCAGAAAATTATTATTTCAAACAAACCAACAAGGAGATAAAAGATATTTTGATTAAGGTGACTCTTATGAGTCTCTCACTCCAATGAAAAATTACTCAAGAAAACATGGCGTCCACTATAAGTAGTTGCATTTTCAGGAAAATTGCTTTCAAATAGGAAACATACAGAAACCTGTTGTAGTAGCAGTATAGATTAGCAGTGTAAATGGAAAAGTATCACAAGATTTTCTTTGAAAAGCAAAAAGCAAAGTTGCCAGATAGTGTGGACTATTTGATATAAAGATACTTGGAATAAAACTTTTCAAGGGCACAGGGAAAATTCTCCTTAATGAGTACAACTTCCACATTCAAAGAAAACAAAAGATGTAAACATTCAATTCCTATGAAATTCAGGAACTAGAGATTTTGCAACAAAAACATCTCTAAATCATAGTGGGCAAATGAAAGAGTATGGCCTACTAAATTGACCAATCACAACATGCATAATGACTGAGAGAAATTATAGACTGATATATTTTATTTCTTAACATACCCCATCGGCCTTGAGAAGACTCCTTGATATGGAGTTTCACTTGCATTCCAACCAATCTTCCCAATTCCTGGCACTGCTTTAAATGTTTCAAGAATAAATCCTTGCTGATAAGGTTCACCAAGCTTGGCATACTTACTTGTCACATCAGAAGAAACACTTGTCTTTCCAGTGACAAGGCCAAATGTGGCTGTAATTTAGACAGAAGTAATAGATAAATAAGTTTTCTGAGATTCCTTTAAAAACAACATACAAATGTAGGACAATTTCATACAAAAAAGAAAGGAGAAGATTCAGCAGTTGACCAATTAGTAACTCTGAGTAATGATAACTGTGCAAAGATTATTCCTCATTAACCTTTGACACCCAATCATCAGTATAGTTTTACATATTCTCCATACTGTTCTCCATACACTGCCTAAGCTGCTCACAAGAAGAATTTGTTTACCAATCAAGAGCTTCTTAATTAAGTTGATGATCATTTCCTTTTATTCTCATGCCTTTATTGTGTGATTCAGGAGTGATGTTGTGAGGAGAAATCAAATTAATGTGAATCACTGTAAGGGGTCAAAGCAAAGCACTAGTTATGTCAAAATCTATAAGGAGATTTATGTGCTCACTTTGACCAATTGTTGTGACATCAATGGTAACAAAGTGGAGGGTGTATCTTATTCCAGGAAATACATATTGATCTTCAGGAAGAGGAGTATGATTTCCCTTTGCTTGTTGGTCTGTCTGTTGAGTCTGGCTGGTATCATTACCAGCAATGAAGTTTCCAACCTTTTTCCTTCAAGTAAAAAAAATTAATAACACTACCATTAACTAGCAAAAAGACGCAAAGGTTAGACATTTCAGTTTTCATCAATATCTTCTTCATTGCTTGTATCTTATTATTGTATCATTATTAACTTGATAGGATTCATCACTTTTGACCATTACATCTTTAAACTGTTTTTCAGTCTTGTTAGGAAATGAGATTACTGATTAATGCATCCTTTACAATGATGATTGTTCTAAAATTATCGTTATCATTATTACTATAATTATTATTATCATTATTTTCATGGTTATAAAAATGGGCTCTAGCCAATAAGCTTGAATGTTTACAAGTGAATAATGCAAACTGATTTACAACAAGTCATAACTTAGCACCTTGTAAGATAGAACTCAATTTATTGCTAAGATGTTATCAATTAATAAATCGTTACTCAACTGTAGTTTTAAATTAGCTATGGATGAGGGAACAGGGAATGAGGAATGAGGAATGAGGAATGAGGAATGAGGAATGGGGAATGAGAAATGGGGAATAGGAAATGGGGAATAGGAAATGGGGAATAGGAAATGGGGAATAGGAAATGGGGAATAGGAAATGGGGAATAGGAAATGGGGAATAGGAAATGGGGAATAGGAAATGGGGAATAGGAAATGGGGAATAGGAAATGGAGAATAGGAAATGGGGAATGTCAACAGACCTGAATTTTAAAGGAAATGGGGAATAAAAATGGGAAATAAGTTTCTAAAATAGAAACTGTGGTTCTGTGTCTGAATTTAAAGGAATAAAGGGCAGGTAAACTTAGGTTCTGTGTCTGAGTTGAATGGGTGACCTGATTCCGACCGAACACATTCACATTCAGTGTGGAAAGAAAAATGACAAGGACGCATCCAACCTGTTTTTGTCACCATATTCCCACCAATAGCGTAGCTCCACTTTCTGCATATAAACCCACACACAACCCACAATTCCTCCAATTGCTCTGACAAAGGGCTAATGCTCAAAACATCAGCTTTTCCACAGACTGCTCATACATTTGGTCAATTTCAATCCACACTTTGTGATGCCGACAACACCCACCTTACATATGCAGGTGATTGTGTAGACAATCTTCAGTTGTATTCTCAATTGGTTGAGAGCAAACAAACTTATGCTAAATATGACTAATACCACGTTTATGCTCATCAGTTCGAGGCAGAGATTAAGTACTCTTGCAGTTTCTCTGACGATCACAATTTAAGACAATCAAGTTAGCCAGGTCACCACTGCAAAATTACTCGGAGTGACCATTGACAACAAACTTAATTGGAGCAGTCACATTGATAAACTAACAAAGAAAGTTGCTTCTGGCATTGGGGCTATAAAATGAATAAGGCACCTTGTCCCTCAAGCGACTTTGCTTCTAATATATCAAGCTCTGATTGAGCCACATTTTGATTATTGTAATATTGTTTGGGGAAACTGCAGGATAACTTTGCAGAAAAAGGTACAGAAGACACAAAACAGAGCAGCCCATGTTTTGACTTATTCAAATTATGACGCAAATGCTGGTCACTTTTTTGAGCTCCTGAGCTGGAAAAACCTAGCTTCCCAGCAGCAAATACAAAGAGCCACAATGGTTTATAAGTCTCTGCATGGTTTAATTCCAGATTATTTATGTTCCAAATTTGAAAGGCGAGAAACTGCATATAACCTAAGAGACTCTGAGAATAAGCTTAATGTTCCTTAGCCGCGCACAAACTATTACATAAATAGCTTTAGCTGTAGTGGCGCCACTCTTTGGAACAGACTTCCTCGTGACATATGACAAGCAGAGTCCCTTGAATTATTTCAGCTTTTAATTAAAGAAGTACGTTCCGGCATGGCATTCATGGAAAGCAGCTTTAGTTAGGTTTGTGCTTTAAGTATAGTTTTTATGGTATCTTATCCATTTAATGCATGTTTATATATTTGAATGTTTTTATGGCTGATGTCTGTGGGTAAATATAGATAATCTATCCATCTCTATCTATCTACAGAAGACCAACAATTACAGGTTTATCATCATCAAGTACACTGAGGCTAAAACTGCTATAGACAGGCAAAGTTAAATATTACATTCTCTACACCGACAAACTTTCGATAATCGCGCCATCTAAAACATTATTTTCAATTATCTTGGAGGAATGGGCCACTCACCTTAAGGAATTCATAACGTCCTGTGATTCAGGCGCCTAATAGCTTCCAAACACACTCGAGAAATTACGCATAATTTGATTCTCAAAGTTTGAGGAACTTAAGTAGTCCAAATCATAGCATTTTAAATATTCTCACAGGAGGGAGAATGGTAACTAGTGCCAGTTTTCTTTTGGCCAGCCAAACGAAAGAAACTTACCCCCTTTCTTCTGGCCAGCCAAACGGCATGGATCGACCAACAAACAGAACTCCTCCGCCTGCCTTTATTAGTACCAATTACTCGCGAGCATGGGGTATAAATTGAAAAGATGTCATGTAGATTAAAAAGCTAATACAAATGTGGTTCAGGTGACTGGTACGTCCTCGAAGTCGTAGATCTGCGCGCGTCTTCAAAACGTTTGGCGGAGGCGTGTGTTGTTTCGCAGAGTTTGTAACAATTTTTCACTTTCCTCCAAAAGAAGAAATATATCGTCATAACGAGAGAGGCATATACGGAATTATTACTCACAGTTTTTGGGCTAACTATTCACGTTGCGATATACCTATTTATTGCACTCAGAGTACCTTTCACCAAGAACATCGCAAATAAATTATCATATTTGTACTCTACCTGTGGATGATGAGAGAAAAATTGATATTCATGGGTAGCATGCAGGAAGCAAGGCGCCGTTTAGACGCCGAACTTTTCACGAATTGCCAACCGACTTAATTCGAATTTGCACGAAGGATCGACCCAAATTTGAAAAAGGACCTCGGTTAATTCAAACAACGAACTTAATAACTCGTTGCAGCCTTACCCTATGCAGTTCCAGGAAAAGAGCTTAAAATATTTCGTGATTATGAATGCGTTTGGTTCAACGTACTCGAAAATCTTGTTAATCACTCGCTTATAGCTCGTGATTTACAAGTTTTTCTCGTGTTCTCTCAAATTCCTGCGCGCCACTTATTACGCTTTATGCTTAAAAACGAGGAATTGAATATTTCCCGGCAAAATGGCCACACGACCTGTGCATCCGTTGCGTCTTTCTGTCTTTAAAGTGGCCATATCCTTGCACAAATGCAGCAGTGAAACTATATTGCCCTTTTCCGTGGTAGTGCTATGTTGTTACATTAGACTTCTGAGAGCTTTCATCAAATAGAGTGGTAGGAGTATGTTGTTCATTAGGTCACACGAGGCTAAGACTGATCAAAACCGATACAAAAGTTTCAAACGAAAAAAAAAGCTAAAAGCGGTAACGTTATAGGATGACCCTTTGATTAGAGAAATTGTCACATTGGGTAACTTTTCTACCTGGGTAATAAAAAAAGAAACTCTACTAAAAAAGATAAAACTTAACTCAGCCAAGTGCAAAAGTATTAAAATATACTTGAGATACAGTTTAAATATGCCTGGTGTCCGTTTGGCAAGTGGCTCTGTCACTTTAATTGTTTATGAATCATCCATTATTGAGAATTAAATGCGATATCTAAATGGATGCAGATCCATATCGGACCGGCAGGAGTGATATGAACTTATCTGGACCATTTAGGATATAACCCATATATTTTTCACTTGATAAATATTTTTTTATCAGGTAATATGTTACATGTTATATGGTTGTGTGGGAGCCGGCCGTCTGTTAGCCAAGTGGATACCTCTTTCAGGAGAATCTCTATGGGTTTACTAAGCGGTCACCCCGGGGAGTGACGAGGTGACCGCTTAATATATGTGCAGATTGACCGTGTCATTTAGTTCGCGTTCAACCTGAGAATTCGCAAACAATAAAGATAATTTTGTATATGTATGCATGATTGTTGTTTCTTAGTGCTCAGGATTACACAGAGTATATTTTCAAGGTCAACTTGTTTAAACTTGGGAGAGTATCATCAAAATGACGGGAAAAACAAGACTTTAAATTGTGAGAGAGAGAGTGCTAAATTTTTTGAGGATCGAATACCTTAGTCTCCAACACTCAAACCATAATTGTTTAAGTGTGGAGTTAATTCGACTCACGAAAAAATGCCTGCTGAATCTTTCAATATCTGATATTCTTATGCTGAGATCGCTAATTTAGCATTAAAAAAAATAGTTAAAGCTATTCTGTCGATCCAGAAACGTTGAGTGAACAGCTTGCAATGATCTCTAAATGCTACATGACTCAAAATGGATTAAAATCAGCTTGGTATCAGTTTTTTTTGTGATAAAATGACGGAAGGACTTTCCTTTAAGGAAGCATCCAGCTGATTTTTAGGCTGTAGTTGTGGATGCTGGCTTCTTATCACAAAGAAACCGGCAGCTCTGTCCCATCTCCTTCTTGCACAACACATGTTTCCTTTGCCGCTTTTCCTGACAGCCTCAGATAAAAACGGAGGAATAGGTTTTGTTCAAAACATTCCTTGATCAAGATTCGACAACTCTGTGTGGATTTTCCTTAGATAGCTTCTTCTTAGAAGATGCAGCAATTTAAAGCCCTTGTTATATTGTTTATCGCTGCCACGGTGTATATTTCTTATTCTGAAGCGTTTCATATGGGGAATAACCAAGTGGGCCAGCCAAAAGGTAAACTGTTCGTTCCGTTCATTGTTTTACTTTGGGAACGTATTTCTTATCAAGGAGGGACACACAAGAGATTATAAACTGCAGTTTACATTCTCTTGCATTCGCCTGAAACACGAAAACTCGCCTAAATGTTCATTAAAACCGAAAACTGAAATGAATTGTTTTCCGAACGAGAAACTGCTGAGAGAATAATATAAACAAAGGTTGAATTATGAGGCCCATAAGTAGACAAGCAAATTAAAAAAATTGAAAAAAATAAACCGTTCTACATAATTTATAAACGAGGAGAAAACCGGAGTTGTTACGAGGGGAAAAGTCAGTCACTGTAATGAATAACAAATTCGACTCAACCACACCAACCGAATTGTATCGAAGTTTTTCGGTAAGAACTTTTCAAAGAGAGCTCAAGTTCACCAGATAGCACTGAGGCACCCGCTAATTTCGTTTTCAGATCCCTAAATTACTCTCCCCAACAACACGACCGTGGGATGTCTGAGTACAAGACTCCTTGGTAAAAGATAGGAGACTGGGAAAAAGTCTTTCGTCTACCATAGTGACTCTTTCTTTGTCCTCGATCATAAGGTGATGCCCCAAAGGATATTCGCGGATATAACCAGCCAAGAGTGTATGATGAAGACACAAGATTGAAAGCGAAGAGGCACCGCTTTGAAGACTGGAACACTTATAATTACCGGAAATAGACACATTATCATGACTAGGCTCAAGAAAGCAGAAGTACCAAGTTAGAATTAGACTGCAGAGTAGAGTAATAAATGATCATCGTTGATTCTCAGTTCAAAATTAATCAGTGAACTCCAACATCTCATGTTTGAAGTTTACAACAACCGTGAAAGGAAATTCTCGCGAAAACAGGTGTACTCTCCAATCCATGTTTACTAACAGATACACACGCTTTATTTTTGAACCGAAAATAAGCTTACCAAAAAAAACTGATCAACGTGGGAAACTTGGGAGGTCGCCCTTGCTTTTTTTTTTTCCCCGAAGTTTGTGCATTTATTTCGACTTCAAATTCGCTTAGGAAACTGTGCAAACATTTCTATTTATCCAAAAGATTCTTTTCTTCTCTCTTAATTTTGTTTTTGTCTGTTCGTATTTTTTATTTTTATTTTTCTGTTTTGCAATTCCCGCTTACCATGCAGTACAATGACAGGAAATGAAAGGGTCTGTTGTAAATTTCCGGTTCCGGTTCGCGTAATGTATTCACGTAGCCCCTTTTCATGCGAAAATAAAAAAACGATTAGCAACGATATCAACGGTAAGCACGAAAATAAACAATTGGAGATTGGGAATTTTTATCCTCTTTAAGTCCTTTTCCTTTTGAACGCTCGAAGTTAAGATTTAAGCAACAGGACTTGAACCCCCAACCGGAAGTTGGTGGTCCCATGTGTCAAAGTGAGGCTCCGTGAGTTTATTTATATCTGACGTCGAAGACCTTGAATTCTGAGCGCTATCGTCTGTAACCAAGATTGAAGCAAGCTGTGCTGGAGACGGGTCGTCAGTAAGGCCCACAAGTTTATTCTCGCCGGCGATCATGCCTCGCTCGTTTCTTGTGAAAAGACGAAAGAGCGCCGATGCAAAATCCACGCTCGATTCCGGTAAGTTAGCGAGTCAACTTGACTATTTTCTCTCTTAAATCCACACGTGTTCTCGAACGAAGATATACAGTTCGCAGTTCTTGGTCGGTCGATTGGGATAGTTCAAATGTCAACATGCACGGTCGGCTTCTCAATTTTAATGTCCACCCGGTGATACGATGTGAAATCACCAAAGCCTCGCAATTCTGGTAGGATTGTACTTCAAGAGAAGGGATTGCTTTAATTAATTCAAGTTTTCCGACTTGCCTACGCTGTCATTATTTCCCTCTATTGGGGAAATTTCATCAGTTAAAGTACCAGACCATATTTGTGTGATATTCATCCATGGTTTTGCACTCCAGAAAACGGGCATTTATACGGTTTGCTAGGCGCTGAAAGTGATTTTTAGATCTTCTAGAAATCTTCAGGACGGTGGTTTTCTTATTAGCACTTTTGCAAGTAACAGTAATTTTAATATACACACACCTGGGAGACGTTTGGCAGATGTTTTCAAAATGCGCCGGACCCGGTGGTTATTTTCTATTTTAAATCTCACAGCTACAATAAGAGAGTCGACATTGTGTGAAATTCGGCATTCTATTTTTGCGAAAAATAAAACAAAAAACTAGAGCCCTCGATCGCTAGAAATGATTGATCCCTAGCAACTTCAACGCGAAAAGCAATGGAAATGTTGTTTTATGAATTTAGCCATAAATTAAAACGGTTCTGTAAACAGATGAAACCTTAATTTCACAGCTGTTCATGGAGGGATTGAATTGTAGTCCCATAAATAGCAACAAAAAGAAGCCAAGAAAAAGAAGTCCACAGGAAGACAGAATTTCCTAAATTGCTGAGCGAAAAAGCGTCTAAATTTTTTAATAAACCGAGCGGGACTTTCGCGACAAGAAAAAAAATTAAAGCGGTAAGTTGCGCGGGAAATATTAAATGGACCATGCAGGGGGTTGTATGCCCGCGGCTCGGCTCGGAGCAACACTGCTCTACAGTGACATGTGTTTTCTAGCGGCAACAATCGAAAAAGGCACAAATTTTAATAAAATGGGATGAAATTCGAGTGCAATGGTGTCGATATCAACGGCGACAGCTTCCCAGTATCCTGGCTCACGCCTTTTACCGCGGGATTTTTCTAAAATATATCTATCGGAAAAGCGAATAGATATGAAATTTATTCGCGGACAGTTCAGTATCAGTGAATATGCGCCGCTGTGTGTGTATTTCTTTTCTGCGAGATTTGTTATGTGTTGAATGATAAACACAAATTTCGAGTAAACGTTGTAAAAATCAACGCTTTGCGACTTTTACCTCGTATTTATGATATGTTAATGTACCAAGGATAGACATTAAGGAGCTTGTTAATGATGTTGGTAATGGAATAAAAGCAAATTTTCGTTTTCAAATGAAGAGGACATCGGAGAAATACGATTGAATGACAATGTTTTATTTGCTATGTTAATTTAAGTTTTCAATAGATGACATTTACTCGAAAACCTTGACTCAAAATTGTCCAAAACCTTCGAAGATATGAATTGCAAAGGGGTTTTATCACAGTGACAATTTTCGTCAATATTTTCTGTGAAAACCTGTTCAATTTTGACCGGAAAACATAGGCTTTCTTCCAAGGAAAATTTAAATGCAAAATAAATAATTTTTGTTGGCCTTTGAAGATGTATTCTTATCTGAACAGATGTTCATGCTTAGGCTTTATTAGACAATAAAAAATATTTTATTGAATCACTCAGAAAGCGGTGTTGTTTCTCATGTTGTATTTCATCCAATGACGCATTGTGAAAGGAACTTTCTCGTTGTTTTCCTCAACGTACTATTCAAGTTTTGAAAGATTGTGGAAAGTCACCAATAAAGGGAAATTTTTTAAAAGATGGGTTTAACATGTCATATTGTATTCATGTTAAGAGCGAAAAGTCAAGGGAAAAAAATCCGATTTTTCTTCACATTTGGGAAGACAGGCTGCAACAACTGTGCTACTGGGAAACCATTCTTACTGTGAACGTGTTCCTTCTTCTAATTCGTAGATTGTTTGAACGCACAAAGCGTTTTAAGTAGGCACAGGGAAACGATGCTATAACAGATGGAAAATCGATTTTTCGTGTGATCTCCGATGCCGCATCGGTTTAAAAGGTGAACTGGGTCAGTGAAAACAGCCATTGATCAACAATGACAAGAATTTTATATTTTTTGATAAGGAACTACAAACGAAAACAGCTGGGTTTTTATCCGCATTTTAAATGGCTTTCTGGTATTGAAATGGGTTCTTTAAGCAACCAAATCTTTTTATTGCTATTAGTTAACAAGTCGTTTAGGCAGACAATTGGCCTCTAAAACCCAAACCAGTTCAGTATTCACAGTAAAAGAACAATAGAGAACTGCTTCGTCCAGATGGTTCGTCTTACAGTTCACCCTGCCGGCGTTTTATTTCCATCTGGTATTCTAAGAAGCTGTTTTCATTACAGGAAATCTCGCGTGTGTTGAGTTGCCAATAACATGTTGATCATAATGGTTAGACTTTCTCTGAAGAAGCGATCTCAGATTTTTTTAAAACTCATTTATATGCACTTCTAACCAGCAGCAAGACGGGCAATCTTTTTTTTTTTCAAATATATTTTGTCGAAGAATTAAGTTATTAATATCTGATGTTTAGATTTCATGATCGAGAAGTGAAAGTTTTTTTTAGGAAAAGGTTAAATTCAGAAAACCTCAGACCCGGCGATAGCGTTAGATTACCAGGACTACCTTCAATTGTAACTGTAGCCTCGTAAAAATATGAGACAGGCGATCGATGGAAATCATCTCCGATAAGAGTAAATTTCTCTGGCGACCTTATCATGTACCTGTGTGTTGTTTGTACAGTGAGATTTGCATATGCTACATTCAAAAACAATTTCCGACCGCCTGCAAAGCAAAAAATTTCTTATCCTGTTCTGTTGAAGATGTTTAATATCTTCTGTTTTGACCCGGTGCCAGATTAACAATCGATTTCAGAGGATTGCTGTTCATACCAGGGAATTGAAAAGGAAAAAAAAGAAAACCTCTCAAATTTTTTTCAAGGGCAGGTTTTTTTCGTAGTTTAATTAAATCCTCTATTGCCTTGATCCTCCACCTGATTGACTTGTTCAAAGGAAAAAAGAACGATTACGGATGTTTGAAAACACGCCCGTATCGCTCAATTCGTACGCATGCGGCTGTGGTTTCTTTTTCACGCCAGGGAACGCAAAGTATGTTTCGCGCATCACTGTGATCACGGAACCAGGTTGACATATCCTTAGCTTTGTTGAGGGTCGCAAAAGTGTGATGGCTTTTACGGCAAACGGTTAAAATTGTGGCCATTTTACGGCTTACGGTTACTATAATTTTCTTTTACGGTTAACTTTTTTTATGACTTACGGTTAACCCCATTGAGACCCTCTTTGTAATAAGGATACCCCAAGCCTTCCACAGCCAAGTCTACATTTCAGTTACAGGTACACAGTAGAATCTGGGTACGAGATAAGAATACTTCAAATACATTCAAGGTTACCACCAAAAAGTTGATTATCAAAGATTGAAGAGAGTCCAATAATCGATTTAAAAAAGTTTTTTGCGATTTAAATAAATGTTTGGTAGTCATAGCATTTTGCAAAAATTGGATCTTACAAGAGTCGTGTTAATTTGTGTCAGGTTCCTCCTACTTATTGGGAAGAAAGAAATTGCAGAGAGATGTTGCAGGAACTGAATTCTCAGCAACTCCCATTACGCCTAGACCACGCCCTCCCCCATCTAGGCACGCCCTTGTAGGCACACAATGCGTGCATAATGGGAAATTCACTCTTAACTCATAGGGTAATCAGAGCAAAAATTAAGTTAAGCAAGTAAATGAGCATCTGTGCCAAACAAGAAATAATAAAGTTAAACTCAATAATAATTGTAGGAGAGAAAAATAACATTGAAATAAATCTAGAAAAGGAATTTTCCAGGTCTGAGGGACTATTTGGAATTGAGTATCCTCTGATAATGGTGAAACAATTGCCAGGGAAACATCAATTAATGACTAATAATGTTAAGACCCAGCCTCTTGTTCAAAATCTATAATTTTTTAAAATCTTGTTGGAATCATGAGTTTCATACAGAGAAGTTACACAATCATTTATAAATATATTTTATTTTGACCCCCCAGATGTCACTGAAAAAACCCAAGATCCTTCTAACAGCTCAGAAGAGAAAAAAAAATTTGTACCTTCCTGTCAGACCACGCAATTTCATCCACAACATTTTCCTTACAACACACTGGGAAGAAAACACCACTGGGATCACACAAATGCTGCATGCTTGTTAAACAGACCAGGAACTTTCCCAGAAACACCAGAAGCTTGGGTTAAATGCGCCTCTGAGTGTGTCAATACTCATTGTTGTGGGTATTTTCATGGAAAACTTGGAGAACCTTCGAGTTGTTTGTGCTGTTTGACATCCCAAAAATTTCTCACAAATGTTACACAACTGCAAGTACCTCTATGGCATAGGAACATGAATTATGACAGTGGCTGTAATGGGATTTTCTCACATCAATTTGGTCCATTTAGTTCCAAACCATTGTCCTGTCCAGTGGAAAGACTTGATGTTCATGTAATAGAAGAAAATGATAAGGTAGATGACAACTTAACCTCAGTTCATGTTGGTAACTGCAGTACCATGTTTGGTGTGAGATTAGAGAACAACCCAAAATTTGTTAAGACAGAAGAAGTAGAGGTGTTTCCAAATGCTGCTTTGAAGGAGGATAAAGATGAAATCAGGAAAGAACTTCCAACAAAGAAAATAAAACTGACACCTGTTGAAAGCAATGACATGTTGACAAAGGAGGACAGTAAAAAGAGTTTAAATCATGAACATAAAACTGGGGTGGATTCTACTACGGAAAAAACAAAGCTTGATGATTCAACTCCTAGAGAAAAAATTAAACAAGAGTCCCCAGAGCCAGAGACTATTGTGTGTGGTGATGTTCTACTCTCCCATAGAAAAACTAATAAATATGAAGAGTTTGAACAAACTTGTCAAGAAAAAGATGGATTGAACAACCACAAAAAGCACAAAAAACAATCTGCAGAGGTTAAAAGAAAAGCATCTAACCATGAAGCAAAAAAGATACCACAGACAAAATCAAAGAAGGGATCCAGGGACAGTAACACAAAGCCATATAATACAAGGGTAGTGACATCTCGCCGGCCAAGAACTTACAGCAATGATTTTGTTCTAGCTGAAGAAGAGGAAGACTGGAAGCAAGGAAAGGAAGATTATCAAATGAAGGGAAGGCAAAGGACAAAACTGAACAGGCTCTTGGCAAATGAGCATGAGCGTAGGAGAGTTGCACAATTGAATAGCGCTTACCAAGATCTCAGACAGTTGATTCCAGGGTATCAATGTGACACAAAGCTACCAAAGATAAAAATACTGAAATATGCCATCAATTATATTGCACATCTTGATGATATACTGGCAGATGACTTCACTAGAAGTTAAATCAGAGGTAAATTAGTTCCAACCTCTCTCTCTCTGCTATCTCCTACAAATGGCGGCAAGTATTGTTGCCATGCAAACATACTATGTTTATTTGATAAGCAATTTCTTTTTTTTCTTAACCCTTGAAATCCTGAGTGACCAGAGTCTAATTTCTCCTCACCATAACACTGCTAAATCTTCATTTAAATCAGGAGAATAAAGGAAATGATCACCAACCAAAGAAGCTTTGATTGATAAACAAATTCTCCTTGTCAGTACCAATGGAAATGTAAGAAGAGGAGTGTGGAGAATATAGATCTGATCATAGGTTATAGAAGGTTACAAAAGCTTTTATGGCTGCTGTATAGCATGGGAATCTTTCACAGTTGAAATTTTTTAGATCTTTGTCCTTAACTGAAAAAAAATCCTTCATTAAAAAATACTGCACAATAAATTTCTGCAACAAATTTTTTGCTTTATTTTGGTAACCAACTCTGCATGCAGCTTATATGTCACTTCATATTTTTTTGTGCTTGAATTAACTCAAAATAGTTCAATAAAGATTATTTACACTGTACAGTATAACACTATTATATGACCAAACAACTAATAAAATTTTAAAAATATTGTTTCCTCTCTTGTTATGTGATGTTCTGTGTCTTAACCCTTTAACTCCCAAGATTTCATGAGTAATTCTGCTTACTGTCTGCTAAAAAATTTGTGATGTTAGTTTGGAGAATTTGGAATTGGATCAACAAATAATCCCTTAATTGATATTTTTCTTTAGTCTCATTGCTTGTCTGCTTGATATTGTGCTGATAATGTAAGGAGAAATTCTGTCTTGGTCACTAGTGAGACTTAAAGGGTAAAGAGACTTTCAAACTTAGTCGTCAGAAATTTCAGTCTTCCTAAACCCCAAAAATATGTTTCTGCAGTGTAAAAAAATTGCCATCCTGCAAGATTGTGAGGATTAACAAGGCTACAGAGGAAAACTTTCACTTTGCTTATCACATCAAATGTGATACCATATTCTCTTTAATACATTTCACTTTGTAAGATTGACTTGAAAAACGAATTCCATTCCTCTCAACTCTAACCAAAGGCATCAGTATATGTAAGAACACCCTGGATGTTGACAAACTAATAGACAGAAATTGGTCTTTCTAACAATCAGACAGTACAAAAGATTAAATTTATATAAATATACACATATCAGCAAAATTATGGTACTTGAGTACCAGAACTAATTTTTCTTCAGTGATGATGATTTCATGAGTCTTGGTTTGATTCAGTCACACTTAATGTTGTGTTGTCTTTTTTAATGAGCCGTCCATCATGAGGAATTAAATTTGGAATACCATTTTGTATTGAATATGCAACTCCAATGTCATCAGAAATCAGCTCATTTCTTGCATTGTCATACCTGGGTAATAAATAATCAACCATAAATAAATTGCCAATAAATTAAATCACAGCTCTCTTACCCTGAGTTCCTTGGAATAAAGGAAGAGAATTTCTAACATGAATTTAAGCCGACTGTATTGATTGGTAAATTGATAAATCTTTGTGGTTTGATCAACCAAGTATTTGACTTCCTGCTCCTGCACTCACCAATGAAGGGTTGGGAATCATAAGCAATTAATCAACTGATGTAAAAGACGAGGGCCACAACAATTTCTGGCTTAACATAGTTGTGATAATTCTTTGACTTGAATACAGGACACTTCTGCATGACACCAAAAAGCATCCAATAACAAAAACCAAAAAATATAGATATTTTAGTAGAATCCTGCTAACTCAAACCCCCAAGGAAAACAAAAAATGGTTTGAGTCAGTGAGGGTTTCAGCTTGTTAACAGTAAATGACTGAAGAAATGGCTTCAAGGGAAAGCAGATCTTGTTTGAGTTACATGGGGGTTTAAGTTAACTGAGTTTGAGTTAGCAGGGTTCTACTGCATCTATCATATTAACGAAGGATTTCTCCACGAAGCTTAGACCAGAGGCCATAGACATCCAGGTGTGTAATGAGAAAAGTTTTGTTTGGCATATCTTCGTGTAATGTATTAGTTAAACTTGTGTGTAAGAACCTACACTTTTTTCAGTCTGAGTCGGTTCTTAATTAGACTTAAATTGTACGAAAGAGATAAAGTCTGTACTTGACATGATCTCGTTTTGTTTGAGAAAATATCACTTTTATTAGCAGTTATAGTTTGTTACTAATTTTGAATATCAATTATTAGAAATCTCAAAGTCAAAGTCTTTGGTTGAAATGTTTCACGTAACTGAACTAAGCTGTAACCCACATATATAGGAACCTGGTTGACCTTACTTAGCTAAACAGGTTCTTTTAATGTTTGGTATTAAAATGGAAAATTCCTGGCATCAGGTTCTTAATCCGCTAGGTTCTTTATACTCGAAGGGAGTTTAACTTTTCACTGCAATGATTCAATTACACACCTCAATGGCTTCTTTGTCAATGGACAAACTAAGATCTTTAACAACTTTTGGTCGAACTGGGTATTATCTTGATGTCTCCGTTGCTTCCCTACGCTAAAGCATCGACAAGATGCGATGTGAATGAAAGAAACTGGTTTCTTTGGAATATTCTTGAATGTGATTCCCCAAAGCGAAGCTCCCGCCATTTTGAATTACGCTTAGTAGCCGCTCGTAGTGATAAGGCTTGGATGGATAGCTGAAGAAAGCTTTCAAAATGGCGGATCAACGAGTATCATGTGGTCGAGATTTCTTCTGTGTTCCGGATCTTGCTGGAGCGTTAAAGAATGCTACGAACGGAGGGTAGGAACAAAATAACATCAAGTTATATTGGGGTTCATCAATTAGACAGTAAGACAAATAATTCAGCTTTTCGGACCAATTATGCTGTCTTTACACGAGGGAAAAATTGTTGAGTTCAATTGTGGTGCTTATTTTTTTGCATATGAAGTTAAGTTTAAGTGAACAGATCGAGTTCCTGTTTAGTTTTGATTGACCTTGTATTTGCCATTTTAGGTTTGATTTCATCTGTGTTCCCATCTGTCATCCAAGATACCGGAGAGAATTTCTGGAGCCTGTACCGGATCGGACTGGGGCGTTTACACGATCGGATCTGGTATTGCCGAGTCAAGGTATTAAATAGGTCATTTTGCAGGGTATCTCAGCATTTTTTATTTAACTGAAGAGTCGGTATGCACTCTTGTTTTGGGGTGATTTTTTTTTGCCCAATGTCTCATTGCATGGCTATGGTCAAGTACACTGGGAATTAATCCCTTACTCAATGTAGATCGAGGGTTGCATACTTTTAGGACCGTAACAGCAGCCTTTGCTGAAAGTCACGGCTAAAATTATTTCTTTCTGTCATCTCATGACCTTTACTTGTGATTATGTGTTGATGATGTGAGGCAAGATTTGTTGTTGATCATACTCTATAGGGGCTCAGAAGGTTTAAAACAAGTTCTTTTATAGATTCTGTGGGAAAAACAGCTTGCATATGAGTAGTGGTTATATTTGACAGATTGGAACAGTCTAATTGTTGGTAAAATCTCACCTTGGCTAAACTTGGACTCACTGAATGAGACTGTAAGGAAAAACTCAGAGAAAGTAAGTGACTTGTGGTTAAGTATCTGTTAACTTTTCTAATGCTGTTTCACTTAACTTGATTTCTCTTTTCATGAGTGCTTTTTTTTTATATCTCTACAAGTCCTATTTTCTTAAACTCTTGTCCTAGCCTTATAATTTGACAAGAAAATTGAGTCTATCTTTGAAATAATAATGTGTTTCTCTTTTTCAATAGTTAATTAAGTGCCCACTTTCCTTATTAATCATAACAGTAACAGGAGATGTCATGCCCTTGCACCGTGGCCTTAAGCTCTGTTACCCCTAGTGAAGCTCAGTTGCCCTAATATATAGCTGTCTCCCCCAATCTAAAGTTGCTTTTCTCCCATCTTTTGACTAAGTCTAATTAAGGTTTTTAACATATTTTGACATAATTTCTATAGCTTGGAGGTTTGATGGCTCAAGTAGCAAAGCCTTCAATCGATAATTACCATGTTGCTACAACCTAGTAACCTGGCAAAAATATCTTTTGTGCAAAGAGTGGTTGGAGAACTTAGGACAACCCTGCAAGGGGTTGACTTCACTTACAACCATCTTCAGCATTTACCCAGGTCCGCCATCTTTTTCTCACATTACTGAGTTTTGACTTAACTCCCACAGGCTCTACATCAGGAGTTGTGTTATTGTGTTCACTTGAGTCTTCCAGCTGTTCTTGTTCAATTGAAAAGCTACAACTGTGTTAACCTCGCCCAGCACATCAACACAAGTATAACTGACACACATGTCCAACAGGTTGGTAGAACATCCTGCCCAATAAACAGAGATGTTATTCATTTTTCATTAGAATGGAGCAAAGAATAAATCTGAGTCTTGAGAACTAGCCAGTGATGAGTTGAAGCTGATGTCTTACCTCTGAGCTGTAGAGACCTTTTTGATGAGCCAGGCCATAAGTGAAGTGTGAATGACCTGGTGAAAGATTTAATCCTTGTCCATTTATTACCTAAAGTTTTACTGTAATTGTTTCTCTGATTTTGCTTCTGATAGATAAATTACATGATAGTACTGTCAACTCCCATTATTGCAGACACCCTTTGGGGAGATTAAGTGTCTCTAATAGCAGAATTCCATGCTAGTGGAGTACAAGAGAAAAAAATTGTTTCTAAACATATGAAATAATATGTAGCTACGTTAACATAAAGTTTCTATCATGGCCTTGTGAACCACAAAAAGATCTAGCAGCAAGCAGGAAGTTCTCATGTTCCTTAATTGTAATGTAGCTTTATATAAGTGAGTCGGGATTTTGGACGAAGAGTTTGCCATAATGAAAGAAAAAAGAAGTGAGATAGTCTGCATTTCCAAAGTAGCAAGAGTCTGTAATAACAGGAGTTTATTTCAGTCATTTCTTCATGCATTTTTCTAGGGGGTTGGCTCTTGTTTGTAATAGCAGGGTGTCCATTATAGTTAGGTGTCTGCAGGGTGAGAGTTAACTATACTGGTATTTCCATTTCATCTATATGTATAACAGGAGTGGACATTTTTCACTTTTTTAGGTCTGGGTTCATGTACCTATGAAAAGTCCTGAGGATGATTGTGATAAAAATTTGTTTGCTGAGGAGGTAAATGCACATTTTATTTTTTTTTCAAAGAGCTTTGCATTGGCGAGTGGTGAGTGAGTTTGATGCGCAATCATGAGGATAGTGATTTGATTCCAGGTCATAGTGGTGGTGGTTTCAGCTTCAGACTAGTTAGCCTCCTACCAGTTGGGGTTTTAAATCTTGCCTCCTTATTTCCTGATTTAAATTTATTGTTTATGGTTGTTCTAGTGGAGTACCTTTAAACTTGCCCTATCCCTAAAAATGCAGCATCATTCCACATTTTTCTCAAGTCTAGTTGCAGAGATTAAAATTGTCTGTAACAGTCCTTGGGAGGGAATAAAAAGGCCTAGAAAACAGTTTTATGTTTATCTTGTTCCCTCATTTTCAGGAAGAAGTTTCAGGAAATGAGTTGGAGAAAGATCCTTGGGAATGGTATGATTTCTAGTTTAATTTTTGTTCTATTCCTTTTTTTTACTGAAAAAATTGAACTACAACAAACAATCATGTTCCTTTCTGTAAGTCTGCCTCTGTTATATGTCATTTGCATGCTTTTTTTCTTTTAATTCTTGGGATTTTATTACTCTAGGTGGAATTTGTTTAGAACCATTTGTGGGAACAGCAAAAGAGTTGGCCTGGGTAAGTCCATGGTGCTTACATTTCTGATTAGTTATAAACCTGTATTTTAACCCTTTGACTCCATATTTAAAAGTTAATTAAACAATACTTTAACCCTAGGTTTGACTTCTAGGAACTAAATACAGATTCTCAGATAGTCTGCCAAAAATTTCTTAAGATTTACGATTGGAGAATTTGGTGACAAATCTGGTTAACAATATCACCATTATCACCAGTAGTTGGTATCTTTCTTTCTTTCTCCTCATCTCTTCTACTGGTAGACATAACAATATTTTAAAGAAAAATTCATTTTTTGGTCACTCCTGGAAGTGCAAGGGAATTAACAAAATTAAAACTACATCCATTCAATGTTATGTTAAACACAAATTTCTTACTTTTGAAATAGCATTGGAGATCTCTGCTGAATTGCCTTCAGAGGAGGAATTAGAAAGGTGGTGTGGGGAACCAGTCAAAGCAGCAATCTTACCCACAAGTTTGTTTCTTACAAATAAGAAGGGTATGTGATTCAAAACAGGTTCTTCAATAGCTAGTTAGGTTCATCTATCATTAACATGGGACAAGGCAACTTTTGAAACCCTTGCCAAGATGTTAATCACAGGATATAAATACATAGCATTTTTTTTTATTTAATCTGATAACCCTTCTCTAACTGATCACAGCAGAACCCAGAATACTCATCTACTAATTGTGAGCTTTGGCCAGACTTGCCTTAAAGTTCTCCAGACCTAACTGACTGAGTATTAGACTTATACAAAATCCAAAGGTCTGAGATTCAATTCCACAGGAAAGACTCCAGGTTTTTCTTTGCCTCATGCATGCGACAAATGAACAGTGTCTTACTTCATTCAACAACTGAGCTCAGAGTTTACCATTTTTCATCATCACTGAATAATTTTCATTCTTTCTTTTATACCTTTGTGTTAACATGTATCATTTTTGGAAATTTTAGGTTACCCTGTGTTGCCTAGAGCCCACCAGGCATTTGTTAGGAGATTGTTTAGGGTAACTTTTTCAATTTCATAATTTTATTGTGCCCTTAATATTTTTATATTCTTTTTTCAATTCATTTAGCCCACTTACAGTGGATGTGCATATCTTTTTACTTCATAGCTAAATACTCAACTGATTTTGACTGGTGTAAACAAGCATAAGGACAAGGTAAAAAACTTGTAGTCCAGCAATGAAAACGTTAGGACCGACCATCAGATAAGTAATGGCTCCACATTGTGTGACAAAAAATTGAACATCTGTTAATCTCTAAATTAGCTACAATGTATTTGATGAACAGTGTGTATTGTGACTATATTTTATGATTTGTTTCAAAGTTTTTCACAGGCTAATTTAGAATGCATTGCCTCTAAATCCCTGTCTTGTGGAGGCTAAAGTGTTAAATAGTTTATTTTGTGGTGTGTGAAACATTCTTTGCAGTGCTAGGCTATGAGCATTTCCTCCTTTTAAGGGAAAGTCTGTTGTACTAGTCTAGAAAAAAATCAGCAAAAACAAAAATTGATATTAGCACCTGTCTATTTGCATGATTAACACCAATTACATAGTCATTTAACCTAAAATTAGTCAACAAAGGTTAGATGATGGAATTCAAGGGAAGATTTTTACATGATTTTAAAGCAAAATGTGTCATTTTCTATGCAGTCCAGTTTGCCACATTTCTACCTTCCATTTGCTTTTTTTAAGTTATGATGATAATTTAATACATGTGCATACTGTATTATAATATTTTTTTAGGGATTAGGATTTTATTACCAGTACCTTGCCCACCTTTATCAGGTCAGTGTTTGGTTGTAGTTAAAATGTCATACTGTATTTGTGAATGTTTGGGGTAATTTTAGGGATGGTTGGGAGGGGGAATGTATTGTAGCCCTTCATTTTCAAGCAAAAATAAAAACATTTATATTTGTTACAGTCTGATCATTCGGTGGAGAAAGGGGTTGTTGTGTTTTTAGTAATTGTGATTGATGTTTTGATAATCCAAGCAGATGTCACCATCAAGATTGTGCTCAATGCTTGTCTCTTACTGCCTTTCTTTCTCAAATTATAGATTTTGGTTAAAAATTCTGTGGTGTTTAAAGCTTTAACAGATAGTGTTAAGCACCAGCTATGGGCAATACCTTCATTTTTGTCCTTGTTTCTTGTTCATCCTCCCAGAGAGGAATAAGCAAAACTCTCTGGTTTATCAAACTATGATCTATTAAACACATTTAAAGATGAAACAATCCCCTCTTTGTTATGGAGCTCTAATATATAGATTTAGGTAAGCCTAAAAGTGGAGCTCACATTTTTTTTTCCACATGTCTCTTCCGCAAAACTAAAGCCCCTACTATGGATAAAGTGTGTGGTAATATTAGTGGATTTTCATTTGCAACTTCTCTGTGTCTGCATAGAGGACTGATTATAAGATAGTGCCTGTGATACAGTTGGCTGCGCATGCTAAAAGTAGCACCTTGAATGGTTGTACGGTCATACGGTTGTACATCCAAATTTTTTCAGCTTGATGGGTTACCACTATTGTTTATAATTATGGGGCTAAACTCTGTGAGCTCCGCTATTATTTATTGTCTGTAGGTTCACTGAGAATTGTTGTATCATTCACAGACACAGCCAGAGTTGGACAACTTGAGTCAGTTTGCCAAGGGGTATGAGGACTACCTTCAATGTCCCCTACAGGTTGGTTACATTTCTTGGACAGTTTTTTTGTGGAGGCAGGATGGTCAAGCAGTCAGGAAACTGTTCTGTTAATCTGCTGGGGTCCTGGGTTTAACCTTTCTGACCTGCTTTTCACTGGACATGTTTTTGGTTGCCCTGGGTTCAACTCCTTGGCTGCTCTTTGTTTGTAGCCAGCTGGTTTGCCTCCTGCCACTGTTGGGTTCTTAAACACTGTGTTTATGTTTATTTACTATGTTTATTTCCAAATTGAGTTGATTATTTCTAAATTTGTTCATGCATCAAGACTTGTTAAATGCATCATAAAAACTGTTTGTTATTATTGTTATTATCATTATTACTATTACTAGCATTATTATTATTATTATTATTATTATTATTATTATTATTAACGATCCTCACTCTCTTAAATCTTTGTGTGTCCGTACATGTGTGTTTGTTTTGGCAGTGCATGTGTTTGTAGCATCGACCATTGACTTCATTTTCTTTACAAGGAAATCAAACATTTTCTGTGCCCCTCATGTTTAAACTGTTTCTTTTTCTTCACCATCTGATCTCAAAACTAGGCTTGATTTTTACTCTTTGTTGTTATTTAATTTTTGGTAGCATGCCTGAAATGGTGCCAGGGTGCTTAAGCTGCCTTAAGATTGATTTATGTATTTTGTAATGATGAATATATGATTATGATTACGATTTTTTCCAGCCGTTGATGGACAATCTTGAGTCTCAAACCTATGAAATATTTGAACGAGATCCCATTAAATACAGACAGTACCAAAAGGTAAGGTTTTCGTGATTATTTATTGTATTTGCTTTTATTTATTTATAAAGAAAGGCAATATATCTTGGTAGTGGCGACGAAATAAAACTACAACAGTAGCCTGTTTGACTGGTGGTTGGTGAGCATTTTAGCCGGCGAAGCCTTGAATACGAACAGAGGAGCTTCAAGTGATATCCTCAATTTTTCGTTCAGACTCCATCGCACCTGTGCCGCCCATTTTCGCGGCTCTGCCGCTGTAAGCGTCGAAGCACACACTGAATAAACCGTCAGCTGTGCAGGCCTCTACAGCATTTGTTTTACTTCCTTGTCTTTCTTTGCTTTTTTTTTTGGGATGTTTGGTTTAAGTGGTAAAGATTCATCTATCCTGTCCATGTATACTTTTTTTTTTGTTTTTTTTTTCTAGGCGGTGCACCAGGCGTTACTGGATAGAGTTCCAGAAGACAAGAAAGATTCTGATGTAACGTGAGTATCGTACTCGTCAGTCACTGCCTGTTTTCCTGCGAAATCTAGTGTGTGCCAAGAATCATTCTGAATTATTTTTCGACGAACTATGGTGCTGCGTCGAAGAAGGGTATAGCAAGATAATCTGGTTTTATCAATTGAGTTGATGATGTAACTGAACACCGTAAAGGATTTCTTTAAGCTGACGTTTCGAGCGTTAATCCTTCGTCAGAGCAAAAGATGAAAGGCTAACGCACCAAACGTCAGCTTTAGAAACTCTTGATAGTGGCTAATTTACATCATCAACTGAGTTGATGACACCGAGTTAGCTTGTTTTATCACTCGCAACTTGGTCATTCGCTTTTTCTTCGGGTTGACACGAAATACATGAAGTTCTCATCGTTTTGTTGTGTTATTAACCCTGTTCTGTTTGGCTGTTGTATTTACAGTAGTTGTTTTTTTGAACAGGCAGTCGAGAATTGCTTTTCATGTTGTCTACTCGGTGTAAAATCACTTTTGTGACAATAATATTCCTGCTGCTGTTGTTGCTTATGAAGAAAGAAAACTAGTCTTGGGTTCTGTTCTCACCCCGGTATAAGATGAATTAAAGATATTCGAATTAAATGAAAAGGAAAGTTCAGAAAATTCTGTTTCCTCTTCAGAGTGATAATGGTGGTGGGTGCAGGGCGTGGTCCCTTAGTGAGAGCGTCACTGACAGCAGCTGAGGAATCAGGACGGAAAGTCAGAATATATGCAGTGGAGAAGAACCCAAACGCTGTTGTCACGTACGTACTGCAATACTGTACATATTTTTTGCCCTTGAACTGACAGTACTTTTGTAATCGTCACCTAAACCTTAATAATTCCTTCCAGATTGGAGACATTGAAAGAAGAGGAATGGAATGGTGACGTCACTGTAGTCTCATCGGACATGCGCGAATGGGATTCTCCCGAACAGGTTTGAAAATTGCGCGCCATTTTAGTAAGTAGGTTGTAAAGTTTTTCTAATAAAAGAATTGCGGCAGAATAAATAGCCATCAAGAAAGTGTGTTTTGAGAGATAAGAGCTGCCTTTGGCGCGCTTAGAACCCCATTAGCTACCAGCTACTAACTTCCGGCATTTAGTAAAATGTTACAAACTTCCTCGTAACCTTTGTAAAGTGAAAAAGTTAAGCTAGAGGTCAATTGTGTGAATTTTGCCTCTAATGGACGAAAAGAATTACAAATTTGGACCGAGGAAGAAAACACTATCATTGTCCACTACTCCATTCATAAACAAAGGTCTTGTTAAACCTATACTTGTTTATTTATTTATTTATTTATTTATCTATCTATTTTTTTTTCCGTAGGCCGATATACTTGTGAGCGAGTTGCTGGGATCTTTTGGTGACAATGAGCTTTCTCCAGAGTGTTTAGATGGAGCACAGAGGTTCCTGAAAGGTCAGCTGGTATAGAGCTACATCGTAAATGGATTAAACTTTTTCGTTTCTGTTGTTTTCGTGGAGAAGGAACAAACACAACGCAAGATGGCAGGCCGTACCTAAAGTGCACTCAAGCACATTTTCAAACAAGTAACCGCTGGTACAACAATAAACAATCACTTAAGTCACCAAAACTTCCACATTTTGGAAACGTTTCTTATCTGCCCAGGGATTAAATACGAGCCAACTCTTACGCTCTGGCCTGATTTTCACTTTAGTAGATCAACTCCGATATTCCGCGCCAGCACACGCATACGTGATGCCGACCATAACAGTTCGAGCTGACACAACCTTTGAGAATGCTTACATTTTGTGGATAAAAATCTTAGGCATTTAGCAGGTATACCGTTAGCATGATTTGACCTCATTCTTTCTGTTTCCAGATGATGGGATCAGTATTCCCTGTGAATACACGTCTTTTCTTGCGCCAATATCTGCTCCCAAATTACATTACGATGTGTCACAGGGAAACGACACAACCAAGGGACCCCTGGTTAGTAAACAATCAGTATTTTAGTCTGTTCGTTCATATGTATCAGTAATGATTAGTAATTATTTTTGAAAGTAAGTACAACTTGAAAATCTTCACTGCTCCTTGCAGGTTTATAGTTACCCTTGTTTCTCCTTAGATTATCATTCTGAGTCACACATTGAGGTCACGAGAATAAGGGAATGATCATCAACTAAAGAAGTTATAGACTGAAAACAAATTCTCCTTGTCAGCACCATAGGAAATGTATAGAAAATAGTATGGAGAATATGTATACTGATGTTAGGGTGTACAGGGTTGATATATCATGGAATTAGACTACTGACTATTCTCCAATGATTTCGGTTGAGTATCAAACACCTACTTGATCCTTTGGTGTACGGATTTTGTAGTGTCGGCTGTGAGATGTTTGTATGTATTCTAATCATAGTGTTTTCGAATCCGTTCACGTTTTGATTCACATCACAGGTCAAATCAGCGGAAGGATTTCCCTTTTTCAATTTTATCGCAAACTTATTGTGCTTGCCACAAGAGGATTCGTGTTGCTGATGTCCTCTAGTAACATCTGGAAAATATTTGTGTTATAATTTGCACTTGTTTTACGTATCTTTATACCCCTCTCCCCCATTTAAAAGCTAGATATATTCGCCACGACCGCTTACTAAAGTTTCGCGGTCTTTTTTGCCACAGGCCCCGTTTGAGACTCCGTACGTTGTAAGACTTCATAATATCACCGCTATGTCACCACCGCAGCAGTGCTTTGTTTTCGCACATCCAAACAGAGGTGAGTGAACGAAATTCAAAGCTAGTTAATACACGATCAGTTTGCAGACTTTTGGTGAACTGGTAAGAATTTTGTCTTTTCGATTTCAGCGAGCAGAATCGACAATTCTCGAGTGAAATCACTCGAATTTGATGTGAAGACGAGTTTTACAATGCACGGCTTCGCTGGATACTTTGAAACAGTACTCTATGGGGACATTATGTTAAGTAAGTCCAGTGTGAACAATAACGTTTACCTTAATATGGCTTTAAAAAGAGATTTTTGTGCATGAAGTTACCTTTTGCTCGGTGCGAGCTCTATCATTTGTATGCAACACGCGCAGCCGTTCTCGCCAATCAGAGCAAGCCTTTGCTTTCTCTTAACCCAACTGTCAGCTGTCCTTGCCAGTGGCTGCCGTTTGTTTACCTTTTCGGTTAAAAAGATAAAGTTTTCACTGCAATATGTGTTGTTTCACCTCGCTCATTTTTACCGTCACCTCTCTATATGCTTTCTCTGTTCTAGGTATCAAACCAGACACTCATTCGGAAGGCATGTTCAGCTGGTTTCCATTTTTCTTTCCCATAAAGGTAAGGGAACTTTGATTATCTTGAACTAGCCACGGGTAACGCCTAAGTTTCTGACACCAATTTGTTTCTGGTTGTTTTGAAGGAACCGCAGTATGTTACTGCGGGCTCAACAGTAGCCTGCCACTTCTGGAGAAAATGCACACCGAAAAAGGTCTGGTACGAGTGGTGTATATCACGTCCTGCCCCAGTTCCCCTTCATAATCCCGGAGGAAGGTCTTACGTCATTGGACTCTAAACCGTTGAAAATAGTTGTGTGTTTTCTGTTTGTACCTTTCCTGTCAATAAAAGACCTGAGAGTCGATATTTCTTTTTTAAATGATGAGTGTTAGGGCCTACTATGTAATTTTTTTTTATTTTACACATTTGAAGTCGATAACTGTCAAATTGTTTCAGAAGAATGGTATGTACAATTGAGCAGAGAAGGTATTTATAATTATATTTTGATGTCGCAGTATCATCGATATTAAGTAGAACCCTTTGCAGCAAAACGTTTCTGTTTGAATCGTTATTGCTGCAATAAAACCCGCTACCGTATCATAAACTGAATATCTGAAGTAATGAAATGCTTGTTTCAGTTTTTGTCTTTTGGTTTACGCTTCTTTTGGCCACTATTTTTTCTTATCGTTTAAGAGAACGCTCTTAGTGACCGGAATTGTTCGCAAGGCTTGCAATTGTTTTTCCTTCTTAAGGTGGAAAGTAACTCAATTTTAATTTCGTGAGACCAGTATCTCGTCGTCATCACGATATTTCCAATTTCTCTGATAACCGAAGTTTTGATTAAAAGGAAATGTTATTTTTAAAGCTGCTTTTATCGTCTTTGACGCTTTTAATATTGCCTAATGGTACTTAGAACACGAACATTTCCATCAAAGAATTGTTTTGTTTTTATTTCAAGTCGTTTTTCCGTTCTTTTTTATCAGAAAAACCTTGACCTTGTAAACTAAATCATTTTGTTTTCTTGGAGGAATCGGCTCGGAAATGACTGAAACTTTTAGGTTGTTATGTCCGATTGCATCAGAGCATGACTTGACGACACTGGAACTAATATCAGTAAATTTCTAGATAAGAAAAAAACATCAATTGAGTTCAATGTAAACATTTCCAATGCATCACGTACGGCGTTCCTCACTCTGGTGAAACACTTGTAGAAGTCACGTTTTAGATCTCACGCGCACTTTAGCACTTTCAACACAGAGTTTGTATTAAATGCGCAAGTTGTTTTAATGTTGACATGTTAATGAAACTTGCGGGTGGTTCGCGCTAAAAGGACAGAAATGGTAATTTATTTGGGAAATCGTTAGATTCGAATTACAGTTTGATGCGTGTGAAATTAGAAGTCACGAAAGGTGTCTGAAGACAGGAAAAGGAGATCAACAATTTTTCCTTTAAATTATTCTCTTTCCGCAATCAAGCGAGTTTCTGATTTTTTGTCAGGGCGTCCCATGCGTAACGTTCATTTCCTGTGATTATCGTGTGAAGGTCCTCGATACTTCACTCAATACTTTTAATTGTACTGGGTGCTTTTATGTGGGAAAACAAAGATGGTGTACTTATACAATTTGACCAGCATGTTGCCAAAAGCTTATGGTTCTTTTACAGCGTTAGCGTGATTGAACTTTTGAAATGTTTCGGTGTTATATTGGCGAAATAAAATTAAGCTGGACCCGTAAGTAAAGCACACAAAATACCTCGTTTAAAAAACTGCATCCCAAAATAGAGGTCGCCATGAGAGAGGGAGTTTGTTGATATGTGTTTGATAGTCCCAGAAAATCTTAGTTAGTGTTTCTATTGTAATGAGTGAATGCTTTGTTAAGGTGTCCATTGTGAAATGGCAGTTATGAAAATCATGATTGAGAAAATTTTAAGAAGCTAGGTCATTTGTTTGTGAAGCTGGCAAAGAACATTGCATTCAAAGTTGTTAATGACACACCTTGGTACTGAGCGTTTTCATTTGAAGCTTCCTCAGTATAGCTACATTTCTATTCTCCAGAACAACTATTTAAATGTAACTTTCGCGTGATAAAAACTGAAAGTCTATCAACTATTTGTCATCTGTTGTAGAAGTTTAAAAAATGCGTCTTGTCGAAAAGTTGTTCATAATGAACTACTATCTACTTAGTGGCTTGTCCGTGTTCCGTCGCTTCATCAAATGCAAGGTCACTCATTTATTTAGCATAATTTTTGTCAAAAACAATTAAATATTTATTCATTCTGTTGACTTCGTGCACTTCGATTTTATTTGTTTTATACTTCAGCGAAACGGGAATTGTAAATATTTCTTTGCATGTTCTCTAGAGTTTGTGCCAGATGCTTTATTAAACACCCTTTCTGGGCCATTATTAAGAATTTCTCTTCAAAAAATATGTAATCGAAAGGATGAAAGATACCATTAAAATTTGATTAAATAATTTTTCCCTCGTTGGTTTGAGTAAGTAATTTTGCATTACGTTGGTTTTGTTGAAAATTCTGATGTGATTTTCACTTTTGTTTTCCCAGAAAAGATAGTTGTATTTAGTAGCGACGATAAATTCTTTTGGGACGGTGGCACGGAATATGCCATTGTGGCTCGGAGAAGATTGACATTAAAGCTATTCGTGTCTTTTAGCATAATAATTATTGTTCAAAAACACGGCGAGGATATTTTGAACAAAAATCGTCCATACTTTGTCAGAGAGTTATCATTTTGCGCTTTTATTGTTCGTTTTGAGGACTATTGTGTTTTTACTCGCTTCTATTTGATTGAAGTTGAGAGCATCACACGTAGAAGTGACGGGTGTTGCGTCCACTATTTATTTATAAAATATAAACGTATTAACGACGTGACAATAGCCAGCTGAATGGTCGTCATAACGTGTTTTTTCCGGCCGGTTGGGATACGCTTCGGAGAGCACTACTGTGTATCGAATATGCGGCGATAAACTGTGATTGTCACTCGTCACGTATCAACCGCGCCGAAATACTTTACATAGCCCTCAGTTGAATCAAGTTACGGACGGAACATCACCGCTTTTGCTGCCATCATGGTCAACGACTCACAAGATTCACTTGTTCCTACCACTGAAGTTGCAATCAGCGCCGCATTTCTCTGCGTCGTTAACATTGGAATTATCATTGGCAATTTTCTCGCCTTAATTGTTGTATGGCGCACATCGAAACTTCACGAACCGAATTATTTCTTTCTTTGCAATCTGAGCGTTGCGGATTTGCTCGTCGGAATGATCTATTGCCCTCTATTGATGGCAAGTGTAATCAAACAGTCTTGGGTGTTTGGAAATCCTTTATGCCGCGCACACTCGGTTATTGTAAGCGCTTCTTTGAATGCGTCGTTGATGAATCTGTGCGCAATTTCAGTTGACAGATATTTTTTTATTACAAGACCTTTGCGTTACACAGAAATCGTCACTCCTCGCAGGACATTTATCACCATTGCGTTGGTTTGGTTTCATTCTATTTTCTGGGCGATCGCGCCCATATTCGGTTGGGGTCAATTGGTATATGAGGGAAGTACTGCCACTTGCAAGCCAAATTGGAATGGAGAAGGACTTGGGGACAAATCGTACGCTCTTTCTTTGGGGTTGGTTTGTTTTCTTGTCCCCGTTCTAATTATGATCCTTGCATATTCAATGATCTACAAAGCTGCGCGGAAGCAGTTGCAGAATATGCAGATTCCTGGTTTGACTAAAGAACAATCCATGAGAAGAAACAAAGCAACAAAAACTGTCCTCATAATAATTGGAATGTTTTGTCTCTGCTGGTCTGTGTACACTCTTGTGTCAGTTTGGAAACTTTTTGCGGTGTTATCTGACCTCCCTCCGCGATTGGTTCGCATTGGATTATACCTCGCCGTTTCTAACAGCTGTATGAACTTCTATGTTTATGCCATAAGGGACAAGGTTTTCAGAAAGGGACTTCGCAATTTGTTTTTTCCACACCGCAGCTTTTATCACGAGCAAAAGAATCGTTCAAATGAACTGAGTCGAACAGCGCGCACAATGCAGAAACAGTCACTTGCAGTCGATTCGCCAGCGTCTCGGAAAACTTTTACTCTTCAAACAACTGTATGATTAGATTTCCGGTAAAAGTGGGTCTATTTGTTTTTCCTATGAGGTCAAATCCACTGCTTGATGGGAGAGGAAGTCAAGTGAACACAGGAAATGACGTCATTTTTAAACTCCTCGTTGGCACGCGATTCCGTGTAATAAGTTAATGTGTTACGATTCCTCCAACATCGTCTCGTAAAAATCTCAGAGATGTCTCCTAAAATTGAGGTAAAAATTTAAGGAAAAGAAAAATGTGGAGGGAAGAAATGTTGAAGCAATATATAATTATTTAACTAAAGCGCTGACTCTTCTCTTACACGAGTGGCTAAAAGGGAAATTCTTCGCAAAATATCAAAGAATTTCTGGCAGATCAGTGATGAGTAGATATTGAGTGATGTAACATCAAATTCTCAGAAGTATCATTTTGATAAAGAATCAGTAGTCATTGTTAAGAACTGATATTAAGATATTGGGTGTAAAAAGGTGGAGGCAAATACACAGCATCATTTTGACTTGTTTTTTTGTTTTTTCGGAGAGGGAGATGACTACTGTCCATTTAAAATAGAGCAATAAATGATAGTTTGTTACGTTAAAAAACACGAGAAAGATAAAAATAAGTCATGGGGAAATGGGTGTTTGAGGATGGAGGAAGACTAGTACGGATTTCAAATGATAAACTTGAAACAGAAATCAGCTATGACTCATCTTCATTCTCCTGCGATGATGCTGGTCTCTGGGTGGTCTAAAGCCTTTAAATATATCCGTTAACCTTTCGATGAGGCTTGCTTGGGTGTTTCACTCAAAGCTGACGTATTTAAGAAATTATATATTGGATTTGAGTCTTGACAACGAGTAACTTTCTTTAACCTGCTTGGTTCATTAATAACATTGCGGGGGAAGTGCGTGGGAAAGATCTCGCCCCTCGGTACGAGTGTTTCCTAAAGCTGATTTCTGTAACTCGCACAATGGAATAAGTTGAGAGACAGACACCTCGCACTGTAACTGAAATCCAGGTCTGCGAAAATTTTACCTGTTATTGTTTTTTTTCCCTACTTCTTGTGTTTACCTGTTTTTTTTTTCTACTTCTTGTGTCAGGAGAGTTGTACTGAACTCGAGCTTCACGCATGAATACAGCTAAATTGTGGGTAACAGATGTTGCAAACTGAAGGAAAAGATCCTAGGTCCCCTAGAAATTTAACATTTATCAAATGAGATGAAATCAGTAAATATAGCATTACCTAAATGAAACTACATGTATACGAGAAGATAAAAATATCCTCCAAAAGTATATATTTTTACGCTCTTCGAAAATGATACCTGCTTTATGGAACCTCTGTTTGCCCTGTCAGGGTGAAAAAATTCGGGCGTTTTATAATGTTGTGTTCATCTTATAGTCTTAAATGCATCTCTGAGAATGATCAAAAATTTGGAAACTCAAAAAAATTATTCAAATTTTAGTGCAGAAGCAAAAAAGTGATGATAAATATTTTTAAAATATACTAAGCGGTGTATAAATATTTGATGAAAACAGATTGTTACTTCACGTCTTCCCTTGTTTTGATGAATTGATAAGTTTTGTCTCGTAGCGTTTTTGTTGCTGAGCCTGATAAGTTTGTGGTAGATTTGCACTGCAGGCAGAATGTCTGTGTTTATTATTATTAAAAAGGGGTCACGAAATTGTCGTATATATTTAATTCCACCGTCCCCGTGGAGAGGCGCGGAATCGCACTCCGTCGAAGCCAGAATTTTTTTCAGGCTTTTATGTAATTTCTTCAATTCTCTAACTCCTAAAGTAAACAAGCATCTAATTTATCCTTACAATATCACCCCTGAATCAAACATGAAGGTCACGAGGAAAAAGAAAATGATCAGGCAGTTCCTTGTCAAACAAATTCTCCTTGTCGGCATTTAACAAATACATGTCGAACAGTATGGGGAAAATGCATACTGATGTTAGAGTGTAGAAGGTTAACTGCAGCTCTTACCAGGATTATTTCAGTTTACTTGTACTTCGACTCTCTAATTTAAGCGGGATCAAAGAGGGAAATCCCGAGCCAATCCTGCCCGTTCCGGCAGCCGGTCGGGGCAAATGATGTGTCCCGTCTGGCCCGCCCTTTGAGTCAGCCACATCATAAATAATTCTCTCTTCTAGCCAAGCTTCCAGTTGCTGTACGTCTCTTTGCAATTCACTTGGGAGAATTTGATGTTATATCCAGCCATCTAGACAATCTACCCTAAGTGGGTGAGACGAACAAAGACCTTGGGATGAGACTGCTGATAATCTTGTCTATCAGTTCCTATTCTTACCATGTGCTTTTCAGTGAAATGCCTATGTATTGGTATTGTAAGGGGAGGTTACGTGCGAGTCCTGTATGGAATTTAAAAGGTTTAGACTGACTCCTGTTAGTAAAGGGTGGCAATATAGTGGATAGCCTATCAGAATGCAGTATTATGGAATTACCAATCAGATTTCAGAATTTTTACATTCCATTACCATTGTCAAGTCTTATTGTCACGAAACAAAAGTGCTGTCATTGTCAACTTATCATGTCACGTGACATTTGACTCGTAACCACATCTCCACTCGGTTTCAGCAATGGCGGACAGAATGGAATGTGAAAATCCTACAACCTGATTGGCCCTCCACTAAACTGTCACCCCTTTACTACTTCTGTTGGGTTGAAATAGCTGGTTGTCGTTCGATTAGTGAATTCGGATGAGACCAGGGAAAGGAATAAAAGACAAGCGTTAGGATTGTGAGCCTCTGAGTCTACTCCTTACCCCTAAAGCTTCTCCTCTCTTTTGCAAAAAAAAGACGTTTGGTTGAACTTTATGAAGCCTGTATAGCTAGTAGTTTTTGTGTGTTCTTTGAGGCATAGAGCGGGGAAACAGCAGGTAAGTTGGGACGCCCTTGTTTTTACAGCTCCGGGACGCCCTGACTTTCGGGTACCCGAAACTTGCCAGCGGAAAAATGATAAATCCCCTAGGACTAAACTGGATTGCGAACTGATTCTGTTAACTTACAACAGCAAGAAGGATATACATAAGATCATTTATTTAATCATCCTCTTTTTGTACAGTGAAAATATTTTGTGCTAAATCTACAAGGTAGATTTTGAACTGTATTTTAATGGAAAATTCTCAGAATGAGTATCAGCGAAAATACTTGTACACACGTAAAGAGGCTAATTGCAGATATAAAAGCTAACGAATGAACATTAGCATAAATCTTTATTCACAACGCATCAAATTCAACTTTCCTTCTGAATGTTGCTGATTGAGGTATGAATGTACCACGTATATTCTTCATTGGTTTTTCAAAATCGAAATGCGACGGATTTGATCTCAGTTGTAATTGCAACACGGCCATGAGGAATGATAAAAAACGCATCAATTTGGCCGTTGGTGAAGCTCATGAAGAAACGCGCTCGGCGTGACTAGAAATGCGCTGTGTAGGATTCGCACGAAATCCATAGTCCTCAGGGGACTGTCAATTTTAAATTTTGTTAGTGCCTCATATAAAATTGGTGATTTAAGTTAAGGAACGCCGTTCGCACTTCACAAGTTAATTGTAATATTTTAGACATATGTACTCAATTTACAACAAAATTGATAAGTGGTGCGATTAATATTTCTTGAAAACTGCTGAGAATGTACAAATGTATTTAAAAGACCGTTGAGCTTTGTAATAGGACTAATAGAGTCCCAGCTGTTGTCGCCGAATTTCTGTATTGCTATCTTCAGAACCCTCAAGCGCTCTCGAGATCTACAATATTCTACAATATTTCGTTTCTAGTCAAAATACCATCACAAGCATAAGCACTTATTTCTTATTCATGAAGTATCAGAGCTGACCAGGAGATTTCCTCAAAGCTCCTGTGTTTACCAGCACCCAGTAGGCCAAAACTGGTTTAAAAAATAAATAAAACTTTTGCGTTTGATTTACACGTGGTGTAAATTGCTACATAATATTAAGAACTAATTGACTTTGCTTCAAGCCGAGCTTGTCAGTTTCACACGTAAGAATTGCGAAAAACGCCACTCAATTATTCGCTTACATTCACAAATTAGGACATTTTGGCTCGCGTTAGAAAATAAGTATAGAATGAAATTAAGTGAACTAAGTGGAAAACATTCAGTTTCTATAAATGAGAAATTTTTAAAAGCTCGGCAAATGACTTTTAATTATTCATTTTAGAGAACGTTCGATCAAAAGCTCCGAGCTCGCCCTGTCTATGAATATTTACTTAAGTCAATGTGTTTCACTCAAAGAAAAAATAGATAATAATGGTGAATGAAAAAAAGTGAACTGATTATCCATCCAATGAGATACAATCTGTGGGACTAAATCGACACCTGTTCAAGAAAATAGATTAAGACTGGATACCGCACTGTTTACCTCGCTTGGTCGAAATCGAACGATTGAAAGTCGTTCGATTTCGTCGATTTCACCAATTTGTTTCTACTTATAGAAACTGCATAAAATTTATCTATTTCATGCGCAACATATCCGGAAAAATTAAAACGATAATGGTAATTTACACATCTCAGTTTTGCAAGAGATTTGAAATTGGTTGTATTGATACTGTTTTGCTTTACTGTTTTGAAAAGTCAATTTTTTTTTTCTTCAGTACATTCAAAGTCTTCCGTGATCAGAGAAATTTAGACATGATTTGAATAAATGAAAAGACAGGGTTTAGTGACTGCATTTGCTCAATGAAGAGCGGTTCGCTATCTCTCGGAAAATCATGGAAAACATTTCAAAACTGATAGGTATCGTGGAATATCCCCGTGGTATAAACCGATTATCTTCGCTTTGTTTGCCAGCTCTGTACGGAAAAGAAGCCTTGATATCAGATAAAATACAGGAAAGGAAGGAACTACTGGTGACGCTCCCATCAAGCTTCTTTTCTGGTTATTTCGTGAAAAGTGGAGTTACTTTGCCTCACTTCAATTAACATACGTTATCGAAAAAAACCACAAAGACAATTTGGAGTCTCAAATTAAAAGGTACGCTTGGACCATGGCCAGCGCTTCACCTTGTGAAACCCAAACGTGTACAAGGCTTAAACTCTTTTAAAAATCGTGAGATGACAGATCAGCGGATGATTCTTCGAGGAAAAAAATATTTGCGGAGTCGATTGTCAAGTTTGTTCATGTCAGCTCTTCGTTTATTACGCATGTTGACACCGCTGTTCTTTCAAATTCGACGGGAATAAATTCAGGTGAATCCGCAGAAAACACACAGGGCGATCCTATCCTACGGCGATTCAGACATTCGCTCTTGAGAAGTGTTAGGAACAGATTCATAGTCGCTAGTCTCCGCTCTCTTCTCTTTATCCAGATTGTAGAAATAACTGAAGTTTGATACAATCACTGGAACAGGCAGAGCTAGTGTGAGTACTCCTGCGACTGCGCACATGGAGCCAATCACCTTTCCCCATGCGGTAGTGGGGGTTTTATCTCCATATCCAACCTAAAGAGCATACAATAACAATATTTTAATCTTCCGGTCGCTTTTGAAACGGTAAGGCGATCGATAATTCTTCCTTCTCGCTGCAGATTATACGCTTGCTCATACAAAGCCAGATCTATCTCTAATTTTTTATGACCTCGAGCTGGGTTTTCACAAATGAATACGCTTCCGTGCATCGCGAATGAAATTTTCTGCAACACTACCGCCTTTAAATAATTAATGTTTCTTTTATTAGCACCATTTTGAATAAAAATTTTTCATTTCAGCCTTTTTCGCTCGGTATAATGAAAGAGAAAGTCGAGTGCATTCAGAGCAACGACTGAAAATTATCGCCAATCAACTTCTTTTCCGAGATTGTACGGTTCTTTAAATATCGAAGTGATAGCAATCACAGCAAGTCTGATTATTTGAAAATTTTCTTTTACGAGAAGTTTAGAATTTTATCTCAGTGCGCTCTGTAAAAATAATTTGGTCAAAGCCGACTCTTGATTTTTTTCAAAATTTTCAGTGTCATCCCGCGGAGTTGTTTATTTTCGCTCGCCATCTGGTCATGTACAGACTAAAATATAATAAATATGATTAGAATTTCTTTTACGCGCTTCACTAGCTGGAAAATGTAATAAACATTCTCGTCACCTCTGCGAATGAAATACTAAATGTCGTCAAACTTATATTAGAGATGTTTAATGAGCAATACAAAAACCAATCAATAAAATGGCAGTTATGCTCAGCATTAATAATGAATGACAATTTTTTTGTGAAGTATTTTGTTTCTCGGGCAGATATTTTCTTTTTTGTAAGGAATCGTGGGTAAACTTCATGTTTTTCGGTATTTCCCTTGCAATTTATATCAGACTTTGAGATTTACATGCAAACTTGAGTGTGAATATGCAAATATCGTGTTTTTTCATGAAACGAAAAAATTAGATTTGTACTAAGCTCTTTCAATTTGAAACTGTGACTGATTCATGTTTCTTCGATAATTTAAAGATTATGAAACAGAATAAAAAAAGAGGAAAGAAAAAAACAAAAACACTTGATGATTGTAAGTGTTGTCATGATTGGGCGTCATTCATGAGTGTTTTGAAATTTCATTAATGCTGGCCTTCAAAGACCTATCTTATCCTCCAATTATCGGAGGAAATGCAATTGACAAATGTAAATGAACAGAAACTTACCGTTGTCATAGTAACTACAGACCACCAAAATGCTTCGGGGATGCTTCCAAAATTAGCACTCTCCGCGTAGTAAACTCCACTGGAAAATATTATAACACCCATGAGTAGGAAGAAGGACAACAAAAGAAGCTCTCGGAGACTTGCTCTCAGCGTCATGCCAAGGATCTTCAAACCGCGATAGTGTCTGGATAATTTGAAGATTCTGAAAACTCGCACTAGTCGAAGTATGCGGAAAAAGGCTACGTACGAAGTATTACCGGATTCATCGCCACCACTCACAGATAAACCGAGTATAACGTAATAGGGTAAAATAGCAACTAGGTCAATGATGTTCAGAAACGAGCGTAAAAAACGCAGTTTTTGAGGTGCCGCGAGCAAGCGAACAACATACTCAAAGGTAAACCAAGCAACGCAGAAAATTTCCAAGCCATACAGCGCCGAGTTCTTATCGTTACGACTTTCCCTAAACTGAGGCAGTGTTTCGATGCAAAATATAACTATTGACACTAAAATCACAACTACTGACCAAATGGCGACAATCTGGGCTGGAAGAGATGAATGTGGTAGCTCCATTACTTGCCATATCTTCCTTTGAATCGGGTTTTCCGGTAGAGGACCAATGTCTTGGTCTACCACGTTCATTTCCATTTCTTTGAAACGTTCGATAACGTCTTCTCCCAATTCGAAAAACTGAATTTCCTCGCAAAAAGTTTTGCGGTCAATCTCGACGGGTCTCAATAGTTTTCCGCGTGATTGATAGAAATACAAAATAGCATCAAATGCAACTCGATTTCTGTCGAAGAAAAATTCTCTCTTCTTTGAGTCGTAATATTTTTCGCGCTTCATCGGTGACCCCAATAGCGAATCTGGAAAGCGCGAAAGCGTTGACTCGAGGGTTTCAAAAATCATTCCACTCACGTTAATTTTAACTCTAACTCCTCCTCTTTTCGTCGATCCTCCGAAAAGAGGATAGACGGATATTTTATCCGGACGTAAATATTTCGCGGCTTGTTCGAAGGCGCCTGTACCGAGGTCGCTGTTAAATCGCCCGCGCAGGGATGGACGTCCTTCTGGAGAAAATCTTCCTCGCGATGTTGAAGGCGGATTTGGGCGCCCGTCGACCGAGTGATGGCGATATCGCCGGCCACTGTCCACTCCTTCAAGTCCTTCGCTGTTTAATCCTTGGGCGCCCGAAATCAGAACGGCCTCCATTTTCCTTTTGGTTTAATTTCGGGCTATTTTATATTTTTTATGGCTATGTAGTTTTAGCCGTTGATTGTGATTACGGTATAGGAAAGATTTGATTCAAAGGTGACTTCTTGACCGCTAATTTCTGTTTCGCTAAGCGCGCCACACAGATGGAAACAGTAATGATTTTCCATAAATGATCGGCCTGCTTCCAACGGTGTAATTAGACAAATCCCCAAAATATGTTGAATGTTCGCTGAATGGGTAGCCCGCCGTAAAAAGAAAATTATTTGTTCAGAAATAGGCGCCCATTTGTCGTTCAGGACATGAGCAACATAATGCCTTAATAAGCGAACGCGGGAGCTTATATGCCAACATCAGATGCGTGATCACGTGATCGATTGTCTTTTAACGTAACTTGTTGGTACACCTGTCTAATATGAAGATTTTTGGGATCGCACAAACACCGTATGCTTTTCATTTTCAGCGCGTTAAAGCATCAGACTCCTTCACAAGCTTCAAGGGACGGGATTTGAACGATTTATTAAAAATTTGTGTACGTGTGTAGTTGATGTGTTTTTCTTTCCCCAGTACCGGATATTTTGATTTTGCTGTCAGGAAAATGAAGTTTCAGCAATCGATTTTGGCATTGGTTTTGTTGGAAAATGAATTTTTTTTAAAAACAGACATAATTCACGTATTAGCGATCAAAAAGACTATTTTTGGAAACCATTAGGATCCATGTAGTACGAGAAAGGTTCTCTTTTACATCTTTGTTTTTTATAGATAGCAGCAATTTGATGATCGTTTTGCGGATAAAAAGAATAGAAAAATAGGAAAATAAAATGAAATAACTTGAAATACAAGAAAAGCTGTAGTATTGAATATGGTTCCGGGTTGAGTCACTCTGTTTTCCGTCTTTTTTTATCAATAAGAAAATACCACGTTTGTGTTGTTTCTCTCGTCCCCGTTATAAATTCGAAGCTGTCGTTGTTGACATTCCAAACTAAAATTTAGGCCTAGAGTGATATATTCTGCTATTTTTATATATAAATATTTGATCTGAATCAGTTTGTTATCTGATAAAAAAAGTCTATGAACTATGAACTAAGTGAATAGACAAATTGGTAGTTGTGCGGTAAACGCAATGTGCTGATTGTGGAAATCAAGCTTGTTTAAGAAATCGATTTATTTGGATGTGATTCTTCGTTTTTCTCTGAAGCTTGTTGGAAAATGAGGCGACCATAAGCAAACAACGATGAGCTGTTTTTTTTTTTCGTCCGCAGTCGAGAGAAAAAAAAGCATTGTTGTTATTTCACCGAGATCTCGATGTCAATCTTGAAAGCCATGATAAATTCACAAGATAAGAAAGCTTATTATTTTTCAATGGTTTAATTTTGTCCTGCCAAACGGTTTATAAACATAACAAAGAATTACTCCAAAACCGGAGAGATCAGTAAATCACAAGTGATAAACAGTGGGGGAGTTTTCTTTTTTTTTCAGTAGGCACGAAAATTATTCACTACTTGATGAGTAACAGCCCGAGATTTCAATTCTTTCTTGAGCTGAAAATTAAATAACTTGATTCATTTTCAGGCTTAGTTTTTGTATGCCTAGGGTTCGCTGATGTATAACCTTAATAAAACATTCTCATTTCCTTGACAACTAATGATGATAAGCTCCTTTGTAGCAGTATTTTCTAGGCCATTTCGGCTCCAACTTTCTACTTTCCCTCATCTTATATGTCATCTATATGTCCATTTACACAGCTGCCCATCCGTGATACATTTGTCAATCTCCTATTTCATTCAATTACTCTGTCATCGTCTTAGTTATTTCAGTCATACCATGTCAACAGTACCTACAGGGATTTTAATTTTTGCTCCATTTCTTTAGCTCCGTTGCCTTTATTACAGCAGAATGAGTTCAAATCGTTGTTCAAATCTGCACTCTTACACTCATGCGTAACTGAGCTGTGGCTCTCCGAGAGGGTGGGGGGAGGGGGCGGGGAGAGGAGAAAAGTAAAGTTCACTCCCCCACCCTCTCGGAGAGCCACAGCTCAGTTACGCGTGCGTGTAAGAGTGCAGATTTGAACAACGATTTGAACTCATTCTGCTGTAATAAAGGCAACGGAGCTGAAAGAGTGAACCTTTCCCTTCGGTTTTCTCCTTTCCTCTTCCTCTGCTTATCATAACAAATGAGATGATATGAACCATGGACTTGAATGTCTAAGAATCAATCCTACGATTCAAAATCAAACAAACAAACAAATAAGAGTTCAAAAATTATGCCAAAAATTCTGCTTGCGCAACCAAGGGGGGCTTGGCCAGAACCACACCTAAAGTACACTCAGATAGGGACTCAGATAGTTTTACAAGGCCGCGTTTTGTCGTTTCCTCAACTACACTTGACCAAAATCTATACTATACTATACTAATTATCAAGTCCCTGAAAATGCTGTTTTTGGATTTTGTCCCCAAAACACAGATTTAATTCTGTAGCCTTAGAATTTGCCCCTTTCGTACTTAAATAGTGAGAACGCACTCCACCCGCAGACTGACGTATCCACTATGTAAGTTTCTTAGTATAGACGTCCGATATATATATATATTTCCGCAAAAATATCCAGCAGTCAAGTGATGGGAATAAAGAAAAAGTTCCACTAGGGGATTGTCAGTTGACCCAGTATCAAATTCCCCAAACTAACATCATAAGAATTGAATTGCAGACGGCAAGGAGAATTATTAAGAAGTTCTTGGGAGTAAAATGGTTTCACTAATGTAATGATAGCAAATAGAACTGACACATAGGGAGCATCACATGTATAACTATTAATTACTTTATTGTAATAATCAAGTTATTTACAACTTCTATTTTAAAAAGTATCATTTTTAGTTCCAGCAGTATTTTTTTGACAACAAAAACAAGATCTCAAAATATCCATGGGCTACAAAAAGGGAAAATACAGACCTAACAAAAATCCTCATTTTTTGAAAGTCTGAAGAGTCTATAAAAAATTGCGATATCAGATTTTCAAGAAAAAAGCCTTACAAGGACATGGAATCTAAGAATGATTTGTTGCATTTGAGGTACTCTAGCATACATTAAGTAAAATCTGCTGAACTGTGCTGAACCTGCACCACATTTCAGACCTAACATAGGCACTTAATGAGAAACTTAAATATAACATGATGCACCCAAGGTGCTGGATAAAAAATGATGAGATATTTTGTTGTACCATGAGCGAATTATCTTTGACTGTTTATAGGGTTTGCTGCTTATGATTGAAAACAAATGAAAGACGAGTTATAGAAGATGATAGGCAACAGGTGAAGTTTGCCACAACTCAATAAAACTTCAGGAAGCACAAATGCTTTTAAGACTAAAAAGCTAAGAACATTAACAAATTAAGTGTCATGTTACTGCAACTGTGATATTACCATGCAATGAAATGATATTCAAGAATTGTACTTAATTATTACTCTCTCAAATATTTCATTAGCAATTCATTTTCTATATAGTGTGTGTTAGCCACAATCACAAAAAGCCAAACCTGATTAATACATGCACCTTAGTCCAATAAGTGTGTACATATTATATACAATCCTATCTGTACAGATCAAGATACACTTATGCTGAGCTAGGTACTTGGATTCAGGTTAACGCAAGAAATGTTCACACTTCACAGCCTCAAACTAAACAAAGGAAAAGTAACAGCTCAAACCAATGAAACTCACAACTAGCTCACTCTAACAGATAAAAAACTTGTTCATGTTGCTCATAATCTACAAACACATGCATTTTGTCACTTTTCCCTGAGAGGTTCTAAAACTTTGAAATAGGCTGGTATAGTAACTATGGTGATTCTATTCATAACAGTGAAATACTTAGAACTTGTTAATAACAAACATTTAGTTTGAGACCCCTGGTTGTTTTCTTGTGATAAGAAGTCTCTGAGACTTATAAATTCAACTTATAGATACATCTTTTCAACTTTCTCTCAAATCATGTTATTGAAAGCCTTAAAAATTATTCTCTCTTTCAAAAATACTTCTGCCTTGGAGGCTGTCCCTTGAAACCAAAATGCTTGAAAGTATTTTACATACTCCTGCTTTTGTTCATAATTACTCTCTTCACCCTAATCTTCACAAACCAATCCAAATGTTCTTATACTCTAACACACTACACTAGTGGCTAGAAAGACTGCTCTGAAATCCACTAATGCCAGTTAAAGGTGCTCTTCCTTTACCAGGGTCTTCTTAGACAAATTGTTGTTCCTTTGTGTCATGTTGAGGTAGGTTCTAGGTTCTTGGAAATGACAGAAAGTGTCAAATAATATCAACATTCTGTTCAGGTGTCCTCTCCTCACTTTCAGCTCACTGTGACTGGAAAGAACACATGCTGAGCATTCTGGATCTGGGCTCTGCAAATGGGACATAGTTCTATATTTGCTGCACAGACATTGCAGGAAACCATGTGTCCACATGGACAAAACACAGTGTCAATCTGTGCATCCATGCAGATCTTACACTTCAGTGAGTCCTCCATCTTGGTCAACTGTTCTTGAAGTTGAGCAACTTTTGCATCACCAGTCTGAGGTCTGAATTCAACTTGACGCTTTGCAGGGGGATTTTGAATTGGATCACATCCTCGCTTGTACAAAACTCTCCGACAATGATCATACACTTCCTTAGAAGTCCTTTGTACATCAAAGATGTACTTTTTCTCTGATTCCTCGTCTCCAAAGAAAGAGATCAGGGTTTCCTTCAAGTCTCGTGTGAATTGATCAGTGACTGCATTACGAACAGTTTCACAACGGTAAAATGCATGATACTCTGTAATAGATCTGTACAAAGCACAGGCAGCTTCCTGACTGGTGAGTCGAAATGTAAACAAAGATTCACCATCATCAGCTATAATTTTCAGGTGAAGATTGTTCTTAACATGAGTTGCCATCTTGAGGCCATTGTACAAAAATCTGAAAGTAAAATTTTGAAAACTTAATAACTGATTTAACATGTAAATAAGATGGAACATAACTACAAAGTTTTACACCAATTTAATATGATACTTAACTCTTTAGTTCCCAAAAGTGATAAAAAATTAACTCCTCCCTACTATATTAAGACATTATCCAGCTAACAGTTTTAACAATACTTTAAGATATCAGGTAGAAGTTGTTGTCTTTATCGAACAAAACATTTTCCTAATTAATTTACAAGAAAATGTGTAGCAGCTAGAGGGGAGAATAAGCAATCAGATCTTGGAAGTTGAAGGGCTAAAGCAAAGTAACCAAAGCAAAAATCAATTGGATTCAAATCAAGATCGACATTGTAAAATCAAGATAAGTGTCACTACTCATTTGTTAAGTGGTTAACAGAGCTCTTTCACAGTATTTCAATGATTCTTTCCATCTCACAAGGGGAAAATACAGCTTCCCATACAAGCACAATTCATGGTAATCAGATTTAGCACAAAAAAGTAATGTTTTAATCAATAGCTTTTTATTTAATGCATCATCTGCTTTTTCCAAGAGTTATTCTCTTCTTGAGGTTCAGAAGGCAAAAATAAAGAAATCCTGTCACAGTCAATGTTGAGGTTTTGCTGTGCTTAGTGCATATTTATGTTTGCCAGTATCCATCATTCTGAAAGAGGCAACATGAGGAAACCCCTTGCAAAAAACTGGCAAAAGAATATTCCCTTTTGTCCACGTAAATTTACAACTTGGCTTGCAGCCATAAAAATTATGTAAATTTTTTAATATCACTTTCGTCACAATCTACTTTTGATAATTCTCCCTTAGAGATTTTAAGCTAAATGAAAACTTGGAAATTAGGAATACTTAGCTAGTGCAATTGTGGGATGCTTTGCCTCATAGTAATGAAGGTAACACTTATTGAAAGGTCACAGTTGAATTTTACGCATGCAAAATCTTACTCCATTTTTCCTAAATATAGATCTTAATGCCCTAATAAATGTCTTCTACATGTACTTTGTAGGACATACAAAGAAAAGGATGCTGTTAGAACAAGGTTACGACAACAACAAAAAAGTCAGCTAAAGCCCTCATTTTAAATGTGATGACATTTGGCTGGATACTAAATAAACAAACTGGTCGCGTCGGACGCTATAATGAAATATGGCAATTTCTCCTGCGGATCAAAACACTTTTTCGTACAGTAGAGAACAATTTAGGCGAATGGAGTAAGAATAAAGTGGCTTTTTTATCCTGAAATATATTTTATTGTACAAGTGATTCATTTTTGCTGGCTGTTCATGATCAAAAATTCACAAGCCTCGAAGCAACACGCGTGAACTTAATCAATAAACATCACGTACTTTGTTATAAGAATGAACTTTCACCTTAAAGGACTCACGAAATAGCACATTAGTACCTTATCGATAGGGTTTGTTCCTGAAAACTTAGTCGTATCATATTGAAAAAGTGCTCGCAGTTCTTCTACAAATCAGAGAGACCTTAGGTGTATGGACGGTCGAGGTTGAGGCAGACATATTGCTTTCGAGTAAGAATCATTTCACGAGTGGCAGGGACTGATTATCGAGGTACAAAACTCAAAATATTAAACAAATGAAGAAGTGTTGTGGTTTACATATTACATATCCGAAAGAAATTAGATTTTTCCTCGATATGAGGAAATGACTTAAGGGTATTTCTTGTCTCTCGTGCATACATGCTGCGTAAACAGGCCTTTTGACGAACCATTCCCAAGGAAAATTTGATTTTATACATTGGAAATGTCTTGATTTAGAATAGAAACCACGGGATAAAACATGTAAACGTTTTGTTAACAAATAGGTCGAATATAAAGTGTAGCAGCAAATAGATTCTAATGGCACAAGTTGGGTTTAATTAGCTATGAAATAAAAGCTTTAAATTCACTAGGGCTGTTGTTTGTTTCCAAAGATCCCATCGTTAGCCTGAGAGGTCCTTTTTACTCCAGAATGTTCATGATAAAAGTTAATAAGCCTTAACACCTACCTTTCAACAAAGTTGAAGTCGGCATCAAAGATTTTTATCTCCTCGCTTCCAACACCGATGTGAAGGGTATTTCCTGATTCGTTCTTTGCAAGATGATACTCTATTCCATAATTTTCCATCAGAGACAGTTCTTTGATGAAAAATTGCTTCGCTGCCGCCGATCGAACGCCTTTGAGCTTAGCATGTTCCTCTGAAACACTGCTACGAAACTCTGAGCTCCACTGTGATTCAATTTCTGATGCCTGACAATAATCACACGGAGAGTAGGAATCGCCATGGTCCCCAATGGTTGCTTGTGCGATCAACGCATATACCGCTGCCGCTTTTTCCGGATCTGGGATAATTTTCCCTTCTTCCAAATCGTTTTTCAAATGGAGAAAATACTGATGCCTTCAAAGAAAAAAATGGTAACATTTGAGTGTACAGCTGACACCATTCAACTCAACATGACAAGTAAGCTACTGTTGAAGATAGCGCCAAAGGAAAATAATAAAGAGAATTATGGTTAAGACCATTGCCACGATTTACAAACTCGTAAACCATTTTTAGATTGTACCTGGTGGAATCTTGAAGTAGGTATTGTGGTTGGACGAAAAATTTTACACGGAACTGTAGGCGATACGGTGGTGTACCAGAGATTTGACGTCGAATTCTATTTCTGGTGTTGAGCCAAAGTGTTTCGCCCTTTGGGCCTGTGAACTGTAATCCAAAATAGTCTAGTTCAATTATCCCAAGTCTTTTGCACACCTAAGGAAGGGAAGTAAGAGAATCATGACGAGTTAACGCGAAGGAAAAAAGTTACATCAGAAAATATACTTTGAAAGCAAATTGCTGGACTTTGAGCCCAGAGAAGAACAAAACAACGAACCTCTTCTAAAAGGTCTTGTCCTCTCGCTTTATCTCGAATTTTGAACTCTTTAAGGACAAAGTCAGGCAGGGACACGTAACAGAGCATTCTGTGTCGAAGTTTTGATATTTCCCGCTACCTTTCCATAGAAATAAGATACACAAGTGACTGCGCTGTGTTCTTCCGCGGAGGTCTTGTTGTTCTGCACAAAAATTTTTTGACGAACATCGTTTGAAATGGACTTCGAACCAAAAGGTCATTCCCTGTTCACGTGGAGGGCAAAGAGTGAACCAATCAGATTAGTATGTTTAAATCTTCAACCAATCAGCGCAATACAGGAAACCATCTGGGGTTTCCCTGCCCTTCTGGCGGAAAATTATGAACTCCAAGGTCTAAATTTAAAATTTATTGCACAAGCAATTTTTTAGCTGCCCTCATGATATTTCACTTTCTCCCGATTGTCTTATCTAGATCGCTTGTCTTGCTTTTCAGCTGGCTTTTCAGCTCATTGTTCGAACTCGAAACGTCATCAATAGGGCAGTGTTGCGTTGTTACTTGATCGAGAAAATAACCGGATGTGAATTTCAAAAATCTGCGAACAAAATTCAAATCGGTGGAAAAAAACATTACCAATAAGAAGTAAAACTAAAAATCATTCATTTCCATTATTATTGACACATATTTTAAGCTTCCAAGGTAGAATAATTTTTCTGTAGATTCCTGTGCGAGAACGATGCGAAGAGGATTCGAAAATTTTCAGACGCAACAGCTCGATTTGTTTGCAGAACCTTTATTTTTTTTTCTTCTTCGAATGAGCTGTTCTACTAACAACATTTTTTTAGAAGTAAGGTAACAGATACACCTGAGCTTCACCGGCAATTCTCATGGACAGGATAAAAAAGGTTTTTACGTATAAAATAAAGTCTGGACTTTGCGTGAAAGGTCCGTGGAAAACCCGTGTGCTGCCGGCTTTGGTGCCGCGCCACGGACTTTGCACGTGATTATTAAACTAGCTCACGTTTGAATAATTACGGATTAGCAAAACAAAGAACTAAACGAAGTGTGGACTTTACCTGTCGAACTAATTCCAATTTCGTTCAAAAGCAGCCAGTTTAGACACTTTGATTTATCTTACCACCTTTAAGTCTTCGAAGGATAAGAGCATAACTTATCTTCTTCAGGGGGGGGAAGTGGAAGAATCAGTCATCAGAGTAGTTGTTGCTTCTTAGAACAAAAGTTATTAAGTATTTACACTGGCAGCGCCATGAAAAAGGATGCAGCTTTTTCTTTGAAGCTGACGGCGATTTTGTAACTTAGCAGCATAGCTGAATCAGAAAACCAAATCTTAACGACTATGCCTGCGTTGTGAGGAAATAAAGCCTTGAAGGTTATTGAGAAATTGAATAGGAAAAAGATACTGAAATACGAGAAATTTTCCACAACGGAAGTATACATATTGCGGATCTAACAGGCGGTTAAATTTGTGAAAATCATCGATAAACATTATCCAAACAAATTCATTTCATGTTGTTTGTCCCTCATTTACTTCATAATTAATTTCAAACCTCATTTGTCTGAAGGAAAACGACAGTTGCTGCCGTCTATTATGTTTGGCACGCCGAATGAGTCATGCATTATAAGCAATATTCACATGGCTGGAAAGTCATAACATCTTCATCTGATTTTTGAGGTCTTTCGATTGTTTCTTTCATATAGATGGTGAGTCAAGCTCCTATTTAAAAACCCGAAAATGAAACCTTTTTTAGAACCACTTGAGAGGAACAGTTGTGTAACATCCCAAAATAACTTTCCTTTAATTCAAGGAAAAAAGGTGACAACAGCCACCTATTGTCTTCACTAAAGTCTATCAGAGCTATCACTTTTTTTTCCAGAATATTAATCGGCTCATGGAAGAACCACTTGTTCACATTCCGCTCGACTCAGTCAAACCAGGTTTTTCTGTGCAAGTTTTACAAGCGTGTCTATCTTAATAGAATGGTTTTACCCTTCTTTTCTCTAACGGGGCGTACTGAAGTTTTTCTTTACTTTTCTTTTTTCGCGACGTAGGATCGATCTTACAGGGCTACTCAACGTCAGCACTTTATTTTAATGGCAAATATTATAAATATCAATGTTTGCTGCGAGTCCAAGATTGTCTCTGCATGACACATTTTGATTTCTTTGCCTCGAAGGTTGTACAAAAAGTTATATTTTCTGGGAATTTCAGCACGGGGTTTTTGTATATACCTTAAGGAAAGGAGCAGGTTCGGTAAGGCTTTCGTGTACAGCCAATATAAACACTGATATATTGCATCATAATTAAAATAAGTTGTTAAGTACTTGCAGGGTAAACAATAAGCCCACAAAATGGCCCAATATACGGTCTCACTGTTTTTGTCGGCGTAAACAACAGTTTGAAATATAGAAATACTTTCTTCAGTTTATATAAATTATGATAAAAAAAAAGATGCACACGAACTTAAACTTTCGACAAATGGTGAATACGAAAAGAGAACTATAGCTGAATTTTAAATAAATTTCGATAGCACAGACAAACTGGCGCCACAACACAAACACTGCATGGCAAACGACTATCGCTAATGATGTTAGTGAAAACGAAAGTGTAGAATAATCAATATTTTTAATTAGAATTTCTTCCAAGTTGACAATTTTCGCTATAATTTTCACAGAACACACAATTCAAGTCATTGATACAGGAATACACTTAGAATGAGAATCTTTCTCAACTGACGTTTCAGTCGCTTGGATGAATGGATAACAGTATATTTATACATGGAGAAATACACCAAATTCCCAACAAAACAACATGCTAATTAGATCAAGATTAGTTGAAAACTGCTTTGACTGTATTTTTCAGAAACATATAAAATGCACATCAAAGAGCTTAAGTGAGAAAACCAGAAAACGTAAAAATGAGTTTTTCTATGCAAAATATCCTGGACGGAATTGCACAAGATAAAAATGTAAATAAATTAGACAGTTCTCTAAAAAAAACTACACATGTAGCAAGAATTCTATTTACAAATTGTTATAAATGTGTCAGAACTAATATAAAATGGTCCCTTAGAAATTAAAATGAACGAAATCGAAGAATAACGCTCTTTCAGCTTAAGTTGGTGCAGCAACCAGACCCGCGGGGCCTCGGCCGAGTTGTTGTCCTCCAACGTTGCTCTCGAGGGGCTTGAACCCGAGTTCTTCGGTCGGTACTCCGAACGACTGGAGCTTTGCTTCGTAAGTTCGGATGAGATCATTATGAGCCTGAAATAAAACCAAACTTCTTAATTAAATCTCCAGTTTTATATAACAATCGCACCTGCAAGGGAAATAAGAGCCTGCGAATAAGATCTCTCGGCCAGTTAAGGGTGGCCGGGAAGGGAGAGGAGGAAACCTGATACCGTTTGCCATTCTGGACAACATGTATCATGTAACCCTCTTTTGGCTTAAGACTTCAGGGCTCTGCTCTAACAGGGCTGGGGTGCCACAGGCGACCAACTTTTGTCTTAAGGCGACCTGTAGAACTATGCTTTATGAAAGCTTTGAAGAGCCTGGCACCAAAGATTTTTTAGAGAAGATCTTCGAGACACCCGCTGATTCCTCTGGGAGGGCGGCTTTGTAAGTACTTAAGATACACAACTCTGATCTTTTCGAGGCACTATGCTAAAAAGGTTCTACAGGTAACTATGTAACAAATCAAACAAGTCATGTTCTTTACCTTGCAAACACGTGCCAATTCGTACTGTAAGTCTTTGATAGCACTGTTCTTCGAGTCTAAAACATCCTGAAAGAAAACAAGGCGAAAAAAGTTCTTAAACAGGGCAAACAAGTTATAAGAAAAAGACAAACGACTTATCAAAAATCAGGCCAACAATTTTCTGTAGAGATGGCAAGAAAATTTCACCAGCACGAGCAGCAAGTTTGTTTTAGACAATGGAGAAGGACTTGGACAAACCACCTTGATAAGATGTTAATGGAGCTGGTGGAGGACTGATGGAAATCTCACCTCAAGTTTTCTGGTTACAACTGTTAAAGCAGTAGGATCCAAATTGGATGCTGACAACACTTCGTTCAGCTGCGCTTCCTGTGAAAAAACTCGTAAAGTAAGCTGGGTAGACCACAATTAATGTGACGAGAGGTGTACTTTTATGAACTCATCGAAACACAAGGAATAACTCCTTAGCTTTCAAGGACCAACTACACTGTCTGTGGATTATTAAAATTCCAATATTTGTCTAAGTTCGTCCTTTGTTCGCAGTTTAAACCGTCCTTTTGGATTTATTATTGCACCCTTAAAGTTTTTTCCACCTCAACCAAAATAATATTTTGTTGTCTTGTCTAAGTCGACAGTAGTTTTTATCTTCAGTCACAAAAATGACTCGAAATACTTCAACTACAATCATTTTGTTTGTTTCATAAAACGGGGGAACGACAAGAACAAATTAAAGGGAGAGTAAAACCACCAGTGCCTTTCTACCAATGTGTAGTGATCAGGAAAAATTTTCACCTATCAGAAAAAGTCACAAATGTGACAGCGGTGTAAACAAAAATTGTTTTCCTAGAAGGAAGACAACAAACTACAAATACACTATGTCTTGTCACTGATGTTTTTTTGCGCGTACCTTCTTCTCCAGTGTATCAGCCAGAGCAGTCAGTTTCTTCTCAAGAAGCAAGTTTTTAAAGTTGCTCTTCTGTTGAACCTCATGTATAGCTTTGACAAATTTGCCATACAACTCGTCACGTTCACTTTGTGTCTATATCATAGAAAACAAACAAAAACAGATCATGTTTAAGCACTGCGAACATTTTAATTACACTGACTAAACGACAGAAGAAACATTCTAAACTTTTCCATATTTTAAATGCACAAAAATGCACGTGGACAGGCAGCTCTCTTTTTCACAGGCTCATCATATTTGTAGGTGGCCTCGTACTTCTAATTGGTGCACCGGTAAATTATTTTGAGTATCACATTTTCGAAAAAAATTTTTGGACCTCTCAAGCTTTGGGCGTCTTGAATGTAGAATATTTTTATTTTGTTAAACCGACATTAATTCATCAGCGGGAATAAACCCATCCAGGATTTCCACGTATTTTGAAACTCTTCTCTCCTCCTTCCAAAAGAAGACTCTAATTTTGGCATCTATCGATGGGGTTGTAGTCGTCATTTCTGAGAAGAATGCGTATATTCTAAATTCATGAGATCTCAAACCTGACTAAAGCGCTGTTGGAGAACTTCGTGTTCCCAGTGTAAACTCCTTAGTTCTTCTTCTTGAACTTTAAGTCGTGCCTTAGCACTCTACAAAATTGAAGATATATAAAATATAATTATCTCTTATCATCAACCTTTATTTTGAAAACAAGTTATGCCCTAGCGTGCATCTTACAACTTAGATATCTTGCACTAAAGAAACCCACGCTCTTTCAAGAACAGCTGCAGAATTCTAAACCCCTATTTTTATTAAGCGCTACAATGTGCAAAATATCGACAAATGAAGATTAGAGGAAGCCATGAAATTTACACAAATTTTGAAGGGTTGAAAAGCTACATCCACTTTTATTTTCCTTCAATCCTTCTCCTTACGCTGTAAATTATTCTTTACATGCAATATCGAGTTCACATTCAACAAAAGGGAAGAGACAACAAATGCTTATGAAAACATTAACATCTACAGTAATTAAGTGAAGGTTAAATACGTTACAATCTGACCAATGGTGTGAACTGTTCTTACGTCACTGCTGATAGATCGTTTTCTACATATGATGTGCAAAACCTTCCTTGTATGATAGTAATACTTACAGCCAATGACGCTTTGTCTTTTTCATAGTTTGCAAGCTACAGAAAAAGGAAATAAGAAATTATTAATATAATACTAATTATTTTTGTTTAATAAATACCATAACTATTATTTGTAGACCCATGTAGATTTGTCTCAAAATGAATAGTAAAATTGGAGCCAACTGTGGTTAATATAGTTCTCACTGCTTTGGAAAGGTTTGTTCTGAATACCCTCCACTGCACCCCCTTGACAACATGGGGCAGAAAAAAGTCTGGTCCCCTGACAAGGAATTCAACATGAGACCTTCAGATTTTGCTATCCAAAATACTTTACCACTAATAGTCATTTACCCCAATATAATCTGCCACAAAATAGCTGTCACTGCCACTAAATTTTTGTTGTAATGCCCTTAACTGCACCCCTCCCCCTCTGTACAATGTGGTTCTATTTTCACTGAGATCATCTTTCATTGAATATAGAGAAAGGGTATTGTAGACATCTTTAGCACTTTTTAAACAGTCTTCTTAAAACTTTCTTAAAAGTGGCAAAGTGAATGTTGTATCTGAAGTAATCTTGTTGCACATTGTAAGTTCTAATGTAAATGCACCCTCAACACTGCTGTGTTAAAAGTTACTGCAGCATCTGTTTTCTAGTTATTCAACTGTAACTCAGACTTTTCTTCTAGCTGTCACTAATTAAAAATAATATATAATGATGCTGCTTGAACAAAGTTGAAAGTTGAGAAAAACTATTATAATACTTTGGTCATAATATTTGTTGCTTAGTTTCACCTGTTTTCTAAGTTCTTCCACCTCCTCTCTGGCTTTCTGTAATGGTTCTGTTAATCTCTTATTCTCTGCCATAATTTCATTCATTTGTTTCTCCATTCTCTCTTCCTTCTTTTTCATCTCCTCAACTTGTTCCTAGTAAAAATAATAAACAAGAACTGATGAGCTGACTGGATTTTCTACTTACTTGTCACACTCTATCATTTTGTGGGAAAAGGACAGTTACTACACTGGTAAGTCCCCCTGGTAATTTTAAATTTGAAAGTTTGATGGCATTGGCTTATGACTGTACTACTTGAAATTATTGGAAGGTAATATTTGGCCAGTTGCCTTTCATGAGGTTTTGGTATAATTTAAGTTCAACCTCCTTCCTTACCATATGGAATTTGGTGCTGTTTTGGCCAATTACAAAGCTTGTTTTCTTATGAACATTTCCTGTAACTGCTAAAAATATGTGCTTCATAAATTACCTTGAGGGAATTTATAAGAGCCAGATTATTAAGTGTTATGTCATTGTAGTAATTCTTGATGTCACTGAAGGCTTTCTCATGATTCTTCATCAAGGTGTTGATTTGACCATTCTTGCGCTACAAAGAAAAATATCAATTTATGGCACATGCTGATATAATAATAAAACACTTTTAGAGCACTGTGTCCGATACTTGCTCAAAGCATTGTACAACAATGGTTAAACTATAAAATACAAAAGCCAATAGCTATTATAATAATGAAATTAAGTAAACAACACTAATAAAAACTAGACATCATAAGCCAATTTAAATAAGTATGTCTTCAACTGCATCTTGAACTGGTCAACAGAAAAAGCTCCATCACCATATGTCTTTAACCTGGATCTAGGCACAGCTAAAAGATTCTGAGAACTAGAATGAAGTAAATGTGGACTATTATGGTAGTGTAAAAGCTCAGATAGAAAAGTTGATGCCAAGCCATTAAGGCACTTGTGCACTAAAAGTAATATAGCAGTATAATTATTACAAACAAGGACAAACAAGATAAATCAATTATTAGCATCAGTCTATAGGCATATAGGATACTTCTTATAAACCACTCAAGCTTTTTGGTTGCCACAGTGAGTGCAAAAAAAGTTGGTGACTGAATTTGCATGGAAAGTAATCAATCTGGTGGACGTGTTCGCTGGTCAAGTGACATGTTGTAATGTTCTCATTATTTGATGTTTTGTTTAAACTTACTAATTATATTGTACATAAACTAAAGTAAAATAAACATTAATTTAGCAAAGGTTAAATTCCATTTTTGTTTCATGCCTTTTCTTTAATTTTCTCTCAATTATCTTTTAACTTTTTTTTTTCCCCAGTGACCAAAACTTTATTCCTGCCAACTATGCAATGCTTCTAGATTGCCAAAGGGCTATTGGAAGAGTGAGTGATTTTGGCACCCAGCTAATTGTAAACATACCATAACAGACTTAAGTAAAGTTTAAGTGAATTTCAAGACTACATACATGTTTCTAAAACATCTACAGTGGATGCTAGTTTTTGCATTGTACAACTATAGTCTTTGCAAAAATGCTACCAGGAAAATAAGTAATCTTTATTAATCATTAAGGATCAAACCTCTTCAATTTCATGTATTTCAGTTTTCCTCCTCAGCTCAAGTTCCTCTCTAAGTGCCTTCATTTTCTTGTCATACTTTGACTCAATTTCTATAAAAAGGAGATTGAAACAGCTAAAATTTGCAACAATATTTTACCCTCTCATCCTGTTACCCTTTTAACAATATTTGACAACCTACTACAAGCATTGTCTGTGGAGAAAATCTTTATAGGAAGAAACAATCATTTTTCCTCCTAGTGAACATTAGAGAAACTTGCTTTTGATGCAGCAAAAAAATAGAACATAGAGTTATTCATTAGTCTCCTTTACTCACCTTTAACTTGTCTCTCAAAATCTTGCCTGAGTTTTGTTACATGTTCATCGTGACCCTGTAAAATTTCCAAAATATGTTTGTGATTGACACAATATATAATCAAACACTTGTGTTAAAAAAATTTAAAACCTTTTGTATATTAACATGAGCCAATATGTAAAAGACAATCGTTACACTCACCTTCTTGAGATTCTTAACAACATCTTCATGAGAAAGTTCTTGTTCTTTTAATTCCACCTAAAGAAATATGATTCACTTCACATTGAAAAACCTCATAGACAGTACTATAATGATCGGAATTCTACCACCCATGATGGGCTGTTCTGCTCACTTAATCTAACTGGTGACCATCACTGTCTACACCCAGTTTTAAGGTAAACTGCAAATTCTAAAGTCAAGACTTCCCAGTGAAACACTGATAGGACTAGTGATATTTATTGATTTCAGAAAAGATTACTTCTCCATACACATTTAAACCTCTGCACTCTTATGCAGTATGCATACTCTGTACTGTTCTTTACACATTTCCTAAGGTGCTGACAAGGAGAATTTGTTCAACAATTAAGAGCTATTTTAGTTGGTGATCATTTCCTCCATCTATTTTTATGACCTTAATATACATTTATCACTCAGGGATACTACTGTAAGGGGAAATTACATGCTGGTCACCATCAAGGGGTTCAAGGGTTAATTACATGTGAACTAATGCTTTTTATTTTATTCTATTTTTCACAATGAGAAATAGTCAAATACTTGTCACATCAGCCCCAGACTCTTCTACAATTTTTTGCACTAAAATCAACAATACTCAGAAGGGATATCCAGGTACCTTGAGAGATCTCTTGTCCTTTCTTAAGTCTTGCTCATTGCCTTTGTGGTCGTCTTGTGCTAACTTCAACGCCACAGCACCTATTGATAAAAGTAGCAGGAGATGATGATGAAAAACTGTTTTTAAAATGTTTTAACAAAGAGCTGGTTAACTTTGTGATTTTCAAAAATTATTATACTGTCACTAAAATCTCTATAAATAAACTGGGAAATCTACTGCATCAGAAACAGCTCTTCTTTCTAACACAACAAAAAACCTGATCAATAAAGGTTTTCTCACTACATTGCTCACCAACATACATGTAGTGCCATTGGAAAGTACACCAACAGAAGTTTTAGATAGACTTTAGCATTCAATGGATGGTTTTAACTCAGAGGTGACATGAGATGGTATAGTCTGACTGTCAGTGTGAAGGTAAGTCTGGAGGACTGTTATTGGTAGAAGTGACTGAGGTTTTGACAACCTGAGCAGAAGTCATCATCAAAATTAGGTGAACAGTAATTGTCAGTTGAGTGTACTAAGTGTGGTTCACAAGAACTAGACCAAGCAAAATACACTAACAATGACTGATTATAGCTTAACGCATATTATGTTTTGATTTTGTGAGTCTCAAAGTGAAGAACTTTTAATGTGTATCTTAAGTTGCTTACTCTCAGCTTTAAGTTCTGCAATGTTGTTCTGGTGTTCATACAATAAATGTTTCACTTTCTGTTTGTAAACTTTAATTTCCACTTGGTGTCTTTCCTCTGCCTCCTCCATTTCTCTATCTTTGTTACGCAGCTCTGCCTTCCTTTCCTCAAGCTGTCGTTTTGTGATTTCCCAAAACGTATTCACTTTATCTCGTTCCAGTTGAAAGTAATTGCGTTCTTCACGTTCCCTATCTAATTCCTCTCGTAATCTGACAATGTGTTCTTCCAACTGTTCTTTGCTCATCTCTTCTGTGCTAATCCCATCTACTATTGTAGGTGTCTTGGACTTGGCAGATTTCTTTTTCCCCTTCTTCTTCCCACTTTTCTTTTTGGGAGGCTATTGATGTAACAAAGAGGAAATCTCTTGAACATACATGTATGAGTACTTTGTGTCAAAGTATAGATCACTAAAAGGATGCCAAGGAGTATCTGATTAAGTTTCACACATGAATTTTTAAAAAAATTCATGCATACATACAGTTTAACTAGTATTGCACATAACATGATATTTAAAAGTTAAGAGAAAACTTCACATCTCATCTTACCTTGCCTTTGCGTTAAATTCATATGTCATGTATCAACCCTTTCCCACCCCCCATTGATACTTTCATGATTATTTACTGACATAATTTTCCCACACTATCAAATTATCACCTTTTTCTGTTACATTACCAAAATAGCCAATAAGACTATGGTTCCATTGAATTTAGCGGAAAAATCAAAGTATAGATGAGTAACTTGGTTTTTACACGCTTGTTAAAATTATATTAATTTGCTGATTGGCTAATTACATATCATAAACACAAGGGATAGCTAGCGAAAGAAAGGGAATTGATTTGAAGTTTAACACATTTAGTTCCTGCCAATACAAATAATCGTCCCAATATCTAAAGCAAGATTTCACTAAAGTGGATCCTGATACCATAATGTAAAATATAAAATAAATGTCATAAAAGTCCACAAAATTAACCTTATGAAAATAAAAGCGATCTTAAGCAATCTTAAGCAGAAGTGTTAATAAGGCCTGAAACAATCCAGGCCTGTACTGAATTTGAACCCATGACCAGCTCTACCAAATGAACTAACAAGTCAACTGAGTGCTTGTTATTATGTTGGTTTGCAAGAAACCTGTGAAGTGATGAGTCAATGACCGTGAATACATGAAAATTATATATGTGAACTACAGATTTAGGTTACACGATAATATGATTTTCATATATTCACACAGTCATTGAACTTAAACTAATGACTAACTATGACTTGCAGTCCAAAATATAACAAAAGCTAGCAAAGCTGGTGCTACCCCGTATCACATTACAGAGTAAATATCAAATAAATTCAATCATTTTAAGGTAACTTTCAACATATCTTTGAAAGTATGCAAGAAGTTTTTCTCTGAAATACACATAGAAATGGAACAACAATTAAGTGTGAAACATACGTTTTGTGAAATCGCTATTGAAGGAAATTTTCCTTTAAAACCAAGCTTTTATGAAATATATTCTTTGAGAAACTCATTAGAGCTTGCTTAGATCAACTGCTACCAAGTGTAATGGTTTTATAATGTCTTGAATAAAAGGCAAATATCTACTGGCTCATCTAGTGTCCTTTCACCAACTTGTGCCGTAAACTTTTATTTTGAATAATTATGAAGTGATTCAAAATATACCGTAACTTTACCCATCTTTCAAATAGAATAGCGATCAACTGCCACCTACCATGATGAACAACTCGGATTTTTGCTATAAAACAACGGTACTTTCCGACAAACACAGAATGCAGTAGTTTTTCCACCGAACAAGATAAGCTGTTGCCTAGAAACGAATAAAACAAAGTCCCGTATTGGAAAATGGTGAACACCGCTGAAAAGCGTGGATACTGCTAATGTCACGCAGTCACGCAGTACATCACTCGGAAATTTAAGCCTAGTTGAAACTTATCTGTCCCAAAATTCTTAAGTTCCAATGTTGCAAGACGAAAAAAAAATTGACTTAGCTAGTGTTCTTTGTACATACATAAATAAATCATCACAAAAAGTGTCTGATATTGGTCTACTTTCAATATTTAATAATCACTTCTTTATTTTAAATTGTGTGACAAAGAAAAGGTACTGTAGTCACGAGATTACCACGCAGTTTCACATAGTTCTAAGAACTTTCGGTATTTATTACCACGTCTTGGGTTTTATGATGTTTGTGTCAAAGTTTTGTACGATTTTTCTAGTTTTGGAGGCGACATTTTTCACTTCAAACGTCTGTGCTTTCAGCAAAATGGTTAAACTGGAAAGTGTTTTCCGTTTTGCCAACATATATGGTGATCACATGGTTCTGCAGATGAAACCTTTTAGTGCAGTGGTATGGGGATTCGGTGAAATAGGACAAACAGTTGATGTCAAGTTGGGAGGTGAAGTTCAAACGACGGAAGTAGTGAAAGGTGAGCAAATTAAATTCCCTGGGTACAGCTGAGGGTAAAGTGTTCTGTAGTTAGTTGTGAATTTCCGATTGAAGTTTCTTTTATGGTCAGCAACCTCCCCGATGAAGGGGAACGGATAGTTCTGAAGTAATTTGATAAAGAGGGGACGAGCGAAGGGGAAACAGATAGAACCTTCAATCTAGCCCCAAATAGTTGCATCTCAGTATTCGGCAAAGTTTCCGCACAGCCCCATACTTCATTATGCATACAGTCCTTTGTTAGAAGAAAACAATAGCGCAAACAATAGATTACCTTCGGGTTGAGGTTCAAGCCTACTAACTCTTTTGATTTACGAAAATGAAATACTACATATGATTTTTTTCCCTCAGACATTTCGTTTATAATTAGAAGGTGAACACATAATGCACAGTAAAACCTCTCTAATAAGGATATCACATGACCGGAGAAACTGTCTGTCTCCTGTCTGTCACTTAATCACACGAGTGCTCACTATAGAATGGTGGTGTATGTTTTTTGTCCTCTGGGTTGGAGATTTAGTGTCTTCTTGGTATTAGGGATGGTCCATTAAATGTAGGCTATTTTTTTAAGAATAGTATTTTGGTTATTTGTAGAAAATAAGAAAAACAAGGTAATGTAGGTTATTTAGGTAAAGAATATTTTTAATGACGTAATTAAGGACTGCTTTATCAGGATTTGCTCTGATGAGGAATGGAGGGGGAGGGCAGAGCTTGTGTCTCTTGCTTCCTCAAATGAGTGTACCTTTCTTCCTAATTTTTATTTGCTGAACTTTGCAGTTAATGACCAAGTCTAACATGAAAGATATTGAAAGTGCTGCCACTAGAGCTGCCTTTTATTCACTCTCTCTTTTTTAATATACCTACTCATTTTGAAGGTCCTGAAGGATCAGGAGTATGGAAGGTGACTTTAGATTCTCGTGGTGCTGGTGGACCCTATAACATTACTGCTACTTCAAAAGTGGACAATGTCATGAAGACAATAACTTTAGAGGATGTTTTGTTTGGTGATGTTTGGGTGTGTAGTGGACAGAGCAACATGCAGTTTACAGTGTCTCAGGTAAATGCTTATGTACTAAAGCACTAAACCAGTACCTGCTCTTGATCATCTGGTTAGATGACCCAGACAGTCACCAAATTAATTTATACCATCTCTTCTACACTTGCCGTCCAGCATCTATTGGACAAAGAAAAAAAAAACCTTACTGGCCTTTTTTACTCTTTGTTTAATCTCCAACTCAGTTAAGAGAACTTAAGATTTTGTGTGTTTGTTTTAGCAACTTCAGTTCTTATGGAGTGACTGAGACAGGACAATCAAAAACTAATTTTAGGTCAATTAATGTGGGGATATAAACCAAATTTCTCCAGATTTAAATTTTCAGTAGCTTTTAAACCTTTTAATTTTTCATAAATCCAGGTTTATGGAGTAGAAAGCAATTAGGACTCAATTCTTGTGTGTAACTGTTATTTGTAGTAATGGGAGTAGTATAACATGATAATTGGATTTTATTATGGGAACGTGTTCCCACCAAAAGCATAGCTCCATTTTCTGCATATAAACACACTCACAACCCAAAATTCCTCAATTTCCTCTGACAAAGGGCTAATGCTTGAAACAGCTTTAAAATTTTTTGGAATAGCCAATTTATGCGACCAATTCATTTGATAAATTACCAAAGTATCTTATTTGTAGTGAACAAGAACAACAAGGTTATTATTGCATTTTGTCATCGTATCATAGATGGTAATCAGGAGTTAGATCATGATCTGGCTTTTGTCAATTTCTCTCTATGGTAGACACCCATCTTCCAAGTTCTGTTTTTCAATTCCAACTCTGTAAGATTCATGCAAAGAGAATCTCTCTTTGTCCTGTGCAACAGGTTTTACTGGTTGGGGGAGAAGGGATGGAATTGGGGTCAATATGCTCAGACTTTTTCTTGGGGGTGGGTCGGTGGTGCATCGTATACATGTCCAGAGTTGATGGTGTAGACTTGCTCTAAAGACAGGCATATCTGTATGCCTGTTTTTGTGTCCTATTGTTTATAGATCACATGCACTGTCCTGTGGTGATCTTCAAGACAAGAAAGAAAAGAATCATCTTAGTGGACAACATCAAGTACAAGACAATGTAACTCTGAAGTTTTCTTACACTCAATCCATTTGGCTCTCAGTCAAGGGGTCCCAGTCAATCTTAACTTGTCAATGATAGGAAAATTACAAAAAGTTGGCCATGGAAGGCTCGTGTACAGTTTTTTTTTATGACCAGTTTGCAGATTTTCCTCCTTAGTAAAATATCAGTTCATGCTCAGTTTAAATATCATGTAAAATTTTATGCTAGGTGTACTTGTCTCTGAATAATTTTTAGGCAATCAATGCTTCAGAGGCATCCAAAGAGGCAGACAATTATCCAGAAATCAGATTATTTACTGCAAGTCTTATTGAATCTGAAACGCCTTTATATGAGCTTAAGGAAGTTGAACAGCCATGGAGTGTTGCTTCATCTGGTAAGGCAATTTCCATTTTGACAGTGATGCATTAGTTGGTATCAAATCAATAAAAAAATGGCAATCATCTCAAAAATGGTTCTAGTAACAGTAATGGCAGTAAAGTAACAGTATTAACAATAACAATATGCTAAGATTGAGAATCAAACGTGAAATGATATAAAACAAAACCAGATGCCAGTTTCAGAATTTGATGTTCAAAACTTAAACTAATACAACCATTAAACCACTTTTCTGAAAGCGAGTACACCTAATTATTTATTTAGTAAATTGTCATACTATTTTTTTTCTCCAAGAAACTGTCAATGGAGGTACCTGGAAATATTTCTCAGCTGTCTGTTGGTTTTATGGCAAGAACCTTTATGACCAGTTTAAGAGACCATTAGGTTTAGTTGCCACTGACTGGGGAGGCACGCCAGTGGAAGCTTGGTCCTCACCAGATGCCTTGCGAAAATGCAATGTAACTGGCAACAAAGTAGACAACTTGTAAGTCCCTTGGGAGATAGGTTTTTCAGTGTGCTGCAGACTTTTGGTTGTGGTAAAGAATCACTCATAGAATTAACTGTGCATGCTGGACCAAGATGATGATACTTTAGTAACAGTTTTATATAGTACAAAGAGTTTACTATCTATTACTTTTCTTGTATGAGGATTTGTGCCTGGATTCTTGAACATACTGGTGCTGGCAACCTTGACATACTAACTTCTAACTAATTTATTTTCAAACTTTTGTACTGCAAGATCAGTTTATAACCTGATCAGGTTTTGCACATGCTAATGGTTGGCAAGCTATATTTTTTGATGGGGTGGTTAGGTATATGATGTGCTCACTGTTGTGATTAGCCCTACTGAAAGGTGTAAATGCTAGGGACCTGGGACCTAGGAGTGTAAAGGGAAAGGAATTATTTGTTACTAGAAGCAAACACTCAATACTAACGTAGCATTTTTAAAATCACCTTTTAAAAATCATGTCACCTTTCTTTAAGATACTTGTTGCCTGAAGATGAGTCATTCAAGGGGCCCCAGTCACACTCTGTGTTGTACAATGCAATGATCCATCCATTTCTGAACATGACCATATATGGAGCAATTTGGTATCAAGGTGAAGCAAATGCTGGAGCTCCATATAATTACAACTGTACATTTCCTGCAATGATTGATGACTGGCGCTCCAAATGGTTCTATGGAACTGACGAACTCACAGACCCTGAATTTCCTTTTGGATTTGTTCAAGTGAGTAATGAAAACAATTTTTAGATCAATGAAAGTCTCTTAACAACTGTGCACCTACCCCTCCCCTAACCCAACATTAACCCTACTTTGTTATCAGTTGACTATTGTTAGTTAAAGGGAGGAGTAGGTGCTGACATTGATCCCAATTTTTTGCTTGGTTTTTAAAATTGAGGGATCATTTGCAGAGAGTTTGAAAAAAATGTTTTTCGTTTTAAACCCCAAGTTGTCAGCCAATGGAAATGACTCAACCATTGCAGATGGATTTCCTGTCATTCGATGGGCTCAAACTGCCAATTATGGCTATGTGCCGAATCTCAGGGAAACTAACGTATTCATGGCTGTGGCGATGGATTTGGGAAACGCCTCGTCACCATATGGCAGTGTCCACCCAAATGATAAACAAGACGTTGGGTATCGTTTAGCACTTGCCGGACGAGCAGTTGCCTACGGGGATCTGGATGTGTACTATTCTGGGCCAATTGTATCTGATGTTATAATTACCGCTCCAGCAAAGTCTAACACAACATGGATTGCGACGGTGAAATATCATCACGAAAGTGTGGGTTTAGGAGGAATTGAACTGCGGTCAGACCACGGATTCGAGGTAACTTGTCAAATCTATTTCCCGAAGTTGTTTAGTAATTTATTATGTTTACCAAGTTGGCCACACCCTTAACCATGTGTTTCTTCACTTGATTGGTAAGTACATTCTGGTAACGTGCTTTCATGTCAAACTCATAACTACATTATTTGTCTATAGTTCTACTGCGCGTTGCCTGGCCAATCCGAAATCACTCAGGCCAAGATTGTCTCAAGCGACTTCAGCTCAGTGCACGTAACTGGGGACTGCCCTCATGAGATGTCTGTGCAAGGAATACGATATGCTTGGTACACAAAGCCTTGTGATTTTAAAAAGTGTGCTGTCTACAGCAAGGAAAATGACCTACCGGGACCTCCTTTCACGTGGAATGCGCCTGTTAATTAAAGGAACACTTTTCGAGAAAGTGCCGCCCCCATGAAGAGGACAGTCATCGAAACCAAGCAAATGCAGTTGATGTATTTTTGATGCTGATAGAATTGAAACAATTTTCTTTGATATCATTTTAAAGCTTAGCCAATTGGATTTTAAGTTAAACAAATAACGTTTCAATAATCAGGATGATGATAATACAAGTTCATATTGGGATCAGTCGTACAGATTTGACCAAATATTAGTTTTCGATATCATTTGAAGTGATGTAAAACAGTCTGTTGTAATCTTAATATTTCATTTATAAAAGGTAAGTTATTGAGTCAGAAGTCGGATGATCTGTATAATAAGCTGAATAACACGCGCATTTGGACTTTTACTTATGATCTATTAGAGAACGGACGCACGGATGACGTCACCATTCACAATTTTTTACTCCATTGTTATGTAAACAAATTGATTCTTTGTTGCTGTGGGTCTGTACACTAACGGATCACAGAAGACGTGGTAAGAATATCAGAGACACACTCAGCTGCACCTTGTATGCCACGGTTTTATTTTTACCTTACGTCATTTTGACGTCATCTGTGATCTATTAGTTAACAGACGCGCGGTCACGTGGAACCTATTGGCTAAATAGGTCAGTAGTCCTGAAAAAGACTACTTTGCAGCTTAACTTTTAAGTGTTAATTAGAAATGTAATTGCTGACATGAACAGAACAAAATTCGCCGGTCTTTCAATGAAATAAACAGAGTAGAATTGCTGTGGAATCCACTCTCATTTTATGATGCGTTATCTTTCTTCGAGTGAACTGTGACCGTGTAACTAGAGAGACGTAGTTTGTAGAATAATCACAGATCAATTGGCTTCCCTCATTGCTCAGTCTAATTCAACTGTCCTTTACTCAATCATCAAGCTAGTATCTTCACCAAAAAGTCCGTGTGATTTTTTTTTTTTCACTTTCAACACAATAACTTAAGATAAAATTTACAATACGATTGAATAATAAGAAATGTCTTTACAGCATTAATGTTATGCAACACATTTCACTACAGACATGTTCACCATGGATGAAGGCATTTGCTACTTAGCTTCCAATATTTGAGAGAACTGTTAGTAAGTTTGTTTGCTGAAATGTCATCAGTGTCCGCCATTCCTCTTCCCTACTCTCACTCACACGGATCCATGCTGTTCATATTTTACTCGGAAGCCCCTGTGTTAGGAAGATTTAGTCAAAGTCGTCAAGTTTTACGCACGCCGTTCTTGTCATGAAGATGACTTTTGAACCCACTAGTTATTTCGTTTACGATTCTCCCATAATAGTTGATATGTAGGAGATTTCCGTCTATGTGGACTTGTTAAGGACATTGCTTAAACTCCCAACAGACGTGGATGCTGCCCATATTTGAGATCGCGATTTGTGAAACGAATATTGAGACACTTGCGAACGTACACTTTCTAGAGTGTTCCGCTGTGGTTGTAAGACAACGATATACATCTTGGGACCGTACATGCAGATCAGTAACCCAAATGAGGTTACTAACGTCGTTGAACATGCCACTAGAGTCACATACCAGCTCTCAAAATTGAACACCACAGGGTAATATGCTATTGATGAAAGCAGGAGAATGTACATGGAGAACCCAATGTACTTTGTTTCGTTGAAGTTCTCGGGGATGTCCCTGGCTTTGAAAGCATAATAGGTGCAGAGGAGAGCCACGGTTGATGTATAGGAGCAGACAGCGAGGAAAAGCGAAAAGCCGGTGTTAAAGCGAAAAGGTTTGCACACAAGAAAAATGTATTCGTCTGGACGGATGAGTTTCTCGCGTCTTGGAGGATCAAACATCATCCACAGTGCTATTAGGGATAAAGCGACTGAATTCATGAATATGATTGTCATGGTCTGCCTTTGTATCGTCTTAAAACACGGTGTAAATAGTTCTGCTACTTTGTCTACCTGAAAAACACTCGTAATTCGCATCGTTTTCAAGAAGAGTACTGTTACGCAAAGATTCAGTGCAAAATAACGCCCAGCGTACACGATGTAGCACAGTGCTTGACTCGGCTCTACCAACTCAAGGACAGCGAGGGAAAAAAGTGTCATAATACCAAAGAGCAACAGGAAGCTCATTTCTCTGCTAGATGCCTTCACAACTGGAGTATTATAGAATTTAACGTAGACCGATAGTGTGAGAAGTAAGAAGAGTACACCGATAGAAGTTATCGAAATAATACTGACTCCAGTGGGACTCATCAGTGAGATGTTGATGACCGTTAAATCCTCGCATTCTGTGCGCTTATCATTTGGTTTGGTCTCCGGCTGACATTCCGTACAAGAACTTGATCCGTTGCCGGCGCTGATGGTTCCCTGTGGACACGTTATGCATTCCCAGCAGCATGGTGTAGTGGGTGACTTCATGGTGCCAGGGGAACATTCGCGTGCACAGAATGAGGCTGGAACGGAAAGATTATTGAGAAGGGAACCCCAGTGCAAAGAGGACTCGTTCAAACGGAGCTTTGGTGTAGTTTCTTTGTCCCAGCATCCCACCAAAACCTTTCTGTGAGGTGTTCCAATGGTTGAGACACGCTGGAAGCTGATGATGTCATACGAGGCGGATAAAGGATCCCCGGAACTGTCAAATCGAATTCTGCCAGTCACTCCGGGGAAACTGACATTCCTGAGGGACTTCTGTACATCACTTCCTTTTACAAACGGTTTTACTGAAGGACAGTCAGCGTCATTTGTTGTTGAACAGTTGTAGATACTGTCCACGGCATATGCAAGGGCATATACCGCGTCAATGACGTACGAAACAAATGAACTACGGATCTTGGTGACAATGTTATTCAAAGTGAGATTTGCCTCACAAGCTGGTATATCAGAATCACTGGATTTGTTTCCTGAACAATTGAAATGTGAACTCCAAAATTCTTCCCACCACATCATTCCTCTTTCGAAGCTCTTTTCAGGGGTAATCCTTTTGAGATGTTCTTCAAAAGCAGGGTCTTGGTAATCTCGTGGTTGTATCCCCAAAGAACCATCTAATACAGTAAAACGAGGATCCAGAAACACCGCTTCTTCAGCAGTAAGTGCATCGCTTAGTATAAATGTTCTTCCTTGAAGGTTTTGATCAGTTGCCGCATTGAGAAATGCTCTGCCTTTGCCACCAGAAAGCCAAACTATGATCACTCCAATACTGGACTTTGCTTTAATTCTTGAAACTGTTTGCTTTATTTTTTCCTGGAACTTCAGGCGAGGGATGAACTCCGAAAAAGCAACGCAGAAGCTTTTTCTATCATAAGACTCTTGCTCCAGAGCCCAAATACCATTGCGGCCGTAGGAGTCATCAACGCCTACGGCAGCCACGTATGTCCAGTTGAAATGCTCAATGATGTCAGCCATGACTTGTGCCTGCCAGTTATCTGGTGGAACTGTCCTGAAGAAGTCATTGTACAATGGTGAGCTTAACTCCACGCTTGTTGCAGTTGGACTTATTGCAGGAATAGGAGCAACCTGGAGCAGACTCCCCACTAGGACTGCACTGCCTGAATTGTACGGTCCAACTAGAGCTGAAATGGGTTTTGATGTAACCACAGTGACGTTGCCCGTGGATGAAAGGTTTGTGGAGGGCATACAGTTTTGGTCGCTGCTGCGCACCAGATCATATGTTGTTTTCATAGCTAGAGCAGTCCTCTCGCAGTAATCTCGAATATCGTAACCAAGTGTGACGTTTGAAAGAAGACGAGGATTTTCGTTCACGCTTTCAATGGCAAATATCATAGCTTCAGCGTGTCCTAGTCCCATTGTAAAAAGATCACCGCAATGATCCTCAGTTCCGGCAAAGTGAAGATTAAATAGACCTCCCAAGATGACATGACCGTCCTTGTAAGCTCTTCTTTCAAGATTGCACGACGCAAAGGGGAGAAATAGCACAGATACGTGAAACACTGTAAGTATACCCAAGAGACTAACACCAACTTTCCTATTCCAACTCGTGCAATTCATTGCTTCTAAACCTTGTACAAGTCTTCCAGATTCTATAAATTTTCCTGCAATTAAAAGAAAATTTACGATTATGTTGTTCGAAATTGTTTTAGTTATCTTAGAGAGCTTTTCTGCAAATCTTTTTCGGGAATTGAATAGCATGCAATATTAATCACTACGAAACAACACGAGCTTTCTGACGGTAAATAGCTGAACAGCATGCGTTTGATTCTCATTTTTATCCTTCTCCAGAGGCTCTGAATGTTCCATAATACCACAAAGACACACTTTGTAAACAAGTCTGTAGAAATACTAACCTATCGCAGTGGAAATCAGTTAATTTTGAGTCTCAAATAAGTGAATATTTGCTGGCCGAGAAATTCATGGAATATCTGAATACGTCTGTTCATTATTAATTCTAACCAACAATTATCATGTTTGGTAATTAGAAAGAGGTGAATAAAAAGCAATTACATTGTATGCATTGCAACCATAGTAATATAATAACAAAAATTAAACAATTTCTTAGATCTGTCTATTCAGTGCGATCTTTTTAAAGGTGTGTGCATTTGGCAACAAATGAAATTTTGAGATGATAAATATTATCAACTTCTTTCCTTTTAAATGCTAACAAAATTAAAATTACCCTCAGTTATCTTCCTCGTCGATGATGTCACATGGAAATAGATGAAAATTTCTTACAAGTTTCCGTGAGGCTATTTACTGTATGCTGATTTCGAACATTCTAGCCTAAATTTACATGCAACACAGAATGGTGTCAACTTTGATTGAAAAACCACGCCAGCTCAGTACCAGTGCCTCCTACAGAGCTGATGAACTCAAATCATTTGGTGTGTGGTTAGAATCCTTTGCAAACACATTTTTAATCCATGCACATATCAGCCGCTTTTCAGCTTGGTTTCATTAAAATTTATCAAAGTGATGGACATCTTCCGGCGAACACGATTTGTTTCTCGTTGCAATTACACACTTTCCTTAAATCGATTGGTTGTTTTGAAAATTCAGTCCGCAAATATAATCGTCAGCGTATTTCTTTTCATGCAGATTTCCTCTTGTTATTGAATCTTTTTCAAGCAAAGAACGGTTTACATTACGAACGGTTTCTAATAAAACTGAGATCTATCAGTTTCGCCGGAAAGAAAGACCCCATCCAGACCCGAATTTTTTTTTTTGCCGGAGAGTGATGTAGGTGTTGTGATGAAGATAAATAAGAAAGTGTTGATCTGTTTAACAACACAAGTATCGGTAAAAATAATATAAAAAACCGCAAGACAAAACAAAAAATACTTAACTCTAAGCCGATTGTTTTCTATATCTATAGAAGCCTTCCTTCATTTAAACGATCTAGATTACAAAATCCTTTCCCAACCTGAGTCAAACTCTCGATCAAAAGTGACCTACTATTCAACTCTCCTCTGCGTCTGGCCTCAAATCAAATCAAAGCCGTGAAATATTTCTTTCACTCCTGTTACCAGTGTGATACTATTCCCAGTTGGACTTTTGTGTAAATTAAATTTTTTACGCTCAGTTTGGTCTTTAAAAGCAACCGAAATGGTCACTGATGCCTATGGCGAAGTTAGATGAGGAAATCCATCGGATAAGCAGAAAAATTTGGTTTACAATGCTGAAAAATTGACCTCACCCATGTGAATCTGTCGTTCTTGGGACAAATAACTTCTACCGTTTATACGCTGGACAAGTCGCTCACAGGCTATTGGAGAATATCAGTTGATCTTTTAGATTTTCCCAACGGGCAAAGGACAAACCTTGATTTTTGGCGGTCAGCATTTCCCTAAGGATTTAGCAAGGGCCAGTAAAAGTCGAAAAAACAATTTCCCTTTCTCGGTGCGCTAGGAACGGTTATTAGACTTCTTTATCTCCTTTGCAATTCTTCAAATTGAATTCGAGGATAATCTCTCCTGGGTAAAACGTCTACAATGTTGCCTTAAATTGAACCTGCCATTTATCACAGCGACCAAACCTTCTTATTGTGGAAGCTAGCTGTGAAGTTGCGTGATGCACTTTCCGTTACTACAAATTTTCAATTTTATGGAACTCGCCCCACCGTGTGAGTGTTTCAAGCTTCTGAGGTTTGGATTGAACGCTGGTTTCTTTTAAGCAATAAGTTAAATTGGATCTCGGCGATCACAGTTGGAGAGAAAGTCAGGAGCAAAACAAGCTAAGTATCGAATCCTATCTCACCTTTCTTTGGTAACGAAGGCAAATGGCGATCGCAGTTTCAACCAAGTCAAGTCTGTTTCGGCTTTTATTTCAGTTTAGCCATCCTTGATCTCAGCTGTAAGCGGAGTTGTGGTTTAATCCTCGATGTGACTAAAGCAATTAGTAATAGTTTTTGTCTTTCATAGTGAAAACATTCGAAGGTAATTGCGTCTTTCACCGAGCCTCATTAGTAATTGCAAATATCTGTGCGGATCGGACAAGGTAGAAGATGAAAGCGGCAAACAGCTGTGAATACTTTCCTTATCGCTTAGGCATTCATATTTGTAACTTTGTCCAGTTCGCGTGTTTCAATGTGATACAATGATATACCTAAATTATTGTGCCGGAGTTACCGGGAAAATAACATTAGTCCGCCCTTCGTTAACAACTTCATTGACAGCCTTAACTAGTTTTCCAATCTGAATCTGGTTAAGGTAATATACGTTCGGCCGCCTAAAGATATTGATAAATCTTTTTCTTCATTATCATTATGGTATTTACTTAATTCAGCTCGCCGGTTCTTGATGTATTAAAATGAATTTTCTGTATCTGACATTTTGTCTTGAATATCATTGAAATGTAATTGTTATCCATTCAACTTACCTTTTCTTTCGTGGTTTCCAGCGGCGTATTTTTCCACTTTAAAAGTAGCAGATGTTTAGATACAAATATCTCAGGCGGCGCCCTCCTAAAACACTTGAGTTTTCTCCGCACTGTAAACATCGTAACAAGTATTGCCGACACTTGTCGTTTTTTCTTTCGTAATTTGTCGGAAGGTAAAGGAAAGGGGTTTTTGTTGTTGCGAGCGTGCATTAACCGGCGATATTTTCAAATAAGTCAGAGATTTTACAGAGCTGTTCTTAATTTTTCCACCAAAATTCTAAGTGAGGTGACATTGGGCAATGAATAAAGATGCCGTGTTGTTGCTTGAGATTTGTGCTTTGATCGCGTGTTTCGTATTCAGATAAATTACCATTCTCAAGAACCAGTAATTTTCACACGTTAAGGTGCTAATGTTCTGAAGAAGGGAATGTACATCCAATGGCAGGTTTTTTTTCAAGGGATCTTTCTGGTTTTTATGTGACTATAGCTTGGAAAGCAAACAGATGCACAATTCTGGATTTATTAACCTGGTGGAGTAAACATTCCTTTTATAATGAGTGAATACCGATCTATGTATGTCTGCCTGTTTACCCTCCTACGACCCGAAAGCCATTTAAAACAACCATGGTTTTTTTTTTCGCTTTGTTTTTTAAATATTTCTCATAAATATGGCGCTTTACACCTAATAATTGCGTCAAAAAATTGTTTTTCATTATAACCAATTTACTAAGATCCGGAAAGAAAATTAATAATTTAATAACCAAAGGTTTCATTTTGCAAAGGGTGCCAAGTTGTTTTTAAAGTTGTCAGTTTTTTGCGTTCATGTTACCTAAAGATGTCACCTCAAGTTTGCCAATATTTTCGACGATTCAAAAACGAAAAACTCTTTAAAAAATTGCTTCAAATTTTCTGCATTAATCAATTGAACAAAAGTTTACCCTAAAGAGTAAAACTGGATTCACCATCAATGGGTATTGATAGCTATTTTGACTAAAAACTGTCGCAGAAACAATGTGGTGGAAATATCGGCCACAAAATTAATCTTGAAGCTTCGCTTCGTCTGTTTTTTATTGACTTCACAAGTGAGATGTTTCTGACATGTATTGAGCTAGAGACGTCGGTACTTGTAAGAGGAACCGGCGAAAGAAACAAAGAACAAAAGAAATTTAAAAAAATCAATTTTGTTTATGAAATGATCCTTGAAAAAAGAACAATCGATGAAATACGACTCTATCAAAAGATCGAGGCTTTCAAGGGTCTCTAATTTAGAAATCTGGGCGCATTTCGCCCATAATGCTTCTCTCTGCCTCCGAAACCGGGATCAGAACAACACAGCAATCAAACGTCGAGCTTGCGCGAGGGGATCAATTCTGGGCGGCTGCTCACTAACTTTCAGCGCAAAATTTGAATGGAAAACATTAGAGACCACTACTGTCTTGCGAAACGAGCGAAAGAAAGTGGAAACGTTCCTAGAATAAATGAAAGGAAACAAAAGTTGGGACACGGAAAAACAACGGAAACTTATTGAACACAAAACCTATTCAATTGCGGGTGTTCTGTTGATTCGCCATTCTGTTTTGAGCTTTCACGAAAACGTTACACAGTTTTAAAACACCGTAACTTATTGGTTTATGTAGTGGTTTGTAACTCGTGTGAGCTAACTTTGTTCTGACAGCCCAAAGGCACATAATCTTTACAACATTTTCGCATGCGCAAACCTTTGACCGCTGTGTTGATTAGAACCCATACATGTATGTACCTTCAACCACCGCGTAAAAATCGCGGTCCCAGTTTTCCTCCAGAACACTTTTTGTATGGTTGATTCTATTGTCCTGGCCGAGCCATTCTGTTGTGTTCTTGGAAAGGAAGATTTTTTTTCTACCTTGATATATTTTTCAATTCGGGAGGATTAGCAATACTCCTTGTCATAATTTCATTTTTTTTAACATTGTGCGACGATGAGAATCGAACCAGCACTGAACAGGAATATTCTCAGATAGTTATATTTTTGCCTGCAAAAATTGTTATTTAAATTCCTCGCATAAACTGAATAACTTTCGGGTGCTCATAATGTTTATTTCAGTATTCTTTTTACAGTTTGTGAAATAAATTATCTATCAGTTACTGATCTAGAGTCCTTGCTTTCTACAACACTACAATTACGGTAAAGGTGAGTATTCATGATCCTGGTTTTATCGCCGTCTTCTACAAAATTCGCTCAGAAGGCAAATTGAAGCTCCTGTGACTTTCTATTGTTCGTTAGACTGGTCCATCGGGTGAAAAGCTGTATCTTTTTTTCTCAAGGATTGGCAGGCGGACTGCGCTGTCGCGCAAACTCGGCGGAGGTGATATGTAGCCTATGAAAAATGAAATAATTGAACTTGAACTGCAGCGAATACTTAGTAAATGTTTTGAAGCTTCTGAGCGGAAGTTATCATCTACACTGAAAAGTTGATAATAATGGTAAATTGTTTTGAATTAGAATGGTTCAATAAACGTTTTAACCAAGGAGTTGTAGTTGGTTGAGTGGTCCGCTCGTCCAGGAGGAACTGTCGACATAAAAGTGACTGACGTTTCGACAGCCTGATTAAAAGTAATGATTGGAGTCAAGTGAAGTGCTGTTAATTTCTCAGTCGAGCATTGTAAGTTTAATATCGTGAAAACTGATAGGTTAGTTTTTTACGTAATGTCATTGGCTGTAGGACTCGAGTACCTTAACTCAGTTGTACCCGGTCAGTATTTATCCGTCGGTTCGTTCAACTTCAAACAGAAGAAAGACAAATACAAATGGTAAAAGTACTGTTTCTCATAATTGCGATAAAATGTGTTTAAGATGTTATCGAATTCGCCTGCAGTGCTGATAGACATTAGTGCATCTAAATCTAATGTCAACTTCATGTAGATATATCGAGAAATATTTCAAAATACGACATCTATCATGAAGTCTATAACATGCTCAATTTATGATTAAGGGGTCGGGAAAGTGACATTTCCCGCTAAAGGAATGAGAAGATGTTTTAACCGCATGCTCAAAATTAGACAAAGAGATGTTTATTCTCATGGGAAATTACTTTAAAGTACATCTGTGGACTGCTCCGACACTGAATATCTGCTTCAAATTCAACTCAAAACCGGCTATTCTGTGGATTGTAATATTTTGATAACCTGTACTCAAAAGTTGCAATTGAGCATCGGAATCGCTAGAGATCAGCGAAATAATTCAATTTCATTGTAGCCGAAAAAAAAATAGATATTTTCCACACAGTAATTAAATTCAAAATAAATCTAGAAATATAATAATGATTGAAAAAGAAAGTATTTCGGACTTTTTAATAGGAAAAGTGCGAATCTCACTTTTGCTGAGCGTAGTGTCAAAACCACGAACAATTAAAAGTTTGCACATCGATACATCTTCAGCTTGATGAGGCTAAGTGACCTAGTGGATAAAGAAGGTTGGCATGCTGAAGGGAAATACTGGGAACATTTTACCTGAATGTTATTGGCACCTCGTTTACCCCGGATATTGCCCGCTCCGGCTGTGAATGCGAGCGTTCGAGGATACATAGAGACGGCAATTAGAACCAGCAAGAAAAAAACGCGCACTTTTGAGATCATTTTCGACAGATAAGCTGGTGTAGTGAGAACAGAGTTGTCGTATCTTAATCCAATTCTACTTTGAGGTTCTCTCTTAGTCAAACCGCTTTTAAATATTTGGTGATTAGTATTTTTCCGGCCGATAGTAACGCGCGGGCGAAAGTAAGTGACGCTAAATGATAACACATTAAAACCGGTAATTAAACATAACCGACATTTGACGAGATTATTATTGTCCCCAGTCTCGATAAAATGATCCTGTTTTCTTCTTTAAGCAACAGAAAGAAAAGGAAAAAGGAAGTGAATTAAACTAACAAAATATGCAACCCATCTGTAAATTATCCCACGTAAAGTAGATATGCGCTGTTAATTCACTTATTTCCAGAGCCGTTTGTATAATTTTGTTTAATTGAATAAGGAATCGTGACAATATCAGCAGTAATTCAATTGTAAACGTTTGTAAATACACCAAATAGAATTATCTGTTTTTAGACAGGGAGCATTCTTTCTAGTGTGTGAATTTTATGGGGAAGTATTTCAGCTAACGTCTTAGAAAGCTTTTCAAAACAGATTTCCAATATGTGAAAAGTACGTATGACTTCCTTAATAAATCTTTGCCACATTTTCTTTGAGGAGAAATTCTTCAGATGTAACTCTAAATTTTCAATACGTCTAAATATTAATTAAGTCAACGTGTTTTCGTCAATTACTGTTAACATATTGTAATATTGCTTACGTTTTCTGCTCTCAAGGTTGTGATAAATGTCCCCCACGCATCGCTTAGACATCACTAGTGACAATATTTAATTCAAAACTTTTCAGTTTCAATTTATCACAAATAGAGATATGAATTGGATCAATTTAGATACAAAACGAACATTTTATTTGAATAAACAAATCTTAAAAAACATCTGTTACACCAGAAAAATGAGCTAATTTTTTTGCGAATTAACACTTTTCTTTTAAAGACGATGCCGAAGGTTTTTCCGGGCGTATTTTTCAGCTTTCAAATATTTTTTATCGCTGAAATATCATGATTTGTCTACAACAACTTAGTTCAAGACAAATGCAGACTTAAATGACTTTTGACGCCTGAGGCTGATGTTGTTCGAATCGAAAAACTGACGAACTAATTATTGGTTACAGGAAACTGAAAACATTTTGGTGCTGAGTTATCGAAATATAGGTCGTACCCTTCTCTCAAAGATTTATCCCGATAGTGGTAAAATTCTCGCAAACACACGATATTAAAAATCAAAAATTTTACAAAGAATGTAAGGGCTCACTAGCGCTTTTGCCAGCCACGAAATTGGCCGTTTGCAATGGTGAATATCTCAATGAGTTTTACTCTCATGAAGCACCGAATTTCATACGATGCTAAAACCTCTGAGACGCTCTTTCAATTTTTGAAATTATTTCGCCCTTAAATCGACCTCTTTTCCATTTCCAAAAATGCAAATAACGGTAACGGCCAAGATTTTCTTAAAGAAAGTAAAAAAAACGGACAGGGTTAATTACGATGTTGTTTTCTTGCTATTTTTCGATGGAACCTTCCCATACAAATACACTTCCTAATATAGTTCTGGTTAAGAAATCTTGGTAACGCAAGCTCGTGCCCAGTTTCCTCTTGGAGAGTAAGCAAAACTGCCTAGGCTGTCAGCAGAAGAATAAGACGGAGGCATGTAAAATTCATCAACAACTTATCAATCAGCTAATTGAGTATTGCTTTAATAGCCAAAATTTGGTTGAATGGTTAGATATCTTGTGACTTTCCGCTTTCCGTCACCGATGTTCAATACTGAGTTATTGCTTAGAGCATAATGCATTTCCTGCACACGAAGAAGGCGGCAGTTTACGTATGTATGACTTTCATTACCATATCAAGCAATCTTTTTTTAACACTTCTTTGTGACAATTAAATTTTGACATCAGTGAAAGCTAGTTTCAGTAATTTATCCGTTCACTGGAAACAGAGCAAGTTAATGAATGTTACCGTGGTCTCAACGACCAGCGAGTTTTCCAGATGGTTTATCTCGTTAGGGGCAAATTGTATAATTTTCAGTCAGCCAAACTGACCGACACGTATGGAAGGAAATAGTAATCAAATTTACTTATTTAATGAAACAATACAGGGGAGATGTTTGAAACGTCAATTTGTCGTTGCTCTAATTTCTTCGTTCTTTGATAAAAGACAAAGCTAAAAAAGTGAGAATTATTTCTTTTATCTCTGAAAGCGAAGTCAGAAATGGATGGCTCGAAGCATTTCGCCCGCTTTATGACTATGGAATTTTAGCTTTATGTCTCAATTGAAAAGAGCACATGGCGATGTGATTGGCTAATATTGGCAGTCTGTTGGTTAACATATATTAGCTTACTGATGTAACTTAAAAAGGATTAAACATTTAATTTTGTGGAAAAAGCACTAAGCGGAAAATTAGAATTATTTCAAAAATACATAAAACAATGGCAAACATGTGAAACGAAAATTATTTGTCTATCACAGATGTGACTCAGAGAAAATAAGTGACGATCATAACATTTGTCTCATGTAGGTCTCTTGAGTACTGAAAAATTGGCCTAGGATTTTTGTTAATTTGTAATGCCTTGGGCAATCTAAACGGTGAAAGTTAGCTGCCTGACTGTCGGAAATATTTGTCTATTAATGATCAGGGTTAAATTGTGACCATACGTTATCAGTTATTTCGCTTAAATGTTTGATCGAGTGAGCCTGCCGTAAGTCAGATAAAGATGATAAAGTGTTATGCGTGATAAAATAATTATTTTCAAGAAGAAGAAAACGTGGTAGGTGCCAGAAAAGAAATATCTTAAGTGGTTTAATTTACCTGGAAATAATTCTCGCCTCGTTTACCAATATTCCCTGCTCCAGCAGTGAAGGCGTACGTCTGTGGGAACATGGAGACGGCAACAAGAACGAGCAAAAACACGACGGTGAGTCTTGGACACATCTTTAGATGAATTTAGCCTAAGGCAAAAAGGCGTGCTTGAATCTAACCAAATTTTCTTGTGAGTACTGCATGATAGTGCAGCACCTTTAAATGGTTTGCTAAACCACCTGTGTTGCGTCAATAACAAAACGATGCCAAATGACAACTGAACAAGGCGTTAAGTTAATAACACTGCTAACGAGATGGCTTACTTCAAAAGAATAGAGTGGCCTTCTCTTTTATTTTTCGTAATGATGGTGATGTTGTCTTCTGTCAGCGAAAGGAAGCTGAATCAATTAGAAGATGGACAACCTGCGGGTTAATAAACCCACATCGAGGAAATAATGTACGTTATTTCATTTAATGCAAAGGGGTGAAGTTTATGAAAACAGTCTCTTGGCGATGGTATAATTGATTGGAACCTTACTGGCGATTAGGCGGTATTTTCAAAGTAAGCTTTGATAGAAGTCCCTAATGTGTTTATTTGTTACCGTCCTTTCAGACATAAATAACTCATTCAAAACACGTTCTCCCTTTAAAAGTTGCAATATGTAAAAAAATTCGTAGTCTGATTTGCAGTCTAAAAACCTTCAGTTGTGATTTACAGCTAAAAGGGTTTTTGACAAAACTTATACTTGGAAGTATAGTTTCGTTGAACAATGTCAAAAGCAGAGTTTTGCCACTAAAGCGCTGATGCTCACGTATTCCTAGGACATCCGTCGAAGAGGAAATACGTTTTTATTCAATTTGCGTCTCCTGTTTGTTGACGAGTTCTTCCAAGTTTCCTCCCCTTTCTTTATGCAATTTGCTCTATTTAAAATTAATGCTTCTCTAACCTTTTAATAAGTTAATTTCAATAAACTTGAATTTAGCTGGCTTTTTATGAACATGATTTAGGCGAGGTGCAAATCAAAGGAAATACTGTATAGAAGCCGCAAATCGAATTAAACATTAGAAATCAATAAAAAGCGACAAAATGAGACTTCATACAATTGTATACCCCCGAAAACCGTGTCATCGATCAGTTTGACACAATGCTTTTCGAAATTAAAACGAAATTGAAACAAATTTTCATGTCATTCCAGAAGTATTTAGATATGTTCAATCATAAGGCGAAAGACTGCGATTCAACCTTAAATACAAAACTCTCTTTATCAAATCTTAAATGATCCAAAAATAAAAAGAAACTCATCTTGAATAGAATTCATATCTCAACACCTACAAGAAATTATATTAAATCAAACTTACTGCATTAAATAGCTACATTTATCGACAAATACCACTCCGACAAAAACCAATCCGCTGACTGTGTTTTGCGCAGTATTTTTCTGGCTCAAGCGAAAACTGTGATACTAATTTTGGTATTTATGGAGGTTTTAATTATATGAGGGGTCCATTAAGACAACAGCAATTGCGCAAACTTTTCAAGCAATTAATTTTACCATTATAAACTATAATTCAAGTATAAACACGAAATGGTTCTTTTGTATTATAATGGGCTTGCTTTCTTCTGAATTTCCGCCAGCTTGCGCAACTGAGTTCGCTGTGAGTTAGTGTTTGATCGTGGAAAAATCCTTGAACAGAAGACTTCGGAGGAACATGAAGTTTGTTTGTAATTTAAAAATGTGACTTAACAACAAGTATGTTTTAGTAATTGTGGCATTCTTTTTAGGTATTTTCAAACAACTGATGATCACGAAAATGGATTATTGAAGAACACTCAAGTTGCATGAATAAATCTGTCCATAAAATTCTGCTAAAGGCTTGCTCTTGAAAAATGTCGAAAGAAGAAAAAATCCTGGTTTTCCTGTTAGTTAAACCAATGAAAGTGATCTTTAGCTCATATCGTAGATAAATGAACCAAACTATTTGAAATGCACCAAGTTAATGCTTTTGAGTGTTTTAAAACTCAGCTGGTGAAACTGAGTTTCTAAGACTTCACAGGCTTGGTACCCAGATGCATACATGCCTGTTCGTTGGGGACTGGAGGTTTCATTTCTAAATCTGGAATCAGTTAACTGCAATAAATCCAAGACATTTCTCTGTCACCTGCCAGTAACGTTCTTTGCCAATTTGGTTTGCGTCTGTGACACAAGCCCAACGGGTTGTATTTAGGTTTGAGGGTAAATTTTCCATCCCTTTTATCGTTACCTTTTTTATTGAATATTTTCACTTGTAAAACGATTTCTCATTCTGGTGTTGGGATGCCTGTGCCTCCCTCAAGGCATAGCAGTCTAAGAGCGAACACGGGGAGAATGAGTCGCCATGTTTGTTGTGCTTTAGTTCTTTAGTCGGAAAAAAAGACAATTCAGTGTAACGTGCAAAGGTTAAGAAGTGTATGTGGATGTAAACTGTTCTCGGTTGCCGGAGTTTGTGAATAAATTGTGGATTTACGACTACACCTTTTCCCATGGACTTCACTGTAATCAGATAATAAAAGCACAGAAGTACTGAGGGAATGTATGTTGCTTCTATAACGCTTTTAAATCTTTTCCACTTCAATCACAATTACCAGGCTGCATTTAGATCGTTAATTCATGCTGACGTGTCTCAGAGCGTTTGCTGCTATCTGGAGAAAAATATAATCGCAAGTTAATAACACTGACAATAAAGTTTTCGAAGCGCTTCGCTAGAAGCTTTTATCTTCTACTCTCTGATAGAACCCAAAATAAAATATAACATTTGAAAAGACCGTCTTTTCTTCCATAAAGTCAATTAAAAGTGCTCGGACTTCCAGTTGAATGGAGTGAGGTCGTAAATAAATATTGCAGTTTTTCATCATTTGGTTTGGAGATTTATTTAACGCTTGCTTAATTAATGCTCCTTAAGTACACGGTTTTGATAGATATTTTGCTATGCTGTTTCGTAATGTATTCTGTAAATTCCTTCTATACATTACATTGATTGTCTCGTTGAAAATTTTCTCAATAAATTGGATGATCAACACAATAAATGGCAGGTTTCTTATAGACTCCGGTCTTTTGCTGACAATTATGTGAATAAATGCTTGATTACCACCGCTAAAATGGCGCTAGTTGGGTAAAATGGCATGAACGTCTAGTGGGCAACCTTCAAATAATTCATGAACTTTGTGGTAGAGAATTCTCTTTAGCATCTAAAGTGCATGCTAAATAGTGAAACACTGAGCTTCCTCTGAAGCTTGCCGCTGATCTGTGTTTGGGTTTTCTGTGTTATGTATATTGGCACCCAAAGTTCAAAGCAAGTATATTCCGGTTTAGAGTTCGTTTCAGGATTTTGTTTCTTCTCGAGCGCGTTTCTGAGACAAGTCGATGCGAAGAATAGTCCACTCTGGTTATTGACGCTATTGGCAGTACGTAATGATGATGGGAGGACACCTAGGATGACACGGTTAATCTGCATATACATATAACATCGCTGGTAGGCATGTGTTCTGAGATGGTGGCCTCTGCATTTCTTTAGGTGATAGTGGAGGGAAAAACGGCAAAAAAGAAAGGAAAAAAAACTTTTTCTGATGAAAAAAATCCTTTAGAAAAAAACTTTTTCTGATGAAAAAAATCCTTTAGACTGACGTTCAGTTATTCTTCATTGTTATTCAATTTTTCGTTGTTTCATCAGCTATATCAAAACAGTGGATTTAGGAAATATATACCATAACCAGAGATTATGTTTGTAAACTCTTGACGGTGAAGTGGTCAGAAGACGTGAAGGAATGAAGATTATTGACTAAAAAATCTCGCTCACGAAAGGAGGCAAAAGGGTAAACGTAAGTTTTTCTTGCAGCGTTTTATAATCAAACTGATTGTTGCAGATCTAGTACAATGGCAAACTGACACAACGCAAGCTCTGATTGGCCAATAGTCTTTCTGTTGTTGTGCCGCTTCCTAAAGAATAGCGTAAGGTTGATTTATCAAAATCAATATCTTTACACCATACACCGAACTTTTTATCGGCTTAGTGGCGAGGAGGAAAAGTCAGAAGTTTGTAAATCACCACCCGATGACAACTGACTTAAAATAAGTTTTCATCGTGTAGTTTAAGCGAATAAAACTGTGGTCTATCGCTTCAGTAATTGAGCTGGAGTCTTGGAGTTCTTTGACCAAAAAGAAGGGTGTCGCATAGACATTTAGAAAAGTGTTCGGCTCATGATTTTGACATGATATTTTCTGATGATGATTAGGTAGGGTCGCGTACATCTGTGTCTTCGTCGGTTTGACGACGGTTTAACGCTCGACACGTCAGCTTTAGAAACTACGGTCGTCAATTTATGTTATTATCTCAGTTGATGAAACTAAATTATCTTGTAATACCCCCAACCCTCCACCACCACCCCCCACACACACAGACGCAGCACCACAATTTCTTTAGAAGCTTAGCCTCTTTTATTGACATGTCTTACTCTACTGTATCAGAGTTTTTGAAAAGTTTTTCTAACTCTGTGTCTGCGCCAGGTTCATTTCATCTTTTTGGGACGAAATGTAATATGTTTTGGTTCTGATATAGGTGTGGATGAGTTGATTGTTCTGTCGGAAGCTTTACAAATTTCTGGTGTTGACAAATGATTCATTCACTACATATATTGATATATTAATATTATCTTACCTCGATGAAACATTTGTTTATTAACTTAAGTGTTTTGCTAATGGCCTTCAAGGAAGATAATACCATGAGACATACATCCTCAGTAAGTTTCATTGTATTCTGATAAACCAATTGGAATTTTTGAACTTCTGATCTACTCGGCCATCGTGAAAAAAGGTGTAAAATATCTTCTTTTTGCATCACAAATGAACACGAAGTTTGTTTTTTCGAAACTTATTTGAAGTTTCTAACCAAACCTTAGGCAGAATCCAAATTTATCCATCTCAAGTATCTACAATTTGTTAAAAGATAATTGTCCTTTAACCGCTGTTAACCTTTTCATGCTTTCTGGTCCTTGGGGAAAACGCACAACACCGTGACGGAAAATTCTCCCTTTTTGTAATCAAATCGTAGGCAGAATTAAATTGAGGAAAAAGGGGTGTTATTTCAAGATTAGTAGT